TAAGACAAGGATATTGATATATGTACATTTGCAAATTTCTGTAAGGAGGACGTGTAATTGGGGTAAGAAAATGGCTAAATAAAACCCACGTGCGCGTAAAACCAATAATGAAAAACTTATCGCGAGTGGTCATCTCTAATAAAGAAAAAGAAGAGTAATTTCGACAGTGCGTCAATTTGGACCTTAAACTAAACCTGGTGGTCGGACGGAATTATATAATTACATACGCGGAAGAAGAAGAAAACAAATCAGTCTTTGTAGAGAAAATTATTTCAATGTGACTACAAGGTTGGCATGTATAAAGCTGGTTCTACTTTATTTATTCCTGTCGGAATGCTTAAGTTATTAAATTCCTACCGTTAAAAAATGTACATTGTTGTCGATGTCCAACGGTTGGATTAATTTAATTTAACTCATGAAATTAAATTTGCATTTATTGAGCAGGAAACAAAAGTACCTATTCTCTCTATTAGTCATATCATATTTTACATTATTCGCGAATCGACGGGACCAGCATAAAAAAACATTTTCCAACCAATAGTCATCTTTACATAAAAAATAAGAAACATTTTCATGTACAAATTAGTTACAAAAAATCTATATATTATAGATTTAACAAACACTGATTATTATTTTTCTGCATTTTGCTAAATTTACCTTAAAGGTGGGTCTTCAATTTGCTGCTTACATTATCTAAATATACATGCGTTAAAATACCCGTTTTCAACAAAATTCAATAATGACTTCGCAACTCTGATAAAATTTAGAATGCAATTAATTTAGCAACAATTTATTAATTCTTTACAAAATCAATTTCAATTTTCGCAAAAACACAATTGGAAGAAAACTTGCAATTTGGTTTTTTGATCCTTGCAGATCATGTAAGCATTTTAAGAGGACAATGGATGGCTGAGATATTCAAGAAAAACTGATATTTGTTATGCAGAATTCATCATCACCCGAAATTACATATGATAAGAAAGATACGGGAAAAATATTCAAGTATTATAAAAATTTTTGGAACAATTTTACTGGTAAAATTACACTCCGTCATTTTGTATGATATTAACTTATCCAGCATAAACTTATGTACGTACAAAAAAAATAAAATATCATATTTATAAGTTGTACAATTTTTTATAATGACGTCGGAGATTACAAATTTAGTCAGATTCGTGTCATTCATTCATGACACACCGATAACTATGCATTTTCTTCCTGTATATAAACATTTATTATGTTCCAATCAGCACATTATTACTGTACCTTTCTCGCCCATTGTTTTGCACAATCGACTTCCGTACAACGACGGTAGCATTAATTTTATTAAAAGCATGCCATAAAAAACGGCGCATTCTTATGCACACATATCTTAAATAAATACATAAATGTATGTATTTATTTGTATGTATGCCACTCATTCAGGATTAATTTGCATTGTGCTCTCGCAGTGTAAAAATATGGCCAGGAATCAAAATCAACCAAGAAGAAAGAAAACGAGTGGGTGCAAGTGCTGCCTAATTTATTTACGACTATATAATATTTCTACACCTTATGCTTATTAAATACGTTCACGTTTAATTGTTCCGTGATTGGGTTTTTTTGCGTTTAAATACAAATATAACGAGTTAAACTAAATTAATCCAAGCTTTGGATAAAGTTTTAGCACAAGAAACAGAAAACCTATTATCTTATTTAGTAATATCATATTTTACATAATTTGCCATTCGACGCTGAACAACGCAAAAAACATTTCCCGTCCAATAATCATTGCATAAAAAATTGGTTACGTGCCAAATTATTCAACTATTTGAAACCAGGAACTGGAAGAGAAGTGAAAGAAAATATGTGTCTAATTTATCTGAATTCCATGAAATGCTGCATAGTTGATAGTTGTGATGATGCTAAATATTTACGTTTTAGACGAGATGTCGAGCCATTCATTGGAAGATGATCACGAGGAAGTGAAGACGGCGACACGTATGAAAATATTATGAAAATGCACTTTGAAGATAAATTTAACAAAATTCAGATAAATAAATAATTGGGTTTTCTTAAATTCATCGTAAAAATACATATTCGAAATATTCACAATTTACGGAACGGGGTCACCATCTAAATATATGCACTCAAATTAGTTTAATATATTAGTTATTGTTATTAGTATGACATGAAAATGTAATATTGACTTCGCACCACCACAATTCTCTGGATAAACTCGAAATGCAAAATTACGAACTATTATAATAATAGTAATTTACGTAGTGTTTGAAATTACATTTGTGCATTCCTTATAACAACTATTATGAAAATGAGAATGGAAATAATTCTGGTGAAATATTTATTGTTATTTATACGCATTACATGCTTGCCCATGTGGGTGATAAGCTTTTAAAAATCTGGTAAAGTCACATCTGTACTCCTTACCGGGATTGATTTGGTAACATTAAACCCCTACAAGATAGCTAACAGTTTGTTTCTGGTTAAATTTTTCATTACCAGAAAATTACTAAACGGTTATATCCGTTATTACCAATGCCGGTAGAGTCATATTTGTACTCCGGTCAGTAATAATTGAATTCCAGTTTTCTAAAAGTGCACGTTTTTTATTACAAACTCGAAAATATGAAATAGGTAAATGTTTTCACTAAAGGACAAAAGAATGAATTTAAATGGAGTTTAGCCAAAAACGTGTTAAAATTTTAATGCAAACATGTTACTCTTAATCAACAAAGTGTAACATTTTTCTGTAGAATTTAAATAAATTTTCTTTCCAACTTAAAAGTTCTTAAGAGTATCAATTCAACCACGGACCATGAAGTAATGAATTACATGTGAAATGTAATAATATTACATGAGATTAGATCCTTCGAAACCTTTTCTTTAAGGGATTTATCTAATTAAAAATTAGGATGATGTTTGCGAAAAAATCCAACATAAACAAATTGCTGGTGGCTTGAGTATTAACGTAATTGTTTCAAATTTATTTTCAAATAAATCTAAGAATTTAACAAAAACTAATTTTACAAAATTATGCTTTACTTTGTTAAGTTCATGCAAAAAATCCATTTTTATATTTTTAGTGATTTCTCCAGACTTGACAAATATCTAACGTATGTTATGTATATAATTATAATGCATGCACATTCATACATAGTCACCATGTTGTAATTTTGTGTTATAAATAAATACTACGCACAATTTTTCATGCAAAATTACAACGAATAGTAAACACGATCTGCATTATAATTAAATATATCAAACCACATTTTTTAACAAATGGAACAAATCTTACAACAGATGAATTTAACTCATTAAATTATTTGCTCTATAACTGGGCACTAAAATTATGTAACCAAGAAATTGCAGTGGTTTGCTGTCAATGTTGCGTTTGCATGAAATAAGCTATTTTAATGTACATGTTAGATATAGTAAAATCTGTAAACAAATCACGAAAAATATAAAGATGCATTTTTAACATGAATTTAACATAAAGCAGGTCTAATATTATGTAATTTGTTTCTGTTAAATGCATGCTTTTATTATATTTAACATGTAGATTAAAATAACTTATTTCACGGCAATGCAACATTGATAGCGAATTACGACAAATTTCTGGTGAACTTTGTAGTGCAAAATAAAATTTGGAATTTGTGTTTTACAAAATTAAATAATATGATATTCGTGTGTGGTACGAAACGTCAAACGTAACAAAAAATACACTTTCTTGCTGCAAGAAGAGCTAAATCTATATTAGAATTTGATTATCCGTGTAAGTAAAGAAATATTATTTCTGCAGTCTCTCATAATAATTAAGTACGTAAATAAGGAATAATTATTTGTCAAACTTTTAACCATGTAATTTACATGAAAAATAATATAGTGCTCATTTAAATGAGGTAAATGAACACTCAAAAATTAAAAGAAGTTGTGGTGTGGTGGAAGTGTGATGGTTTGCTGTCAATGTTGCATTTCCATGAAGTAAGTGATTTGAATGCACATATTAGATCTGGTAAAATCTCTGGCAAAATCTGGTATTAGAGGTAAAATCTGTGAACAAATTACGAAAAATTTAAAGATGCATTTTTAACAGGAAATTAAAATTTAACACAAATTAAATGTAACATTATGTAATTTGTTTTTGTTAAATTCATGATAAATATGCATCTTCATATTTTTTGTGATTTCTTGGATTTTGCTATACCTAACATATACATTAAAATAACATGATAATGCAACATTGACAGCGAATTACGACAAATTCCTGGCGAACTTTATAGTGCAAAATAAAATTTGGAAATTGTGTTTTACAAAATTAAATAATATGATATTCCTATCTGGTACGAAACTTTGCAAAAAATACACTTTCTTTGTTGCACGAAGAGCTAAATCAATATTAGAAATTGATTACCCCTAAATTTAGAGATATTATTTCTGCAATCTCTCATAATATATAATGAAGTACTTAAATAATGAATAATTACTTGTCAAACTTTTAACCATGTACATATATGAGCACTCAAAAATTAACAAAGTTGTGGTGTGGTGGAAGTGTGATGGTTTGCTGTCAGTGTTGCATTTCCATGAAATAAGTGATTTTAATGTACATATTAGATCTGATTAAATCTGTGGTAAAATCTGGTATTAGAGACAAATCACGAAAAGCATTGAAATACATTGTTAGGATCGATTTAACATAAAGCAGATGTAACATTATTAGTTTGTTAAATTCATGCAAAATTCATCTTCATATTTATGACTTTTCTATAATCTGAAACATATAACAATCCAAATGTTTTCAAAAACATGTTGTTGCTTATAAAATTATGTGTACTAATTTAAATAGCCAGATTATATTTTTTAAAATATAGAACTAAAAAATGAATATTTTATGAAAATTCCAACTTTTAGTATAATTCAGAAACTCCGAATTTTCGGATGATTCGGACAGTCTCAGGCACAAAAAGGCAGGAGAATTTTGTACCCTCGAAGCGCCTTTTGCTTTGTCGGTTGTCGGGTCATTTGCTCTCATCCTCAGTCAGGCTGAATTTTCCTCCGCGTCAGGATCTCCAAAATTTTAGTAGTAAATTAAATCCTCAATTTTCAATTAACTGAAATTAACTTAACTATAATTGAAGTTGATGGAATTGGTGTGAAAACAAGGTATTTTAATTCTGCCAAGTGAATTGGAATTAAATTGTGAACAAATATATTTTAACTGCCGCAATTTACGGGCCGTAAACGTGGATTTCAAATTGAACTTTTCAATTCCACAAAAAATATCTAATATATTTTGACAGCCAAAATATATTTGTTGATAATTTAAATAATATTTATGGAAGTCGAATTTTAACAAAAAGTAAAGTGGTGGATTTCAATTCCACAAAAAAATATTATTTTCTTTTCACTAATATTTTATACATATTTTGATAAACTTGTGTGGCTCTATAGTGTATAGTGATTACTATCAATATTTTTTGACAGGACTGAACTCCAAATATTTTATTTTTAGTCAAAACAAAATTTTGACAGAATATTTTGTCTTTATTTTAGATATCTATTACATGCATACTCAAATGGATAGAAAAAGAAAGGCGGTGGGACTTGGCCCACCACCACCACCTGCAACGGGGGGGCCTTCGAAAACAAACGACACTGTAACCCCTACCCCTAAGGCTGCGCCAGTAAAACAGAGCCTAGGACGAACTCCTCAGCCCACCGTCAAGGGCAGCCTCACCCCCTCCACAACAACACCACTACGAGGAATAAGGGCCTCGACTTCAAATCCGAAACAGCCAATTTCGTCAACTCCGGTCACCACTACTACTACCACCACGAACAGGACTCGTGGCATCAAACCTGTTCCTACGATGGGTAAAAAGCCCGTGGTGGGGAGTAGGCCCACAGTTAGGTCCAAATTACTCGACCAACCGACCTCTTCCGCACCCATGCCGACTAACGAGGATATTTCGAAACTGCGTGAACTCCTCGCTCTCCAAAATGATATTGTTAGCTACAAGGAGACGTTGGCAGAGCGGTGAGTCATTTAGCTTTTGAAATATAACAGTAATTTATTACAACTACGTGAAAATAATAAATTTTCACTTTCTGCCACAGAAATGTAAAATTAGGAGAGCAACAGGTGAAACTCCACAGTCAAGATGATATTATCAAAAACCTCCAGGCGGACCAAGTCAAATCCAACATGGAATTGAGCGATTTAAAGAATGAGATTTCGTCAATGAATAAACTTCTCAACGACGAAGTGTTGACAAGGATTAAACTTCAGTCGGAAGCTCGTCGAAGAGAAGACCTCGAGCATGAACAGGTTTTGAAGTTATCCCAGTTAGAAGCTGAGGCTGCTCTGAAAGAGGAGGAAATTAAGAAGAAGAAGGACGTCATCCGGGAGCAAGAGGAGTGTATCAGCCTGTTAAAGAAGTTGGCATGCGCCAATAGTTCTACGAGTAAAGTGTTTGATGACAAAGTTCTGAACTTATCAAACAATTCGAAGGTATGAGACGAGACAAAGTATTTTTAATAATTCATGTCATTTTGGGACAACGGTGTAGTTAAATTCGAACAAATTAGTATAAAATAATCAAATCCAATCCAAAAAGTCATAAAATACAATTATTTCCGAATTTTAATAATTCCTAAAATTTTCTTGGTTCTTTATTAACTAGAAATGTCGTCTGTCAATCTCCACAATGCAAACAAACCTGTCAAAAAATTTTGATGAGGTTGAACGTCGCTTTAACGAGACAACATCCTCCCTCCGCTCCGAGTTGGACGAAGTCGTCAAGAAGAATCTTGACCTCACGGAAGCTATCACAGCGAAGGACATCGCCCTTCAACAGCTCCAAGGACGACTGGAAGAGTCGCGACAGGCAATTGAGGAAAAGGTTGACACTGATGCTAAAAGTAAGAGCTCACAGGACTCGTTGCACTGCGAAGTAGTCACTTTGACAAAGAAGATTGGCGAGTTGGAGGCTGAGCTGGAACACGAAAGGCTCTCGTCTTTGCAAGTAGATTTGCTGGAGGGACAGCTCATGCAAATGACACGGATGAATCGAAATTTAACGGCGAAAGTGGAGAGCTTAGAAGAAACTTCGGCTGAATTTCAAAGCTGGATGCAAGAGAAAGAAAAATATTGCGATGAGATGGAAAGAAAAGTATTAGCACAACACGTAAGTTTAATTAATTCAGCCATAATTCAGAATTCATAAATTGTACAAGTTGACCGTCGCTACATTATTTGTAAAGTTTACTAGATTAAAAACAATGACTTGGGAGTCACTCCCTTTTTGTTATGAAATTATTATTTTTTAATCCTACATATAATTTACTTAAATAATTCTTATTGCAATTTGAGATACGATAACAAGTTCATGAACCTAATGGATATGTGTTTGGAAGTTCAAATTTATCACATTTTTACAGAAAACGATCGTCCAAGTTGACAAGGAAGTACAATGCGCCTTGGATACTCAACTAACAAAGAGTATGGATAACGACGTCCCTTGCTCATCAGATCTTATGGAACCAGTTGTTCAACTAGAAGCCCAGTTGGCTGACGCTGTGAAGTCCTTGACCCTCAAGGAAGAACAATTCATTGGTCTCGAAAAAGACTTCAGCATCACCAAGGCTGATCTTCACTTAGCCCACTGCGAGAATATAGAAGTCACCGAGAAGAATTCTCAGCTTATTCAGGAAAATGCCGTGTACTCCAAGGAGATCGAAGTATACAAGAGATACGCTCAAATTTATCAGGATTCAAAATCAGAAATTGTCGAACTTAAGGAGACGCTTGCCAAAAAGGAGGAACAACTCGTCTCTCTGACAAAAAACGTAAACGAAGAGATGGAGAAGGTGCGATTGTCAGAAATTCAGCATAATCAATTGACAGAAGGTGAGCAAAATATTAAGGAAGATTTGCATTTTATATTAAATTGCCGGCATAATTTAATTTTCGTGACGTTTCAGTGTGCAATGGCAAAGCTAAGTGCTTGGAAATTGAAGTAAAGCGACTGGAGGAACAGCTAAGACAAACGACAAATGTGTTGGAGGAGAAGGCCTGTAAAGTCGAAAGTCAACGATTGGTACTTATAAGTTACATATTAGTATATCGTATCGTATTAGTTTAGGCGACTTTATAAAATAAGCTGCAATTATGAAGATTAGAAAATAATCTTTGAGAAATGGTTAATTTTAGAAATTGTCAACGTAACATGTCACGAGGTAAATGATTTCAATGTCTTCTTAAATTTAGAGCTTGGCACTATTACGAGAAGCTACTACAATTCAGGAAGAACAACTCAAGAAATTCGAAGATTCATATTCTGCACAAATCACGGAACTGGAGCAACTTGAAGCCGATAAGTAATTACAATCAGTTTTATGCTCAATACTTTGTCAGATTTGGTTAAGTTTTGCGAGATGACAAAATTAAGAGGCTAATTTTCATTAAGAAATGAAAATTTGTGCAGCTTGAAGTATTCTCAAGAATCTTACAAAGATTTTCGTACCCTTTAATTTCCTTATTTCGCTCTTCTAGGAAGTCACTTCGCTTGGAAGTGCTTACTTTGCAAGAGGATTTATCTCGAGTGAATTCCATGCTGGAAGAGAGCAAAAGCAGGGAGACTATTTTGGAAGGTCGTATTAAAAATGGACATTTGGCTCGTTTTACGTTCGAGACTACAGCACATAAGGAGATTAAAGCCCTCGAGAAGAATGTAGAAGATCTCAGTTTGGCCAAGGCAGAGATCTCGCAAACCCTTCGTCGCGTTCAGAAGGAGTTGGACAAGGCCAATTTGGCCAGTGAGAGCTCACAGCGTCTGGTTGAGGCTTTAGAGAAAGACAATGACACCTGCACTGATGAAATAGTCGAGTTGTCACGAAGGGTAAAATTATTCTGAACTTTCTTTACGAATTGCAGATCTATCTATTTGATTATAAATTTTATCTAGCCAATCTTTTTTATAATATTAATGACCTATTATATCTAAAATGTTATTGGCTTTTTGTAGAATACTGAGCTCTCGAAAGAGATTGGAGTGCTTCGCGAAGAAATCGGTGAAATTATTGAACGATCAGACGATTTTAAGAATCGGTAATTTTTAAGATTAAAACTACTCGCTCATCCTCAATTTTTATGAATTGCAAAACACATTCACTTTTCCTTAGCTACGAAGCCCTTACTTCACGCCAAGTCAACCAAGAATCGATGGACCTCGAGGTTTTCGAGGAGAATTTGAAACTAAAAGTAACAATCCGACAGCAGTCAAAATTAATTGACTTCTTGCAAGTCAAAAATCAACATTTGTTGAAAAAGAAGGAGAAAAAGTTCCAGCTGTTTGGAAAGGGGTCGATGAATCGTGGGGACGAGAATGTGAGTCCGCCACCACAGTGCACCAGCCGTGAAGATCTCAAGGCGTGGTCGGCGAGGTACAGGGAAGCGAAGGTATATGTAATTTACTTCTGTAAGATGATGTCAACTCTTCAATCTTGTAAATTATTTAACGCTTAAATATTCGGCTGAAGGTTCTTAACGCTTCATAATTTTTGTCAAGTCTACGCCGTTGAAAAATCCAAACTTTGTACATTTCTTTCATAAAATGTTTGGTTATGATGTTGACATGAAATGGATAATTTGCATAACACCTTATATTGATGCCAGAATTGATTTTTATTATTAGCCCACCCCCACACTGACTCCTGTCAACCTCATCCGTGAACATTTCCACGTTCAAGAGCTCGAAAAAACGAGAGATTCTCTTCGCACGAAATTGGCCAGTTTGCAAGAAGGGGACGCCGGAAAGTGTCAAGCCTCATCGCTTACAAATATTTCTCCCAAGAAGGAGGACTGCCTTCTTCTAAAAACCAAGGAGGGTACCAATTAGTTTATGTCAATGCCATGTAACAAAGTCTAAATTTTAGTGATCTCGCTTATCTCAATTATGTAAACCCGCCCATCTATCCACATTTTACTTTTGTTACCGTTTTACTTGGTAGATATTTTATCTATTTATTATGCTGCAACTATCCACAGAATGTGTTCAAATAAAGTATGTTCGAATCTGTATGTAAGTTAGGATGCCAAATATTTATAAGCAACCTTTGTAAATCTGGCAGGCAGATTCAGCCTAGTTCCTATGTAAGTACTTAATGAACTTCAATCAATCCTCATCTGTAATTCTCTAGTTTATGCACATCTCAAAATACCGTGAACAAGGTTCAAACATTTTAGTAAAGTATTTATTATTTTTGTACGTTCATGTTGTAGAGCAATATCAATCCATAATTAGTTTTTACTTAACTTTTACAAATATTAATGTATATTGCCATTTTCACTGTTACAAATAAAGCTGAATCACGGAGAGAGAAACGAGTCATACAACATTACATATTTTGATACTTCTTACATTTACTACTTTACTATATATTTGTTTTATTATAACAAAATAAATAAAACGATTGTTTCTCCAGACATAAAATTGAGTAGATATTTTTTTAATTGATTGTTAATTATTGGATTGAATATCTTATTTATCTTGTCACCGCCATCACCAACAGTCACAGACATATTGACTTAACTTGTCAAAATTATCGCAATTCCCTAACAACAAACTGACCACATCATCCTCCATGATTAATTTTAATTAACTAATTATTAATAAGCCATAGAAAGCTCGGATGTAATAGTATTATTACGAAATGTGGAGGAAATTGATTAATTATCATTCATTTTTTATTGCCATTAGACGAGGTCTGAATTATTATTGTCCGCGTTGGTTTGTCCGACGTAGATTGGTTTCCGGATTCTTGAAGAATCAGGTAATTTGAGTTCGGATGAGGAGACGACCAAGCTCAGCGGAGATGACGATGCAGAAGAGTGTTGGAGGTTGAGGTTCCCGTGAGGTTGCAAATTCTCATCGTGTGAAGATCCGTTCTTGGTGAGTATGTAGCTACGAGTAGCTGAATCGACGCTGGAATTGGTGTTGCCTGGTCCTCGTTTAGTTTCAATTATGGGTTCGATGTGGCTGGTGGGGTCATCTGAAAGGAAACAAATCAGGACGAATATAATACATGTTTATGAGCATGGCCAAGATGTTTGGAGGACGCGAAACTTACGAATATCCGAACTTTGTAGGAACTGTTGTTGCTTGTTCTGTTTGGCTTTCCGCTTATATTTTGAACTTCGGCGTAGAAAGCCACGAAATACGCTGGAGGATTGGCTCGATCCAGTCTGTTGGAAATGATGTTATAAAACTAGTTTAACAACAACTATATGACCAACAATGGATACGGTTAGAAGTAGTTAGCGTACCTTGGTTGAAGCTAAGTCATCATCGTCAAATCCGCTCGGATCAAGGCAACCGTCGTGAACGACGTGGTTTGTTATCTCTTCGAGTTGCGGGTCTGGAATTGAAAAACAAATATTTCATTCGCATATTGGTTACTTTCTTTCAGTCTTTTCAACATTAACAACAGTTAATGTTGAAAACATGTAACAACAGTTTACATGTCATTTAATCACATTGTTTTTAGGTCAATTTTTGGATTAGTACTATTTCGCACTTAATCTCGTATGATTATTAACGCTTTTTAATATTTGATACACACACCTTTACATTTCACCAACAAATTATGCCCATCCAGTCTCGCCATGGGCATTTTTATATCAATCCTTTCCCCTGTTTCGATCTTATATTAAAAAAACACTGAAAGTTAGTATTACAAATCTTTATATTTCTTCACAACGTACTGTAGTACTCACGTCATAAACGAAGACATTATCCAGCTTCAGTCCATGTTGGGAGAGAATGGGTTTCAAAACCTCGGCCACTTTTCGAAACGGGTTCGCTCGCACGCCAACTTTCCACCCCTTGGGCAACTCTATCCCGATGAAGGACCGCGGCTCCACGCGGATCTCCTTTGCCGTCATCTCTGACGCTTCCAAATTCAAGTCGAGCGCCTGAAAACAAATCAGTAAGTAAAAAGTTTACAAAATTATTATGTTTATGTTCTTTAACTTCATCAAAGTTTTCAAACATCTCACAAGAATTATACGACTTGCAAGGCTTTCGTAAATAACGAACGTATGTAAGCGACAATCAGCGTTAACAATTAATTATTTCGTTAATTTTACAATTAAAATATATGATTTATACTGATTAAAATATATATTAATACATATGATTTATACTGATTAAAATATATATTAATACATATGATTTATACTGATTAAAATATATATTAATACATATGATTTAACCGTTACAAAGAGTGAATATAACGATTTCTTCGTCATTTATCTACCCACCTTTCCAGTGGCTACATTGACCACTTCGAACGCTGCGTAATGGAATTCCCTCTTTTCCAAGAGCCTCTGCACTACGATGGAGAGTGACTCACCCGGCCGACAGGGCAGCACGGTTGTCGAGTTGTCGGGAAGCGTTACTCTGCAAAGTTTGTAACTTTGTCTTCGACTGTCATCCGTGTCAGAGCTTTCAGCCTGTGACAATACAATCCGTAATTCGTACATTGTTTAACATATAAAAGTACTTAGTTACTTACATTCTGATTTATTGCGGTCCTCTGGATGAACGAAATATCAGAGTTTAATCGGTCCGAATCGTCCTACACAATCATAACAATTATAGTTAGTTCATCAAATGCATGTCTTAAAAGAAAATTTAGATACGTACGATAAGAAAAATCATTAAATTCTGTATAGCAATTATTAGCAATAACATGAAAATTGCATTAACGTATTCACCAAAAAATCGAAAATGTCAATTAATACGCCAGAACAGGGATTCACATCAAAATTAATGTGATTTCTCTATAACATGCAACAAAGGATGGGCAGGTTTTTTCTAATAAGGAGGAATGAATCCCACCTTAGACTTGGCCTTGTTTTTGGACCGATTTTTAATGTTCCAGGGGAGGAGTGACCTCCGTCGTCCGTCCAACTTATGCGACTTTACTGAGTCCTGGTCAGAAGAGTCGGACGTGTCGCCGTAATCGGGGAGAGTAAGGGCGCCCGTGGAGTAGTCGCGGTAGGTGTCCGAACGGAGGAATCGTGGGTAGCAGTCAAACTTGAGGAGATTATAGACCTGGCCGAGGGGAAGGTCAAACATGTCGGGAGTGGGTTGAGGAAGCAGCTTCTCGGCTTGGGAACGTGCCTGGAAAGAAACATCAAAGAGTATGTTTTCATTAATCTTTTGTTACAAAGTCTTTGCATTTATTCGTAAATATTAGGATATTTACATATGCATGCAAATGTAGAGCATCTTGTTGACTCCAGATTATACAAATCAAATGCAACAATTATTATTTTAACAAACAAGAGTTGAAAAATATTCGAAAAAGTTGGCAAATCGAAAGGTCTTTTAAATAATTCAACATTCGCAACTTCTAACGACCCTAGACATTTAAAAACTAATTCGCACTCTTAATAAATGTATGAAAATTAGGTTAACGTAAGATAATTGAATTTTTTATATAAAAAATAGTAACAGAGTTTGTTATCACAACGCTTCACCTCACCTGAAAGTCGACATTGACCGGATCAGTGGCTCCATTTTGAACATAGCGTTGGAAAATGTTGGCTGCGAGTGAGATCCTTTGACACTCGGTCAGATTAGGGTACACCTTCTTGTAACGAACGCAATCGTTGTAAAACAAGATGTTCTCCGCGGAGAATTCATGTTGCAGGAATTCCTACAAAAAAACATGAAACATAAGAATACAGTTAGCGATACATTACGTGGGGGGGGGGGGCTGGTGGTAACAAATTCCATCAAATGTGAGGTGTTGTGTAGCATAATTTATCAACGACCCCATAATATCCCTTGATCTGGATAGCTTACCGTGAACACGTCCCGTCCACAGTGGTCGGCGAGAAGATTTTCAATATTCTCCGCCCAGGACTCGAAACGATTCATTTCTCTCTTTGGTTTCGGGGGACGAGGAACTTTGAATTCCCAAAAGGCTGCTACATCCCCAGAAGATTTAGTCGTCGTGGGAGTGGACAGCTCCTGCAAAGAAAGTAATCAAACATTATGTATCAATTATTCCAGGTTGTTATAAACATTCAACTGATTGATGATGAGACGACGAAAATGTATTATTTAATTTCGAGACCAAAGTAAATACCAAATCATAACATCGACCTGCAATGCATACGACGACACCCACTACTAATCATCCACTAATGAATGGTTAAGTCAATAGCTCAGTTAAAGTTAATAGTTCCGCTATGTGATATCACCTCACTTTGTGTGCAGACAGACGCGATATACAGAAAATTATTTAAGGCAGGCAAATGTTGCATGTGGTTTGGTCACAGGAATGAAGTTACGAATGAAAAGTGAGAACCTAAATAAAACCACTGATATCATCCAAGCCATATTTACTCAATATTTATAATAACACTATAATTTACGACAACGATATATAAATTTCTACTTTCCTTTTCCTTGCGGTGTGTTTGGTTAAAAATTTAATTGTATTCGTACCCGTTTTATGGCTTCATTCATACCTACGCTAACTAACTATGTATGCACGTATGAAATTGGAGACAAAGGGGAGGCAAAGTTGCGAAATATATGAATTTCACAAAAAATATAAATATCAATATGTAATATGACCGATTGTGAGAATTTGCATTGTTGTGCTTATTACCTTATTCAGGGCTGGAGTAGACCCAATATTTCCGATTATCGATTCAACCCTACCCCCACTTGAGTCACACACTTTGCCACCCTCACTGAACACTTCGGGAGAACACAGATTGTCCAAACTCCGGGACCCACTCTTCCTCGCCAGTTTTTTACTCTTGGTGGGGGAGGAAGTCAAAACCTGTCTAAATACTGACTCCTCCTCCTCCTCATCGTGGATTGATTGCTGATTATGACTTGGAGATGGTGTGACCACAACGTCAACCTCGATATGTCTCGGAACACCTGAAGTGGAGGGGGAGTTATGATGTCTGGTCGAAATTCGTCTATCCCTGGGCAATTCGGAGTTCGAATTGGACATTAAGATCTCCTGAAGAGAGAGCGGATCGGTTTCAAAGGAGTTCCTAGTTTGTCTCCCTCCTGGGAGAGAAATGCTTCCAGACACGGTAGAACTCGCGCCGTCACAGTCGACACAGTCTGACCGTCGATATGAGGAGAACGTGACAGGCAGGGATTTTCCGGATGAGGGAGATGACGTGATTTTATTGTTGTGATGATGAGATCTACTCGTGAGATCCCTTGATGGAGGAGATCTCTGGTCGAACATGATTCCTTCACTTTCTACAATGTCGTAAATCCTGGTAGAAGATGAATTATTCCTATCGTTAAATTCGTCCCTGAATCCCACACCGGAGTCGGAATTGCTTGAATTGGTACAATTTTCAAGTCTTATTGATGCCTCGCTGGGGGAGCGTTGTTGTTGCTGCTGCTGTGAAGGTCTGACTTCGTCCTGATCTCGGGTCCCGTGCAGACGAAGAATTGAACTCAACACGGGGTCTGCCGTGGCTGGAAATTCGACGCACTCCTGTAGTCCTAGCACCTGTCCATATTTCGGAAGTGGGAGCGAACTACAGGTAAAACCAAAGGTTCGTGCTCTCCTCAAGTGGTCGGAATGACTCAAAAGTTTGGGATCCACCATAAATACGTGGCAAGAATATGTTGCTGATGACGAGGTACACGTCACAAGTCCAAAGAAACGACGATCCTCGTTATACGCACCGCAAAATGAGATTATTCCTGAAGAATAGAAGGCCAACGGGGGGCCGGTCGTGGCGTTTTGGTGCGAACCAAAGAGGCAAATTCCATTTGGTTTGATTCTCAGGAGGACGATGCTTCTCATCTGGGAAGTAAAAATAAATAAATATTATTATTGGTGGTGGTGGTAATAGTAGTGGTGGTGGTGATTATGATGGGTAAATGGGATACGCATATCTATCAGTTAGTTGGTAAACAGTGCAAGAATAACACAGTACTTATGATAGTTTTGTTTAATTTAGACTAATAAAGACCTCGTCTGATTTATAATGAGTGGATATTATTTCCTCACCCTCCGCTCAACCCGGAGCCGACGAATGCACGCAGTTAGGGCTTGTAATCGTTTTCTCTCCTCAATTGCTGGTATCTCGGCTGATCCGACGTACCCAACAACGGCTTGATAACAACGATAAGAGTTGGGAGAGGATGTAGTAGTATTACTTGTTGTGGTGATCATATTGGTATTGTGATTGAACTGACTTAGTTGTTCCTTAATGGAAGGTCTGCTTGTTCGGCAGTTATTGTTACTATTGCTTAAACTGGTCCGGCTTGTGTTGGGGAAGGGATAAAGATTCTTGTTGTCTTGAGAGGAAGTGGTGGCAAATACGCGAACACTTTCCACCCCGATTTTTGTAGCGGTGTTACGAATTGTTCGCAAGGGTAGGGCAGGGATGGGGGACTCTTCGCCAAGAAGGGAGGTGGCAACAGAGGGTGTGGTGGTTGGTGTGGAAATGGGGACGGACAAGGAACGTGTCGCGGAGTGAGGGGCTGTTTTGTGCTGATGGAGAGAGTCAAAGTGGTCATCGGCACTGTTCGAGTTGCTCGTCGTGGTGATGGTAGTGTTGCGTTTCGATTTGCCTCCAACTCGAGCACGATTATTCTGATATTTTGGACGAGGTTGGGTTATCTGTTTGTAAATAAGGAGATAGAAGGTTACTTAATATGCAACAATGGGTAGATGAATTATAGATTTAGCAAGATGATTATTTCGAAAATATTAAACTTCAAAGTTACTAATCAGTGATTAGTAATCACAAAATTGACATTCTTTTTAAACCGCTTTTTTGAAATTTGAGTATTACTGGTTATAATATTCGAATGTACCACACGTTCGTATGTTGTCGTTGCCACCTCTTTACAAATCTGATACAGTTACAAATCTCGGCGTTACTGAAATTATACTAAATGATAACTTCCTACCTGGAGATCTCCTTCCTCATCCGAGCTCTCACTAAAGTACGAATCTGTCACGTGAAGGCGCAAAAGTCCGGTACACTTTCCGATAAGGGCGACGACCTCGTCATGCGCCAAATGAGACACATCCCTCCCATTAACGCCGACGAGACAATTCCCTGGGTGGAGGTTGGCCCCAGAAGCTGGACTTCCCTCCACAATACAGCGAAGAAGGCACGGTTTTTGTCCCGAAATGGTAAATCCGTACCCCACCTTTCCCCTGGTCAGTTCCACCAGCCGGATCCCGTTCCGATTAAGACTTGTCAACGTGGAGGCCGAGGTCATCCCGCTACCAATCCCACTGCCAATTGTCGCCCCACCGCCACTCGTCGTCGTAGTCGTGACACGTTTCTTCCTCCTACGCGGCATCATCAATCCGACACCACCGCCCCCCAAATTTGGGGAGGGCGCTGTTTGCTGCATTATTTCCATTTTTAACTAATCCTTCTTAAGTTTCTTCCCCACTCGTCGGATCAGCTGGGCAACAAGAAGCGCAGAACGAGGACATGATCACGGTTTCGACTATTACTTGAGCAACCTGTTGATTAAAAATTATTCTTAAAACTTGAACAATTATATCAACAAAGTTAACTTAATCATCCCCAGCGACCTTTGTAAGTTTATAAACTGTGTAAACTTTAAGATGTTATGGACAAATTGTACACAATTAAAGACCACGCATCTCAATTTGAAATATAAGTTTTAAATAGATGAAGAATTTTTTAAACAATAGTCTACTAATCTTTCTTGGTGTGATTTTAGCTTCTACATTTTTTAAAAAAGCTTTACCTGATATAAATTTTGAGAATTAATTTATCTTGATTTCGATTCTTCTGCTGGAGGGCAGTGAAATTCCTCTTTTTGATGTCGGAAACAGTTTCTTCTACTCTACGACTAAATGAACAAGTAGAAATCACGACCAACCAGTAAAATACTAAAAAAGTAGACAACAATCCAATCCACACTTGAGTAGTAACAACTGTCTCTCTTTCTCACTTGTAAAATAACGCACTGCTCTCCCGTCAGAAGTGCGGTGGTGGTGATTGCCATTGGTTGGTGGCATAAGAATCCCATTGTTGTCCACTATATACGAGATATACGGGTCACATTGTTATTGTTTGTTGTGAGGAGAGGGTTCACAAATCACAGGTCAACTCGTAATTTTTTTAGATACCGTAAAAAAACACCCCTCCTTTTAACATGTGGCGCAAGTGGAGGTGTTCCCCTCCTCTCAGTACATACTTTTAAAGAATGGTCGCTGGCGACGAGGAGAGAGAACTTTTTAAATTTGCATGCATGCACCACAATTACAAACCCTTTCACAATAATGAGTGAAACTAAGGAACTTGAAAAAAACTATGATAATGATAAATACGACCACTTTACATACTCACAAACCACCACCTACATGTGTACATCATTCGCGTTAGAGTGAACAAAGAGAATCCACTGCTGATGTAATGTGATCCTAAAGTTAAGTTGTATGAAGTATGTGACGCTGATGAGGATCACTGAAATTTTAATGACACCCGCAACATTGATTATAAATAATCAACATTCTCAAATTATGATGCTGTGTACCAAGTATTGTGTAATTTATAGATACAAAATTTTAGTTTTAGTCGACCTTGGACATGCTGTTGTTCGCATTAGAAAGGTCATATATGGATGAAATTAGCATCAAACAATTGATTGAGGCTGGTGCTCACTTATGCGACATATGCGACTTTTGTGTGATTTGCGACAAATTCCAAAAAGGTGAAAGTTAAGGTCATCGAGGTCACGGATCTGTGCATTCTTCAAAACGAATCAAGAGAATATCTTTGTGATCATTTTAAGCCCATGTTGGACCAAATCGGTCCAATGGTTATCTCAGGACGAAACGAAGGGAGATGTCAACCCCTCTTTGACAAAGTTTCCTCCATTTGCGCCACATGAAAATTTTTTGAGACCCAAAATTGCACTAAACCCACTAATTTAATTATGCTGAACAAGATTTTCGAGGTTTCATTCAAATTAAAAAATAATGTCCTATAGGGGGCGATGACGGAAAAAAATTGTCTATAATCTTTTCACGGAAAATTTCGCTGTTTATTTACGAATTCAGTCTGTCGACACGACATGATAAAGTACCCGAAGCGTTTTGTAAAAAGAAAAATTGGAGCATAAACAAATTATAAAACTCTACTGCCTCCCAAAAAATTATTCACTTCACTGGGAACACAATAAAAGATCACAGAGTAGCACTATAGTTTCATAAAACAATTTTCTCCACACTCCCGAAGAACCTTGAAGTTCTGGAAGAGAATCCCCATCCTTCGTCTCTTCCACAGCAGCGGGCTCGTCGTCATCAATTCCAAGACCCAATTTGATCATTCGATGAATTCGAGCGGCATGAACCTAAAAGAAAAGAATGATATGATTAAATATAAACGTACCATTTTTTAGCCAATATTATTATAATCCACTAAAAGCTTACATCGGGATCCTCAAGACTAAATCCAGACGACAACAAAGCGGTCTCAAACATGAGCATAACTAGATCCTTGACACTCTTGTCATATTTATCTGCTTCAGCTTTAACTCGAAGAGTCTCCACGATGGGATGATCAGTGTTGATCTCGAGATGCTTCTTGGCTGCCATGTAGCCCGTGTCGCGGAGGTCTTGTGCTTTCATGATTCGCTCCATGTTGGCGGCCCAGCCGTACTGAGAAGCGACAATGCAGCAAGGCGAGTCGACCAACCTGTTGTAACAAACAAAATTAAAGTTTTAAATTTGTCGCTGCAATATATTCTTCTCATCAGTATCGGATAAGTCATTTCTCGTTCTTCTACTTCTTCTTACCTGTTGCTTACAACTACTTTCTCGACCTTCTTGTCCAATATGTCCTTCATGACTTTGCAAAGTCCTTCAAACTTTGCCTTTTCTTCCTCAAACTTTTTCTTTTCCTCTTCATCTTCAGGAAGTTCCAACCCCTCTTTGGTATCAGAGACAAGATCGTTGGTGAGAGATTTGTATAATTCACCGTACTCCTGAGAAATATCATCAGCGTTCCTGGCCCAAATAGTTTTGTTCAATTCCTCATAGTCGGTGTACTTTTCCATCATCTTTCTCTTGTCCTTTGCATCTTTTTTGTCTTTGTCGTCTTCCTTCTTTTCCTCACCTTCCTTTACTTCCTCCTCCTCTTCAACTTCCTTTTCACGTTCCTTCTCCACGAGCAACTTAATTGGGTAGCCAATGAATTGAGAATGCTTCGTTACTACTTCCTTAATTTTCCTCTCCTGCAATAAATATATATGTATGTATATGAAGATGAGTACATCAGTAAAATACATTATGCCACTGCATATTATACAAATTATCGTAACAAACGTAAAAGTACATGCAAACGAAAAATAATCACAAATCACTAACCTCACAATATTCTGCCTGATCCTCTTTCATGTGAAGGACAATTTTGGTTCCACGTCCCATACTGGGCCCATTGTCCGTACGGATTGTGAAACTTCCTCCTGCAGAACTCTCCCAGACGTATTGCTTATCATCGTTGTGCTTGCTGGTGACGGTGACCTTGTCTGCAACGAGATAGGCGGAGTAGAAACCTACACCGAATTGTCCAATCATGGAGATATCAGCCCTGGCTTGAAGAGCTTCCTACAATTCAACAAAATTCATTTCTCAGTGATCACAATGTTAAATCATAATTATTAAATAATTAATAATTAAATATCAATAAAATTATTACCATGAAACCCTTGTTTCCAGATTTTCCAATCGTCCCCAAATTACTGACGAGATCAGCCTTAGTCATCCCAATACCCGTGTCGATCAAAGTCAACGTCTTCTCCTCCTTGTTGGGGATGATCTTGATCTGGAGTTCTTTTCCGCTCTCAAGCTTACACGCATCGGTCAACGACTCGTACCTGATCTTATCCAAAGCGTCGGACGAATTGGAAATCAACTCACGAAGAAAGATCTCCTTGTTAGAGTAAAATGTATTGATGATGAGGGACATGAGGTCGGCGATTTCGGCCTGGAAACTTTTAATCTCAACCTTGTCAGTCTTCAACTGTAAACCAAAGAAAATAAATTTTGGAAATTAGATCCAATACGATGCTCTCTCATCATTCCTCACATGACCCGGACAAAAAATACCCAATACAAATGAATGGATTTAAAAAAATCTCACAGCCAATCTCCTTCTGCAGTTCCGGCCCTTTAGGGACTGAAACAGGACGGGAGTGCCCTGTTCGGCCAGGTCCTTGGCCATGGATCGGGTGATTGGGCTCGGAAGGATATTTGGAAGTGGGGATGTGTCCATTTTAATATATATATATTTTTTTAATTTCAATTCCGAGAACTTGACTTCTTGAATGTATCGATCTGGACGAATGGGAGTTGTGAGAAGAAAGGCTGAGGACGCCAGAAAAGGAGAAAATATTTTCTTCCTCGCGAGGTCAGGAGCTCTGTCTCCTCCGCAAGAGGTGAGGAGTCCCAGTCGGGTCATTGGCTTCTCCGCTCCTCGAGTTGACTCCTCGTTGCAGTAGATGGATGACATGGGCAAAATTGTAATAATTAAAAATAAGCAGATGATGCTTCGATCCTCATTAAAATGAATATTTACACTATTTTGAAGGTTTCATGAATAATGCAAGGAATGAATTATGCATGTATGAAATAAGAAGGAACAAAACAAAATGTTATCTAATATTTTCATTCATTTTGCTTTCTCCAAGTAATCTCGTTCAATAGTATTTCTTATCTCGATAAGATTAAATTCCAAAGTCGAACATAAAAGTACAGAGATATTGAATTGTATGTATGCGTGAGGAGTTTTTTGTATACCGATGGATGCTGAGAACAATCGAGAATATTTGGAGTTTTAGTAGTAGTGTTGATAATCTATAGATAATCTATAGCGATTCTCGTGGAAGTTCGGAAATTCGAGACATTCTGCTACAGCAGGCTTATCATCATCAATTCCGAGCCCAGCTTACTTACTCATTTTGATGAATTCCAACACCTTTTTCAACTGAAGATAAAAAAGTAAACAAATATTATTAGGATTAAATATAAATGTGCCATTTTTTTAACCAACAGTATTTTATATTTTTTTGAAGCTTGTTGTCGTGTGAGGAGGAAATGAAGAGAATTAAGCTGTGCCCGTCATCATCCCCGATTCATGGGAATTATTCATCCTCTCCCCAACTTCCTGTGGGGATAATAGCGAACCGGCGACCCTCCGGCCCTTTCGAGATTCGAGTTCCGTGGATGATGGGGAACCAACCCCTCATCAACCACCATAATTTTCGACAACCCATCGTGATAGGGAACATTCCGAGAGGAGGGTCAAGCGTTTTGTGGTGCTGTCTTCCACCACCACGACAATTAAGAGGTTTGAAATTTCATTGACACAACACAATAGCAAGTCTAAATCGGTTTAAAATGTATTTTCTTTATTTATTCAGCTCCCAAAAAACGTCTCTTTCCGTCTGAAAGAAGGCTGGCAATTAAACGATCTTATGCCAAAACTATGGCGGCTGGGGTTCGGTTGAAACGTCTCCAACGAAAACGCACCTGGCTCTCGCATGAGAAACGGAAGGAGAGAAGGACAGAAAGGGCGTTGCGATTCGTGAGGAGGAAGGATCGACAAGAGTTTTACATGGCGCGTCGTCGTCCCCACTCGTATCGTCGCCAAGTGTGGGGGTGGCAGAGAGGGCAGCTCCAGTCTTCACATCGCCCACCGAGTCGTTGTCCCCTCTGGAACTGCCAGCGGCCAAGGAGGCTTCGACGGGACAGATTGATTAGTGTATTTTCTCCACCGAGGCGAGAACGTCCAGTGTCAAGGGCTTCGCGGTTATCCGACATGAGTCGAAGGTGACAAACGAATTAGTAATGAAATTATGTAAAATGTGCGTATAAAAAATCACCGGTTTATTTTCAGGAGTCGGACCCCCATCATAACCCTGTGCTCATCACCAGACCGAAATTATTTTGGATTTTGAATTGATAATCATTGTTAGGAATTGTGGTTTTGTTAAAATTTGAATTTGAAAAAAAAGGTTTTGGGTTGTTTACATTATGCAGACTTATGTAGATGGTTTATAAGTTATAATATTGATTAGTTACATAAAGTTCATCAGGTCCTTAATGTGATTTCAAAAGGGGGTTGAAAATAAATAATCGGATTTTGAAAAGAACGAACGAATATGAGTCATGAAAATAATTATTTTGTGGCCAACTACTAAATGTTTCCTTGTATAGATATATATTATACTTATGATTATGAACATCAAAACATTACAAATTCACAAATACTGCAATTGTATCACTTTTACATTATAACAGAATAATATACCACTCACAGTAAGTAAATATGATGACGGGAGGAGAACAACGGGACACAAAGAGGAGGAACACAGCAGAATTATGTATCTTTTCGATATGAATTTTGAAAAAAAACAACAACAACGAACAATTAGAGACGAGGAGAGAACATATATTAATTAATAATTAATTAATTAACATAATAATAATTAATAGACGGTTGGTTTGGATTTTGTTGCACTTTGTGACCCAATACACGGTAGAGGTACAAGTTTCAAAGTTTAATTTTTCTCATTTCGTTCCTGTCGTCAAATATGGGACCAAGAACACACTTTTCTTTTGCGTGGATGGGGTGGATTTGGATGGGTAGGGTTTGGTTCATTTTAAATTTTCATTGTTCTCTCACATTAATTGTTGATAAGAAATTTGTGTAAATTTTCTGTAAACTCTTTTTCCTCATTGGCTCACTCCAGGGGACTTTTTGTTGTCGCTGTCTTGCGAGGTGGGTGTATTGCCGTGGGGTGGGCGGGACTCGGGGGGTGGAGGCCAGGAATTCGTACCTCCGCCAGGAAGGGGGGAGTCGGCACCAAACGGTTCTGTGTCCAACGCAGCTGCAGCGTCATACTGACTATTTTCTAGCCGCGTTATCAACCTCTCGTCCTCGTCGCCAAACTCGCCCCCCATCAGGGACGGCTCCCCCACGACCATGACGTCCTGGGAGGCGAGGGAGAATGCCGGCCCGGGCGAGCGTTTCTTATTCACGGAGGGAGGATTCCCCGCCGCTGAATTCCCAGTCGAATTGGAGGAGGAACCTTTACGTTTTCTTCGTTTTGACTGAGGTCTCGCCGTTTCTGAGAGGACAAATTAAATTAATTAGCTTCCACGAAACTTTTACATTATCACAATGGACCTACTCAGTCGTTCAGGTCGCAAAGTACAATTTATTACACAATGGCATACCCAGAAATTTATTGTTTGTAAACTAAATAACAAGTTTTATAACGCATCCAATAATGTTTCTAGCAAACTTATTAGAAAATCCGAAACTATTTGTCCCAGTAAGCTTGTCAAATCCTGCGAACTATTTTATACATCCCAAACAGTCCGACTTTTATTATATGTACCCATTTTTGTATCACTTTGTAAAAGCCATTTCACGAAATTTACAAAGATTACAAAGTTATAAACTGAATTGCAAGCTGTGGCCCAATTTATTGCACATTTTGACCTCGTGAGTACCCATTATGATGGCATGGCTATCTTCTCTTTTTTACAGCGCAATTTAATTATTGTCCTACCTGGTGGAGCCACCATTCTTTGCCACTTCTGGAATAGCGTCGTTTTTAGACAATCTCGGGGTGATAAAGCGTACGCTTTATGCCTTGACATTAACTCCTGCATCGGCTCCAAAATCACACACAGCTGCAGAACAAATAGAAAAAGAATAAGTGTTGGAAAGTTTAATGTCGTACAATAAAGACTGACTGAAGAACACAATGACTTACTCGTAAATAATTTAAAGTTGAATTGGTAAGTCCTTGCCGTGTTATATTCTTTGTGAGTTGGTCAATCATGTTGGGGTCTTGTTGTTGGGCATGCATCGCGACTGCACTCTTAGGAACTAACTCACGAGCAGTTCTCACAGCAAAGTGCCACGACTTGATTCGCATCATGTCGTCGAAAGTGAACTCTAATATTAATCTACCTTCGGAGCAAACCTATCCAAAGAACAAAAATAATCAACATGATTAATTATTCATAACTTGTCTCACAAACGTAGTGAGCAAATTCACGCCAATCTTGCCAACTAACTGTGTTCCCAAAGAAGGTCTTCGGGAACACATTTTACAAGGTTTATAGCGCTGGTGGCAAAGATGGCTAATGGGACGCGCAGTAATAAGTCCATTTGCGGTATTACCTGAGTGAACATGGGTTTCCCGTGGACAGTGATCATTGTACATTGCTCACAGTCGAGGGTGATGCTGGTATTGTGGAAGGATTCTTTGGGATGTCTCAAGTTGTAGGACAACTCCGTCACACCCCCGTCAAAAATGCTCCGGAAGTAGCGGGGTATTAGCGTCCTTCCGATCGCTGCAACCATAAACAAAAACATTTAGCATTATGTAAGATGTAAAGCATTACAAGTTTTCGACTATTATTCTCGACTCACTGTAACGTTTGAGACCATCTTCGAGGCAAAAGGTTAGCGTGAGTGTGGCATCATCTTCGAAAAATTCGGTCGCGAAAGCATCCCACCACAAGTTGTCGCTATCCTCCGTCCTTTGCTGTAGCCGCTTGTTTAACTCGTACAATCGATAATCGGGTTGACCAAAGCAGGGGGCAGCTCGTCTAGGGATGGACATGGGTCTGTAAATCACAAGAAATAAATATATTAACCTACGTCAAAATACCTACGACCATGTAGAAATTGAATCAACTAATTAAATTACTATAAAAGTTAGTATTACAAAGTACAGTCAACTTGAGTAACAATTTGGTATGAATACTTTATGTTCTGTGACCTCAAAGGCGAGCAAAGTGTAAAATTTTTGAGCATAAAGTTTCAAATTTTATCGTCATTGTAAGATTTGTACTGCGATATGTACATAAGTATTTACGGATCCTCACAAATTTCAAATTCGCCCTCAGTTTTGTCAACTTAAAACAGTTTAAGCATTTATAAAGCTTATGTAACCCGACAATTAGTGAAGACTACCCTCTAAATTACTATCCAATTTAAGTAACCACCTATAATAAGGTCCTCCAGGATGGTTTACAGGTGGTCCAGGTCCGCAATAAAACTGGTCAGACCCACCACCACACCTTCCACTCATGGGGCCACCCCCAGGACCAGGTCCAGGTCCTCCACCTCCCGGAGGTGGGAGCGGGATTCTAGAAGACGGATGGTTTTGGTGATGATCGGGCGGAGGTGGTCCTCCCATCCCTCCTCCGTTCGGAATGGGGGACTGGGACACGGGGAGACAGTTGTTCGACCCGGGCGGGCCACAAGGAGGTGGTCGCGAGGGTGGCATCCAGCCCCCGCCTCCTCCTCCACCACCACCGCCTCCACCCCCCCAGGGGTCACCACCACCAGAATGGTTGGATGAGGAGCAGCAGGAGGCACAGGAGCAGGGGGGTGGCGGGCGGGATGGGGGTTGGTCGACCCATCGATCGACAAGGCCCGGCCCGCCACCACCGCCATCCACACCTCCCTTGTCGAGGGGTCCGCCACTCCCCCCGAGAAATTCGGACTTGAAGTCGAAAAACTTTTTCACCTCGGGAGGCGGATTTATCGGATTGTTACGTTTTTTACCCGTCGTGATTAGATTTTAAAGCCCAAGCGGCTAGAGATTATTTCATTCTCATTATTCTCACTTTCACCACCACCACCACGACTGACTGGAACTTCAGTGACGAATTGTCCCAACAAGAATGATGAATTATTTAGCACGACAAGTTGTTCTCCTGTCTCACTAATGAAGAACCATCCGCAACAGTAGCAGCAGAGTCACAAACCACCACGACCAGTGAGGAGAAAGCAAGTAGTAGTCGTAAATTTATTATCACACTTTCCACCAACACCACCACCACTACGAGTACGACCACCAGTACCACCGCATTGATACAGTATCGACGGATCCCATAAATCCAAATCCACACCTGTAGGATCGCTACCACAAGAACGAGTCAGATGATCCTGACTACTTGACAAAGACGACTGGTCACCTCCAGCACGTGGCCATTAAAAAAATCAACGCAAAGGGGATGATGATTTACTAGAGTGAAAGTGGATGATGATGATGATCGGGTCTCTCACACACTCACTCTCTCTCCATGCAATGTATGTACTGATGGACATGTAGGAGAGAAAAGGAAAGCAGGAGCAGCAGCTTAGTTCCACCACCACCGTCCCCGCTTGGCTTGCATTGCGAAATGATAATATTAAAGAAATTTCGGGTAGGGGTTGTTCATTACTACGATTGACGACTCTTGCTCCTCTCTCTCAACCTGCATCTCCTCCTCCAACAGTGGTCGTCCGTCCAAGTCGTCGTATTATTTATTATACAGGCAAGAAGCAAGAGAGAGAGAGAGACAGCTTAGCTTCTAAAAACTTGAACATTATTACATACCAAGCAAGCAAAGCAACACAAGCATGGGCAGACTTTACACCATCACCACCACCACCCACGTATATCGTCTACTTTCTTCTACTTTCATCCATATCCGAAACCTGACTTTCCCTGGTACGTACGTAAGCTAACAACTTTCCTGCTACCCGTCCCAGCACGAGTTGCCTGCATACTAGTCACTGGTAGTGGTGGTAGCTGTGTCGTCTTCTTTCTCTCCACCACCACCACACAACAGGGAGGAGACTGACAGTAGGAGAGAGAGGGAAAGGAGAAAGCAGTGCTGTCTGCGATGTAGTGTGCTCCTCATGTACGTACTCCATTTCAAACTAGGGGGCCCATCATCTCTCTCTCTCTCTAACTATTAAGCCGAAGAGAGAGTTTTCTCTCTGCCAGCACGATATACACAGAAATACATACAGAGAGAGAGAGACTAATAACACGAGGATACGACGAGGAGTGTTTCTTTTCCATCCACCACCACCACCTTTCCCTTCGAGCCTGACTAGTTAACAATATGCTGGGCTGCATATATAGCGGACAGAGTCCTTGATTTCTCTCTATCTGCTTATTTCCTATATATATGACGTTAAGTTTAACGGTGGGATGGATGGTGCAGCAGGCAGAGAGGTTTTTGGGAAACGGTCAAGACCATGTACTTATGTACCAGATAGGGACGGACGTACTTTCACTTTCACCACCACGAAAACCAGACCAATTCACACATTTGAACTACAATGGCCCACTCCAGACTTGAGGTGTATTGTGGTCCAAAACCAAACTTTGATGATTACATGTCACTACTGGTGAGGAGGACACTTAAATTTTCATCACTCATATTCCTTCCCCCTGCCTCCAACTCTCTCTCTCTCTCGGGGCAACAAATTATATACTACTTGTCGTCGTCGTCGTCAGAATTGAATTCAAGAATCAATAAGTAACATAAGCTCTCTCTCTCTCTCTTCCTTTCTCCATCCATCCATATGTATTCATTCATAGCGTCACCCACCAGCACCACCACGAACAAGCGACACGTCTCCTCTAGCACCTCGTCTCTCATGCATATTAATAAATAGGAGGAATCCAACTAATAAATGTTTCCCAAATCCAAATCTCTCTCCCTGATTTCTTATTTTTCGACGAGGACATCGTCCTAATAAGTTTTTCTTTGTATTTCCTCTCGACTAGAAATTCCTCACTTTTTCCCTCCGACTGACTTTCCTTCGTCATCTCCTCATCATCTTCATCTTCTTCCTCCTCCGTGTTCTTCTTCAACTAGTCATCGTCTCCTTTTTTCAGCCTCCTCCTGATCAATTTATCCTTCTGCTGCTGCTGCTCCTCTTTCAAAAAGCTAAGAGAGAGAGAGAGAAGTTTACCCTAAAAAAATTTCCTGGGAGGAGGATAGGACCCTCTGTAAAAATGTTAAAGCTCTTTTGCGTGTTGCTCTCTCTCTCTATCTGTCTATAGGCGGAATATATATCGTTTGGTGGTGGTGGATATAGCGTGTGATTGGAGGTTAGGTTGGTGGCCCCTCGGACAAAAAGCCGGGTATAAAGCAGCAGTACAAACCAAACCACCACCAAGAAGAAGGAGAGCATCGTACCACATTTTGTATATGTAAGAGCGAGCACGAGTACTTATGTACGATGAGGTAACTGCTTGGTTTTGGTCGGACTTTTTAGTAGATGAAATGATATCATGTTCACCGACCGTCGTCGCAGCGATGCGATGGATGAAAATTGTGCAGTTTTACATATTTTTTTTCTTACTCGGGGATATTTATTTACCAAACAATGTGTGAGAGAGATGGGAGAGAAGAATGCGTCTCTTTTAAACAATGAACGTATTTACGTACTACTGGGTAAACCAGTAGTACTAGTGAGTGAGTGGCATGCCATGCACTTTCTTCCGTGGTTTGTTGGTCAGCTTTTTTTATGGATCTTCTCAATCCCACTCTTTTAAACGGTGTGGTCCAAGCAGTAGTATTAGTAATGGTATGTAAAGTACATAGATATTTCCATCGAGTGGTTGGTGATATACTTAACCTTAGGTGGAAATGGAAAGTCCATGTAATAGTCGAACATCATTCAGCCCCATACCACACACACGCTCTGGTCTCACATTATTATTATATTATCGATACCACACCACCAACCAGCATCAACTAAATAAGTATTCCTCCACCACTACAAATACTTAATTCACCTCCATTTCTTTCTACCTGTACTGCAGTAGTAGAACAAGACTACTTACCTCACCATGCCACCACCAAGCCACCTCATTCAATAATAACTCGACACCAATTCCCGCACTGGATGGCAAAACATGTCACGAAAAGAATGGATGGATGACAAGAGAGAAACAGGAAACGACACGATACAATATGTAAATGTATATCTATGTACTATTACTGAGAACTATGTGAAAAAATTGATCAATTTATTATGATGGATACGTTCCAAAGAAGGGTTTTTTTCTTGTCCGGTACGACGCCACGACCGACGCGATGCGACTCATGGAGAGGAAAATAAGCTAAATTTGCTCTCCGTCAATACCGTTTAGTAATGATGATGCTGATGATGATGAGGGCAGTCAATATCCAATTGGAGAAAACAGTTCATGCATAATAATAATAGTTTGGCAGAGTTTTTAGTGTAACATGCCTACATATGTATGTATGTACATATGAATGTACCATATACCTGGTTTGGTCAGGTAGAAGAAAAAAAAGGACGACGAGTTAATAGTTGGGAAGGAAAAGGAAGTGTATATAGATTGGTGGGGGAAAACAAGCCACCAATTTCACATGTGTATCGATTTTAAGGAACAATTGGCCCAAAAACAGCATGACATGACATTCCAAGTAACTCGTCTACTCGTGGCGTATGAATGCATGTGTACTCGACGTTATGTTATGCCATGTCCAGTGTTGGGTGGAATAATTTTACTTTTCTTTCTCTATTATTTCCCTGTCAGTTTGTCATTCTGCGACACATATTTCAAAAAACAGGACAGAAAGAAAGAGAGTACGACGGTGGGACACAGAATGTCAGGTGGAAACGGGGAATTGATATGTTTTTTCTCCGAGGAAATCCGATATACTGCAGAATAATGATTATGTCGTCGTGCTGTGTACTAAAACCAAACAAATGAACTAATCTTGTAATCCGATCCTAGGCAAAAACCCGACATGAAGACGAATCAATCTCAGGAGTGGAAGGTCACTACTTGTCGGGCCCCGATTTCGATCTCCTTTGGATATGTTGTAGTACTACATGAGTGTAGAAAAAGTGAAGGAGGGTTAGACTCCATGAGCCCATTTACGCCCGCCACACCCCCTCAAAGGCGCCCAAACCCCCAGAGTCGCCGCACTAAAATCATCGCCAAAAATCGAGTTTTGGTCAGATTTTCAAGAAATTTACATTTTTGTGATCCCAGATAGTTGCTCTATCATATCCAATAGCAAACTCAACTTTTTTGAAATTTTCAATATTTTCGAAGATTTTCTGACCAAGGGTATGTATTGAAAAAATTCGAAATTTCAAAAAAATTGAGTTTGCTATTGGATATGATAGAGCAACTATCTGGGATCACAAAAATGTAAATTTCTTGAAAATCTGACCAAAACTCGATTTTTGGCGATGATTTTAGTGCGGCAACTCTGGGGGTTTGGGCGCCTTTGAGGGGGTGTGGCGGGCGTAAATGGGCTCATGGAGTCTAACCCTCCTTCACTTTTTCTACACTCATGTAGTACTACAACATATCCAAAGGAGATCGAAATCGGGGCCCGACAAGTAGTGACCTTCTACTCCTCAGCCTAGTACATGCATACAAAGTGAAAGTCCAGAGGTAGGAAAAACTTACACTGACGGAAGGTCATACATTTGTATTATTATTAACGCCACTCTTCCCTTACATAATAAATTTAGTGAATTGATTGCAAAGAACTCGGTAATGCTACGATTTATGTATGGACCGAAGCTGTCGCCTAGATTTTAAAAAAAACTTTGCTCGTCAACTTGATAAAAGTTTACACAGTCGGAAAAATTTAATTTCTTTTTGAACTCAGTTTCTGCTTGATTTGCAGATTATAAAGTAGAAACTTTTTCCCTGCTAGCGTATTGATGCAACGTTCTGTAGTATAATTGAGGCCAAAGGATAACGAGGGAGTGAAGGAACAAGTAGCGAAGCAAATATTTGGACTTCTCCGAGTCGAGTTTGTTTTCTCCTCTTCGTTCTCAAATTAACCAGGCAACGCCATGAATCTGATTTTCATGGTACTAAATTTACATCTTTCTTCGAGATTCGTGTGTACCAAATTTTTGGAATGGTTCGAGTCCATATTGTTCTTAAATTGACTGTACTTTTGGTAGAAGTGGAGGGAAATAGATAAACGAATCAAAATGAGGATGAAGCTTACCCATGGTCAGGTATCCTATCAGGCATAAGCCCAGGCATCCCAGGATTTTGTGGTGGGCCGGGAGGTAAATGTGGTCCTGGAGGAAAAATGAAAATTCAGAACATGAGAAAGAATTTCATAAAGGAATTAGAATTTAAAGTAATAATGTCGACATGCATTTGTCGCTGTCTGAAATTGCAAATATCGTGTTTTGATTGATATTAAAGAGAAAGTATGATGTGAAACTGCTTGTTGATTTGGTAGTATTAATTATTTTTCAATTCGGCGTAAAACTTTAACTTGACGCAAATCATAAATTATTTTACAAATTGCAAACTAGTTGACATTAACATCGTGCTAGCAACTTTTTTCAAAACGTCTCTACAATTTCAGAAAATAACATGGAACGGTAACAATCTACGCTTGATGCAAGTCGGACTGTGGCAATACAAATCGCGAAAAGGTTATGTTCTAATTTGTATTTCATTCCACTGTTTTCTGTCACTTACCGGGAGGTATTTGTTGTTGAGAGTAGTGATGTGAGGGGAAAGGGGGTGGGACAAAATTGTTGTTATGTCCACCCCCGCCGGGAACGAAGGGGCCTTGGTTTGGATAGGGCGGGAACGAGTTGTTTCTCGGCCGTGGAGGTGGACCACCGCCGTTGGGAGGAAAGTTGTTGAAATATGGCGAGTTGGGACCACCGGGACCGTTGTAAAGGCCGGATTGAGGGTTAAATTGACCTCCGCCGTGAGGTGGGCCGTGAGAATTGAATCCGACGGGGGTGGAGGAGCCAGAGGGGACTGGGGAGTGGGCGTAGTGAGGGGGTGGGCACGGGGTGGAGGGGCCGCCGCCGGAAGCTGCACCCCCTTGCGGTGTAAATGGACTTCCTGCTGCGGGCACACTCCCGCTCGTCGGGTAACCGCCCCCTCCTCCGCTCTAGAGAAATAGAAAGAAAAAGTTTTCAATTTTATGTTGCACGCTTGCAAATAAATTTGGTAAAATTGGTTTGGTTGGAACAGAGCACTATACACAATTAACGCCAAGCTTTGAGACTGTACAGTCAATAAAACAAATTTCATAAACTGTGAAAACGCACAAATGGGGACAAAGTTAAGAAACAATTATATGGGAACGGTTTGAAGCTACACCTCACAGATTATTAAACCTTTTTATGTGCACTTTACATACACAGTTTCAATGATTACAAAGATTGGCGTGAATTCTTATGCACTGTTATCTTAGCGTAGTTAGTTAGTTGTATTGACTGGGAACTGGTTAAGGGTGATGGAATTTCTGCCCGCCAAAAACACGTGCCCATTTGATTAACATTGCGAGCGGGCTGAAATTCAAATCAAATCCATCACCCTTAACCAGTTCCCAGTCAATAGTTGGCTGAATGACGGACGGACCTGGTAATTAGGAGTACCCGGGGCGGAGAAGGGCGAAGTGGTTTGGTTGTTGGGGGTGGCCGCAAAAGGCCGGTTGCCCCCTCCCGTAGGGTCACTGCCCGTTGTGTTGGGTGATATTATCGACTTGGTCCACAAGCTATTTCCTCCAGCTGGTCCGAGCGCCGTCTCTGGTGGCTCCAGCTTTGAGCTAGGATTTTACAAAATTTCAAAACAATTAACCAACGTCAAACTTTGGAAAGCACAATTTTTAAAAAGTCAGCACCAACCTTTAAATAACGTAGAAAGATAAATTTTTTTGTAATGTGGTTCTTCACGGTTGTGTTTATCAGCGGCGGGTGACCCGCACCAAATTCGGAACCATAAACTGATATTCTTCTTGGCGAATTGGCAATTTTTGTAAAAAGAAAATAGTTTCCTACTTTCTTCGCTCAGATTGCAATTTGTAATCTTGCAAAAGTCGAAATGTAAAGGAACAAACTGTCCAAAAGTGTTCTTTTTTGTGAATTAATATAAATTGACAACTCCTCCTACACCACTAACTACGATATTCAGATTGACTGACCCAGTGAGTATGATGAACGAGCATCATTAATGATTAATTAATTAATAATGCACTCCTCGTGTCCCATTAATAAATATATATATGAACCACTATACCATTTTGTCCTAATAACTACTCTGTTGAATATTTTACTATGTCATCACCGGAAGTTTGAATTAATTAGTAAAATATAAATTAAAATATTTGGAGTAAATGTCTTCTGAATTTGTTAAGCCTTGTTCTTCTCACGATTGATTCCATTCATTCGTAAATAATTGACGAGATTTACACCACGGCGGCAGCGACGACGACAACACAAGGAAATATTTTGGAATTTGACGAAGCCGGAATTATTTTATCGTCCTCGTTTTTATGCTTTGTTCTTCCACTACTCGAGGACTTGTTCATGGTCACTTTTCCAGACGGGATAATAAATTATACGGAATTTCACCAAACTTTTTTTAGCAAACTAACCACGCATCGATACATGAACAACAAAACAAGGTCAGGTTAATTTGCAGCAACGACAACAACTAAACCTGGCTTCTCGTTCAAAATATATAAATTCAATGTCGTTTTTTATATCCCAATTTAAAATCACTGTTCGTCACCATCACCGGGAAAGGTAAGCTGGCATGTGGTGGTCATACTTCTTTAATTCTCCCTTCCGGCGGCGGATGATTATCTCAAATCGAAGAGTAGTAGATTCAGATTTAAATCTCACTCGATAAATTAAAAGTCTTTCCGTAATTAAATTATTGTCTTGGTCTCAACTTGTCTTTTCTGACTTATCCCCCCTTACTAAAATAAAACTTGTTAAGTAATTCGACCCGTTGGAAGGTTGGAATTAATTTTGACAAATTGTAAAAAAACTGATCCCCACACCGGCGTCGTCGTCTTCTTCGACAACAACTCCGGATGATATCTTAACCCCGTCGCTGTTACGACTTAACGGGTCGTCTCGTCAAATGATCCCTCCTTAAAAATGAATAACAAGCAGATGATTATTATTTATTCTTGTCCACTTTCTTTAACCAATCAACCAACCACAGTACTACTTACATACTTACATACGTACTACTACAAATATACATTAGTTAACTAACCCACCAACTCACCAATATTTAGATTTCTTCTTCCCGTCAACTTTGAGCCTTCTCCTTACCACTAACAACAATCTTAACTGTGTTGGTAGGGACGACGACCGTGCTATTATTGGGGGTGTTGATGATACCGACTTCTTTTCCTTGGATGAGCGACCTGGCATTGGTTAAAGAAGTGGTAAAGATTTTTTGGTGGTGTTGAGGAAGAAGTAGCGGTGAAGTGCCATCACAAAACTCCATTGACTCGTAGATATATCTAAATAATAATGGTGCTCCTTACTTACTTAATACTACTACACCTTACTTACTTTTACACCACTTTTTCAAGTAGTAGTTTTGTACTCACTTACTTCAAAACGCTGTCTATCCATCCATCCATCCACTATTTGCCGTCCGTCTAGAGTATGTATAATAACTGAAAATGAGGATGATCATCATCATCATCATATCATGGTGGCTTCTTCCCTTCCACGGGATTTCATTTCTTTTTTAGGGGCCCACAAAACTGGATGGACTTCAAAGCAGCAAAATATTCCAAGAGATCACGACTCACCAAAGTTGACCACTTTTTGTATGTACGCCTCTCACAAGCCCGGCCCGTGGTGGCTCAATTTTGCCGACAATTTTCCCGTCTGCCTACAATCTTTGGGACGTTAGGCAGCCAACCGACTCCCGATTCGGGGTGGGAGGAAGGGTCCGTTTCCGGGAGAGGGATGACCTTTCCGGGGAACACGGGTTTCCGCCTGGGTGACCTTTTTATTCGTCGTGACCCCGCGACAAGGGGAATCTTAGCGTGTCGACAAAGTGGAGCCAGCGGCAGTAGGAATCGGGGAGAGACCAACGCTTTGCACCAATCAGAAGGAAGCCTGGCGCATTTAAACGTGGTAATGAGTTAGCATCATCGTCACCCCTTTTCTTCCCAGAGAAGAGACGCTTCTACCACGATATACGGTACTGACTGGCTGCATAATAAAATAAACCTGGGTTTAGTACAAGAGAAATATTTTAAAGTTTTACACCAGAATCACACACAATCACACAGAGAGAGTTTTGTCCTTCGTGTATATATTCTTACCTTTTCCTCCCTAAAAATCCTGCCTCTCAATAATATATTACGCCAACGGAGAAAGAGGAAGGAATTTATTTTTTTTGTTATATTTCCGAATCAAAATCATGGGTATGCATTATATGAATTTTTCTTTATTTTTATTATTATTTAATTTCTGTTTTTTTTGTTGATGATGACTGCATAATAATAATTGTTTAGAGAGCATTACGAAATTGGGGAATAAATTAGAGAGTTGGGGAGGAAGAAAATGTGAAATATATTTCTGGATGTCTTAATTTTTCGAAATATAATTGCATCAAATTTTGACAGCATTGTTTTGGAGGAATGTTATGTTGTTAGAACGAAAAGCCATGGACGTGTTTGGCCGTGTTGTGAGAGTGGCCTCACCAAAGAAAAAATAGATGCGGAGGGGAAAGCCGAGATTTCTCAGTGTGGTGGCACCGCACTCCACAAAATAATAAATCACACCAGCTGAGGCCACTGTTTTGACTAACTAAAAAGATTTAATAGGTTTACAAAATAATTAACGAGACGAGATAAAATTTTTAGTTCATAATTAGACGAGAAATTGGAGAGTCTGACAGAATTGGAGTGACGAATTAGAAGAGTCTTATTTTTAATGTGTATTTAGTTAGGTGACTATTTTTAAAAGTGCGTAATAAGTAATAAATAATGATAAGGGGGGATATTTAGTGGCAAGGGTTTAGTTTTAGTTGTGGAGGCTGGTTAAGGTTGATAAGAGGTGGAAGGTTAGATAAGGTGGTCGATAAGTTTTTTGGCTAGAGGTTCATGAAGTTGTAGTGGTGAAGGTATGGCGTTATTACGTCGTATATCGAGTCGATATTATCGACCAGTTCATAGTGTATTGTAATTACAAATTAATTGTCTTCCCAGCAGGTATCAAAATCAAAATGACGGACAGTTGTGACGCCGTGGAACGCGAGTTGGACAAAGTTCTCCAAAAGTTTGGTTGTGTTTCGGAACATTTTAATCGCACGATTGATAAACAGATCGAATTTATAAAAGCGCTCAAACAGCAATTTGAAGAAGGTGAGAGTTCAGTAATAATAATAATAATATTTATTCAATGAGTAGATTTACTTCAAGTTGGTCCTAAAAGTGATGAAAAGTTTAAAAAATCCTAATTATTACAATACTTCATTCATGATTATTTTAATAATTACAGTTTCTGACGAATATGAACTTACTCCTAACCAAGCCTCTATTTTATGCGATGCGGTTTCACAAGTTCGAGAAACTGTGAGTCGGGCAGCCACCGATCATCGCGACTTGCACAGCAGCGTATCAAAAGTGGGGAAAGCTATTGACCGAGTGAGTGCTATTGGGATTATGTAGTTAAGTTTAGTTAAATAATTAACGAATTACAATTCTGGTGTTTAGAATTTCAATCCTGACTTTGGTGCTATCACCCGTGACGGACTCTTTTCCGGAGAACGGGCTAAAATTTTGACCCAGGTTGTCTGCCAACATCTCTATCGGCAGGGAATGTTGGACATTGGCGACGGATTGTGCAAGGCAAGCTAAAAACAAATTTATAATATGTAAATGTTACGAATTTATATAACACAAAAATTTCTAATTAATTTTCAGGAGGCAGGTCTAGAACTTGACGGAACGTACAAAGAACCCTTCGTTGAACTTCATCGCATTTTAGAAGCCCTGAAACAGCAAGACCTCACCCCCGCTCTAGACTGGTCAGCAGACAATAGGGACGCCCTTATCGCCCAGGGCTCCTCCCTCGAGTTCAAGCTCCACCGGCTAGCCTTTCTCAACCTGGTCAAAAAGGGGCGATGGTATCAAAGTGCAGCTATTACGTACGCGAGACAAAACTTTAGTCAGTTTGTGAAACGACATGAGAGGGGTGAGTCTTTTTTAGTGATAAAATAATCACGCCAAGCATTGCAACATCTGTAAACTTTCCAAATTAACAAAAAAAAATCTGGGACCAACTGCTTGAATATACACATGGTTATTTAAATATCTAACATTATTCTGGATTTCTTAGAGGTCCAAACCCTGATGGGCTGCCTGCTCTACGTTCCTGCAGGCATGGAGGGCTCTCCATACGCACATTTGTTCGATAATGGGTTGTGGGACGATATTCAGGACACCTTTACTCGCGATGCATGCGCTAGACTAGGACTCTCAGTGGATTCTCCTTTAGCAGTGTGGTCAGTTGCTTTGTTTAAGTGACCCAATTAAATATATGAAATTGTTAACAACTATTTTCTTGCTTAATGTTACAGCTTTTCTGCCGGTTGCACAGCACTGCCTGCCTTGCTAAATATATGTCAAGTCATGCAAGCTCGCCAAGTGAGTAGCATTTGGAATGGCAAAGACGAACTCCCCGTAAGTTAATAATGTTTATAATTTTTCGTTAGTTTCGTTAATGAAAAGGTCTCAATTGTAGTTTTTCTCTTCTTTTCACAGATTGAAATCGATCTGGGCAAAGAGTTTCATTACCATTCCGTCTTTGCGTGTCCTATCCTCCGCCAACAAGCATCAGAATCCAATCCACCAATGAGGCTGATGTGCGGTCATGTCATTTCGAGAGATGCGCTGCACAAGTTAGCATCAGGAAATAAGTAAGTTTTTACTTATTAGCCCAACTTAAATTTGTGTAATTATCTTATCTTATCAAAATCCATTTCCCATTTCTAGACTAAAATGTCCCTACTGTCCTGGAGAGCAAAATCCTAACGAAGCTCGGTTAATTACTTTTTAAGAAAATTTCCCTCATCCCCTCTCACATGACATCATCACCATCACTATACTTTTTTAAACTCTGATCGTTATTCTCGTCGTAAATAATTTTATCGGTGTCGTCGTGTCGTATGTCTACTCCGTGCGTGGCGTGTATTTATATAATAATCCGAAAAAATGTCGTAATTCGTTATGTCTACATTTGTTAAACACTTTGCCCGTGAGCGAGTGAGTGTAGTTAATGAATAATAAATTTTAATGGGAAAGAGCACTCAAATCTTAAATCGGGATAATAATATTGCATTACGTGGTCTTGTTATCAATCAAATCACATGAGTAGTACACACACTTGTTCAACTCCTCATCAGCTATGTGATCATCCAACTAAATCAACTAAATCCGCAATTCATCATTATTGTTACTAGTACATATATTTACTAATTGTTTAATTAATTAAATTATTATTAATAAATAGTGCCCATGTATTTACTTACTCTACATGTTTTGATAAAAATGAAAATGTTGAAAAACAACAATAAACAAGTCGCACAAGTTTTTTTATCACTTCATTTTTATTTTTCACGGGTGCAATCACAAATAAGGAAATTAATTTCATTGTTCCTTGCATCGCGTACTTTGTGCCACGTAGTGATCAATGGGTACATAAACTTGTATATTTATTACGAATTTATAAAACTCACCCACCCAACGAACAAAAAAAATTCACAATTTGTAGTAAAAATTTAATGACAAGTTCATAATATATCAAATTAGTTGATGAAACACAATAAATGATTAGCTAACTAATCAACAAAGAAGACAAAGAATCCTATTTAAACTTAAACAACAGGGAAAAAAGTAGTCGAAAAAATTCATGAAAAACTAAACTTCCCATTTAACAAAAAATCCAAAAATTGAACAATGGAAATTATAACAAATTCATCCCTCTAACTCCACATAGACTTCGTGTTACAATCACAATAATGCATATTATTAGCAGCTTCACTATGATAACACATTATCATATCGTCATATATTCTCCTACTCACTGTACTATTCTAATCTTCAATACCATAATACCGTACCACTTATTTTCTATTATCGTCTCTCTCTCTCTCTCTTTCGTCGTTAAGATATCAAGATAACATTTAAAACTTATCTTTTGTCAGAATAATTTTGATTTCTCTCATTTTTCCATCTTCGTAGAAAAAATACGTTTAAAAAATTCCTCCTTGTTTCTCTTTTTGAACATTTGTCCCCTAATTTTTTTTTAGTTAATACCGCAATTCAAATATTTGTAGAGTTTCAAATTGCTTGGAAATATTGGCTGCACTTTTGTTTACATTTAATTTGTATTATTATTCCGAGGGGGTAGAATTTACTCATGATTTACGGTGATGATCCCCACTCCCTCCACCACCTCCTCCTCCTCCAGGGAACCAGGATCCAGGTGGAAATCCTGGCGGCAGGGCTCCCATCCCACCCAATCCACCAACACCCCCTTGGCCTTGGGCCTGCATGAAGAAATCTTTATAAAACTGCTCCACCGCGCCGGGAATTGTCATGAAGTTGGGAGGTGGAGGCGGCATGAAGAGGGGGGCATTGGCGAGGAAGTGTAAATAGGCGGGGTCCACCTTGCCAAAATAAGGGTGGAGGAAAGGGTTATTTTGTCCGGGTGAGGATGACATTGACATCGCTGCCGCCGCCGTGGCGAGCGCTGACGACGAGGAGGAGGAGGAAGGTGACGAGGAAGAAGAGTGTTGATGTTGTTGGTGTTGATGATTACGATCTCCACCACCACCACTAGATTTGGATGAGCTGTGATGACTCTGTTGCGGCTGCTGGTCGTGTGACTGACTACTACTCGTCCGGTCGTATAATGATGAAGAGGACGAAGCACCTTTTGTATGTTTCCGTGTCGCAGTGACGTGTTCCTTAATTGTGGAAGAGGAAGAAGTCGGACGAGAAGAGGTAGCACTAGAGGATAATCCAGAGGATGTATTCCACGGTTGGATATCTATTTCATGAACCGTTTTTGGATGCGATAACAACGCCGCGTTAGCACTGTGGCGTGGGTTGGCAAAGTTGTGTTGCATCACGCCGTCGAGGGAGGAGGGGTACGAAGGGAGGTACTTGGAGGAGGGGAAAAGTGTCACTTCTGATGTTAGACGGACCCCTCCGCCAGCCATGTTGGACAGTGGGGAGGACGAAACGTCGTTGTGAGACATTTTCCCGGAAGAAGAACGCACCGAGGGGCGGGGAGTTAGGTCCATCATCAGGTTTGATGGTGAAGAGGATGAGTTGAGGCAGTTCTTCTTTTTAATTGTTAAGCTTGAGCGGCTGTTATCTTGACGAGATTTGCTGTTGCCACTACCACCACCACCGCGGGCCTGACTATAGTCCAAAATGTCCAAGTTTCGTAATTCGACGCCTCTCTGGAGAAATCCGGCGTGTCGCTTGGCATCATATGGGTCGCAGCAGATCGTGTTCAGGATGGGGATGTAGAGACAGGGAGATGTGCCAGCCAGGGTCTGGAAATCGGTAGGAAATTATAAAGTATTAATATTAGAATATTAAATTTACTAGTGGGGAGTGTGCAAACGCCAAGATTTGGACGTAGAAAATCTATAAATTTAAATTGCCTCATAAATATTTAGTATTACTCACCAAGGGCTTCCAACTGTGATCTACCCGTGTCAATTTTGACATTTGGATGGGAATGCTGTGCGCTTCAATTTGTGTGGAATTAGCCGTATTCGACTCTCCCTGCAGGTTCTTGGTCCTGTTGTCTCCGGGTGGTCCGACAGCCACGTAGCGAGAATCGTACGGGCCCATTTTGCCCAAAAAGGGGAGACTCGCTGTGGGAGGATAGTCAGTCTTTCGGCGCTTCCTCAATGCATGATTATCTTGATGCTCGTTGTCTGAGAAGGGACGAATGGGCAGAATTTGAAGGGCATTGGACCTCTCCAACTTTTGGGCTAGCTCGGTTAACGCGGGTCCCAGAAGTTGAGCCTTGCAGCGATTATCCCAATTTGTATCGCCACCCCCCTCAACCTTAATTCTGGTCTGGTCCATGCTGCCAGAAACTCCGTTCGTTCGCTTCTTGTTAGCTGCCCCACCACCACCAGATTCCGAATTGTTCCACAGTTTCACATTATTCTTATTGTCATTGTCCGGGTACGAGTTGCTGCTTCCGCGACGTTTCCGAGAATCTTTAAGCTGGCGGAAGGATGATGACGAAGAACGAGGGTGAACTAGCTTCATTCCGTTGACAGATTTCTTTTCGTTCTCCTAAAACAAAATCATTTATTTTATACAAATTCCTTGACTTGCAAATTCCTTGATTTGCACATGTGAACCTGGATTAAATTTACATAACCAAAGGTTGAACTGAATTTGCTCACCTTATACGACGATCCCACACTACCACTCGACGAAGACAATGACTCATTCGAAGCAGATTCCCTGGAATTATTCCTCTTCCGAGTTTTCTTCCCCTTCTTTCCTTTCAGCTTTGGAGCTAAAATGGCAAGGAAAAGTACTTCTTAATTTCCTTCTCACTGGTCCCCTCAAATCAAACCAAAATTCTATCAAGCAATTATGAGTAACTCTTTTTACCGAGATGATTGCACAGAATTTCATTATCTTCTAAATCCGGATGATCAAAGGATTCCTTGGCGTACAGCACGCGACAATTTGGACCCACATTTAACGCCCCGAGCGCCAGAACGAGCGGACTTTCAAGCCAGGACTTAATCTGAGGCGAGCCTTCCAACCTCTTAAGCGTAGTTCGAAGCCGAGTGTAGCGTGGATAGCTCAACACCACGATACTGCTCGAACCTACAATAAATAATTAGAGCCAGGGTTACCTAACTATAGTTTAATTGATAAGATGACTATCCATCGATCCGTCATGTACCCGTCATGGCCGTGGTCCCATTCACCCTGCCCTCTCCAAGCTGCTCAGATACGAAGGACTTTGACAGCACGGTGCTTAACGGGGGGACCGTGACGAGTGGGGTCTTGTACCCCCAGTCCCACTCCGTCTCCTCCACCAAGATGGATAACAGATCGGCTGCACGAATCGTCACCTTGTCCTGGAGGGCGATCACCTCGTCCTGATAGTTAATGATTAAATTAAGTTCAAGGTTTATTACTCTGTAAGGTGACACTCTTATTTATTGAAAGAAAGCCACACTCAGTCCAATGACTGGCTGACTAATTTTGAGAAGGTGTCATGTGTCAGTCATTTCATTCATAATCATAATATTTTGATGAGTTTTTCCACCCATTGATTTTGGATATTATTATTATTATTTACCTCTCCATGTTGTTGTAACCTTCCGTCGGGTGTGTTTTCTGGGAGAAAGTACAACTTGAGGTTGCAAAAGGACTCGGTCTTATCGGACCAGAGGAGCTGGATGTTTGCAATGTTGAGCATGGCAGAGTCCGGCCAGATTTTGACGGGCATAAATTGAGACAGTGAGTAAGTCCGGTCACCCGTCTTGATGGACTTGTAAAACGTGTAAGGACCATGACGGCCGAGAGATCCGATCATCTTTTTTTTTTTAGATAAGAATGGCATCATGATAATTAATTTCATTCATTTTACGCATTAATAAGAGTCGTTTGACTGTTTAATCAAAAAATGTAATTTGAGTGAGTGAGACGCCAAACTAAATAAAAGCAAGCCTATATTTTTTTTTACTTAATACGCACTCTGGACAAATAATTATTTTATTGGGTTTATTTTGCATCAGTTTTTTTTATTGGCGTGCATGCTAGTCAAAGAATTGTTCATTTTTGTCAAATTGCGTACCTTGACTGGGAGACTTGCCGACGAAGATGATCCTCCTCCCCCTCCAGCGCCCGGCGGAGAAAACGTAGCATTGACCGACGACGACATTCCAGTTGTCGGGTCAGGACGGATGATGCTGCTGCACCGAATTTTCACGGATTTTTAATTCTCGACGACTCCGTGTCAAAGTTTAAACGGGGATTTTTTTAAGCGAGAAAGTAAAGGAAGGACTAAAATTAATTGGTTATCACCACTTTAATGTATCTTCTACATTTGCGAGCTGTCCGTTTTACCAAGATTTTAAAAAACTGGGGAAAACAAATTTTTGAAGAAAATTGTATAATGTTCACTCTTATAAAGGACTTTTTTTTCACTTTAATAATATAATATTTGGTGTGAAGACTTCGCAAAAATGCGATCGTTCTCTCTCCTCTTAACAAAACTGGCTTGTCAAGGTTGCTTCTTCACGTCTGGATCTTTTTTTTTAGATTCAACCTGAATTTTAAAACAATTTATATATATTTTTACTTCAATATTTCAACCTTTATTAGACTCGAAGATCACTAATTATGATTTAATCCTCTTAATGAACTGACCACCTTATCTTAGAATTTATTCATCTCTGTCTCCCCTTACTTCCCATTAAAAACCTTACATAAGACTACGTATGGTATATACGACGAACTAATTAATTACACCAATTAACTCAACATCCAATCCAATCCACCCAAGGCCATTAAGTGTTGTGTGTGTATGTATGTGTATCTTGCATATATTAAAAAAGTGATCCCATTACATTATTACCCCCTCCGGAATGACAATTACTCACAGGAAATTATAGAAAAAAGTGTACAATTTTCCCTAAATAAAACTTCTCCCCTCTTTTCTCATTCCCCCGAAAAGTAAAAACAAGTCATCCCTTAATTAGTAATATTAATTGCTAATTACTCATTAATCAGGGAACAAGTACGCGGACGTGGAGGTTGTGGAACTCACTCTAAATAAAATTTTCTTGGTCCTTGTCTATTAAAAACGCACCTAAATAGTTGTATCTTGATGCGTTTTTTTAGGGGAAAAATGTAAATTATCGATTAAATTTGTTTCCAAAGCACACCACACCACACGACAGAGTGCCATATACTCTCCTGCCTCCTATTATAATCCAATCCAATATTATAAAGGGTCGGAGAAGAAGAACAATTGGGAAAGTGGTGGCGATGGTGGTGGTGGTGGTAGATGGTGGAAAAGTGGATTCGTTCATATAATATTCCTTACTTATTCAATGCATACGCTGTGTAATCGTGTCGTCGTCGTAGGACATAGTAAATGCACCCACATTGCGTACACTCGTACACATATAACAATATTGTGTTTTAAGAGTGAGTGATAAAGATAATAAATCTGCCTGCCTGGCTAAAGTGAGCTTTTACACTTATTAGTAAAGCTCCTGCTGCACTGCACTACTGCTCAATTCGATATTATCATTTCTTCTTGTCCATTTCCATCACACAAAAGTCAAAAGCAATGCAGGAGGACTAGATTTATGTAAATTTTTCACTATATGTAATATTATTAACTAGTTAAGAATAATGGAATTTAAGAAGGAATCCAAAAAGTATAAGTTTTGCTTACTTACAGAATTTCCTTCCCTGTGTTGTGTCGTCTCTCTCCCCGTTTTTTAGTCCAATCTATCCAATCCAATCCACACACCGTTTAAGAAGACAGATACATTTTATGTATATACACACGTTCTCGTGTAGGTTCTTTTCACCCTTTTTTGGGTCGTCCAAATCACTGGGTTAGGGCAGGGGTCACAAATTTGCATATTTATTCATTTCCGAGCAACCATCTCTAACAGGCTGGTTAGGTAATTAATTACTTAATTAATTAATTACTTAATTAATTAATTAATCAACTTTGTCGTTGTCACTTTTATTTTTGCAAAACGGTCTTAATTTGCGTCAAAAAAAGGCTGGATGGATGGATGTGACCATGACGCGACGCAACGACACACCTGTCCAATTCTAAATTTAATTAGTGCCGTGAAACTAATTGGTTGCAAAATTACCACCGCACAAGTTTTTTTTTAGACGGAGCCACCGTAGGGATGACCTTGTCCCAAAACTTAATTAACGGAATGATAATAGGACTGCGAGAGTCCAACGTTATGTATGAATGACACATTAAAAAACACTTCCCAAATCCAATTCATAATATTCTCGTGTATATGTATGTTGATGATACCACGATGTTGATGATGATGATGATGATGATCGAATTCAGCCGAGTACTGCCAACTAAAAGCTAAACCAAGAAGAACGTAGAACATGAAATGAAATGAAAACGATGCTAATATCCAAACACAAATGGGTAGAAGAACGCTGTTATAATAAATCTTGTTAAACAGTACGAATGAACGATACGTGTACAGTTGTTGGATGCAAAATAGGTGGTTGGTGGTGGTTCTTGTGTATAGCCATCATCAAAAATCAGTCAGTATTATTATTATTATGATGGCCCTGGAGAAATTAGTAGTGTGGCAGAATAATAAGTAATACGTAGCTATACATAGTTATAATAAGCTTGTCTGTCACTGTGTTAAACGCCTGCAACTAATAACATAATTATTCACATAGTACAGACAGAGACACAAATATTACAAGGTTCATTAAAGAAGATATGTATATGACACGTCAAAAATTCTGTTACGGTCAAAATTGAAGTATCATTTTTACCATAATTTTCCAAAATGTTCCACTTTTTCACACAATGCGAACCATGAAACTTGAGACACCACGTAACTCAACTCACTTTTGGAATACATGTGAAGCTCTGCTGCATGTGAAATACGACGCTAAAAGCTTGTAGCTCGGAATCTCGGACCATGCATGATGACCATACCCCGGAAAAATATTTTTTTATCCTACCCTACTCATGTTGAGCTCAACACGAGTAGGGTAGGATAAAAAAATATTTGTCCGGGGTATGATGATGACGATGATGCAGGCAAAAAAAGGTAGCAGCAGAGCAACGTAAAAGTGCAGTAGTAAATTGAGACAGACAGGAAAGTGAAGCCAACTTGTAGCATTATTTTGTTATTATTGTATTATTATTAATAAAAAAATGTGATGGAGGTGGGTGAGGTGAGGGGCAGGATCGTATCACAGGGATCAATCGGCTACTGGTTTCCTTCATAAATTCATAAATGCTAACAAGGAGATGATGAATGATGATGATGATGATAAGCTGTGTGTCGACGATGATAAAATTATATTGTCGACGGTATAATAGTGATGATTCAAAGTCGGACCCCATTCATAACCAGGGAAGGATTTATGATGTCTTTCTTCTCGATGGAATTCGTGACTTTGAGAAAGAAATAAAAATAATTATTTTAATATTTGATTGTTCTCTCTCTCTCTCTTTCTTGAAGACAATTAACGAATCGATTACACAAAATTGCTCAATTTTCGAGGGAATAATATGTAGGGAAAAATAATGTGGCGAATTTTTTTGCGCAATGAGAACGACGACGTTTCAAATTATTTGGACACGGAGGGGATAAAAATTGTCAATTTTCATGAGAGATTGGATTTTGGATATTAAACCTGTCTCAATTTTATGCCATTTTCCACCTATTTTTAAACCACCCTGGCTAAACTGGAATACATATTTATCACTTCTTTCATCCTCCTCATTCTACCTCCTGACTAACTAACTAATCTTGCTCCCATGCAAATCTCAAGTGCAGACAAGTTCATTTATTTTCTGCATGCCTGGATTGAATTTTGCTATATGCAAGTCAAAATAGTGTAGCATTCCATTCCACAAGTGAATACATACATCTCTATCTCTCGATCGTGTATGTATGCAAAATAAACAGTGGCTGCGGAACTTGGGGGGACATAGGGACATAAATAGTATTGTGCGATAAGAGGAGGAGGGGCTTATCAACATGATTTTGCTGAATTTTCCGTGGGGACAATGTCCCCCTTTTTCCGACGCCAATGCACATAAATATAATGGATCGTTTCGTTTGCCTGGTTGGCTTTGTATATTCGTTCCTATTTATTTTGTCCGTATTACACGGAACAGAACGTGTACTGATTTTGACTTGAAACACATAAAATAAATATTATACACACAAAATTTGCTTTGCTTTTCCTTTTTTATGCAATTTACTGCCTGCTGCCGGGCTTGCCACGAGTTAAGTTAGGTTTGCACAGTTAATAAAATATACAATGCGAACTTAACTACATATCTATAAAACCAATTTAGCCATCCTGCCCAATACTGAAATAATTCAAAGTAAGTAAAGTAAATACACAATGCTCTGCCCACCTACTCACATACATACCCGGCCTATTTTTTATTGGAAAGCAGCGTTTCACAATGTAAACTGTGGAGAAAAAAGTAATATAATTTTACATTTGCTTGATGAAACAATAATTCTACTTTTTTATACAATCAATTTTTTAATCTTTCACTTTTTTCTGCCTATTTGTTGATTATTTGAGAAAGAAAAGAAATGAGAAGAGTCGGAATGGAATATTTAGGCAAGAATGGGTTGGGATTTATCCGATATTTTATTATTTTGTATGATTTGCGGTAATAATAATATTGAACTTGTCCAACGGATGCGATGCATATAAACCTGTCTAAATATTGAGGAATGTCGACTAATTGGGAAAAAAATTCAGTTTTTTTAAAGGTGGACTTGTCTGTTTGGCAAAGTAGAAATGATGCTGATAAATATGTGGATTGGTTTGGTTTAACTTTTATGGTAATAATTTGCACGTACAACTCGCTAAAAAGCTTACTCGGTATTTTTGCTTTGTTCACAGTTTGGCAGAGATCGGAAAAATATTTGGGGGGAGAAAGCATATTTTGTATGTTGAGTATATTTTTTTGAAGATTTCTATGCCAAAATAAAATTTTACAAATTTTTAACATTTATAATTGTAACGATCATAATTGAACGAGTCTTACGCCAAAATAAAATTTTATTTAAATTATTAATATTATTATTATAAATTATAAATTATAATTTATAATTATAATTATTACTATTAAAACTTTATAAAATTGTATTTTGGCGTAAAACTCGTTCAATTTCTCAAATTCTAGACACTTAATTGAACGAGTTTTTCTTAGAACAAATGGAGCAGTAGAAGCTAATGAAAATATTCTCAATACTCAAATGGGACAAATTTGAGACTACTTTTGACTTTATTTGTCCCTATTTCGAATTTAAATCAAATGAAATACAAACTTTTATTTATTTATAAAAATTTAAACTTTATTCAGAAATAATTTCAAATTCATCAAATTCAGTTTTACCCAGGAAAATATGAGAATTTCACATGAAATGAATTTTCAATACAAATTTTCCCTAAATCTTTTGTTTTCTCCAATTTCTACTTTTCCATACAAAAAATTTCCTACTAAATTTCCCTGCGAGGCTGTCTCGCATTTCGAAATCAGAGTAATTCTCCTACCTCTGAGGAATGATACATGTGTAAGCACATTCTTGCATAGGGTGATGATATCATTTAGTTTGGCAGTATGGATGGGTCGGGTCGGTCGGGTCCGGTGTCAGTGAAACGATACCAGAATCGGCCTTGTTCTTATTGATGCTCGCACGAATAAAAGTGATCCGCATGCAGTTTACTGTTCTTTTTTTTTTGCTCGTCGTCGTCGTCGTCTCACTTTACTTACGCATTCAACAGTGTCGAATTTGGCGAGGAGAAGAGCTCATCGGCATTCATTATGATTGTATCGCCGGGTCGGTTGTCGGTGTGGTGAGATTGATAAGTGCTCTCGTTCAGCTGTTTTTTCCCTACTCGATAAGCATTGCTAACTTGTGAAACTCCATAAAAAAAATCATGCCGACGGTTATTTTTTTTATATACCAACATTATTAAGTAATTACACATACGAGGACACGTATGAAAAAAGTGCATGTTCATGAATTCACCAAGACGAAGAAGAAATGGCATTGGTGACGACGATTCGCATCCTCGTGTTGTTGGTCCATCGAAAAATTATTGTGCATTACTGTGTCCTGTCCGCTATTAAGTGAGTTAGTTAGATAGTTAGTTAGTCAGTTATGTAGTTGCATAGTTAGTTGTAAGTACAAAATACATACACAGCCGTGAGAATATTTCCCTTCGTCGTGTGTTATTAAATTCCGTGTTGAATAATTTTGCGATGAATTTTTAAACCCTGAATTGTTACATAATATTGGAGTGACGTGATGTGATGGATTTATCACATTGTTGTGGTGCCACGACACGACTCGATCAACAGTTTATAGTGTCAAATAATACATAGTGTCGCGTTACATTGAGCCAAATATTTACATACGAAACGACATAATAATTCAGGGTGGAAAATGTAATTCTTATTTGTTTACAAGTTTCAAATCGGTTCAGTTTCCGTTCGAGGAGGAGGACAACGAACTGAAACGAGGAGAAGAAAGTGTCAACTGAAAGAAAGAAGAGAAAAGCCTTGAATTTTTGCGGACAATTTGGTACGTGGGTAAAAAAAGGTTAAATTTGGGTTAGTTGAACTATTTATAAATAGCAATAATAACAAACATGATTAAGAAGGGGGAGCAAAAAAATTAATTAATTATGTAACCACTTGTGTTGTCAAATTTTCGTATTTTCTTTTACAAAAGTTTTTTTTGCATTATTATTAAGGACAAGTCTCTCGAATACGTCGTGCTTGCTGACACGACCACCAATTTTTGCACCAAAATATGTAAAGTGACAGTTAATCGAACCCATAATAAAGGAAAGGGTTTACATGATTGATTTCTATTTTCATGAGACGACAGGCGTCATTCTTTTGCGAGGTGGCATGTCACGCTATAAATAATTCTGTCACCTTATCGTTGTCACCTTTGGGAGTTGAATTTATTAAATTATGCTAATTTTATGAGTTGATGTGTGAATATTGTGTCATTTAGTGGGGAGAAAATTAGGGGAAAATGCATATCGGAATTTTACTCATCCATGTCCATACATACTTCACTTTTGTATGCAGGGGAAACAAATTGTCGAAAAAAGGTCATTTCTGCTGCTACAATTCAGTCAGTTAGACGAAGGTAAGGTGGTTACCAGTGCAATTCGCCACGTACATAAACCAGTTGACTTTATATTATTAGTAATTGCGCAAAATTATACTACTACGACAGTAAATACGACAATTCTCCTGCTGCTATAATTTTGTTTGTGGACGTACATACACATTTTGTGAGAGCAACTAGTTGGGCCCGTGGGTGAATGATGGGACCTCTTTTTTTGAGGGGGGTCATGTCACATCAGAAGTCGAAATCAATCACACCCTTCCCGCACGGCCCGTTTGTTGTCTAATGATTATTATTAGTCGACGAGGGTAATGCTAACTAAATAAGATTGGAATTGCACATTTTTTTGCGCTGGCAATATAGTAAATTGGCGAAGACTAATAGTTGGTGATTTACAAGTCGCGTTTCCTTTCTCTCTTTCTCTCCGGTCAGATCGAAGGCATGGAATAATAAAAAAAAATAAAATAAATCGAAGTTAAAACTCGGGAAAAGGGGAATTATTATTATATAGCGGACCAATAAGTACAACATATATGGATACAGACAATATATTTACGTAAAGAAAAAAAGTGGATTTAAAAGTGTTTTTTCGAATTTAATAATTTTTCTTGGTCTAAAAATTGTGGAGGGGCTGAAAAACGGGGAGAAAAATGGATAATTTTTGATTCTGTGTTAAATCTGAGAATGATTTTGGTTTGGCCAATTTTCAGATTTCTTTTTAGCTTCTGATTTCAAACTTGACAGGAAATAAGTCTTATCCAGATCTTATCATTTAGATTGGGTTAAAATACAAAGAATTCTTCCGTGGTCTTCATTGGCCTCTTCTCTTTCCATGTTATTCCGACTCTAGATATCAGGATCAGGGAGAGAAACTGAGATATTACGTTATTAAATATAATATTTAATTGTATTTAGTGTCTCGACAGATGTGTACAAAAAGTGACTAAATTTGTTAACTTTCATGCCCTTGATAAATTGCTATTTTAATTGTGAACTTTTGTGTCACTTTTTTAATTCATGTTCTGGTCAAAGTCTGAGGCATTGTTGGTTTCTTTAAAAGTGAAGTATACTTCATGACGTGAGACGAGGTGATGAGTAGAAAAATATGGTATGTTAACATTACGAAGCATATTTTATTTTATTTTTATCTTAAAAAGCATGACATAACTTTTTTACCATTTTAACAAAACTCGCTAACAATACTTAGCATATGTATGGCGGATAGTTATTTATTTTCGACTTTTTCACTTTGCAAAATTATTTAACGCCTGTCAAACTTTGTTGGTAGGTTCCATAATTCGTGTTAATCACTAAAATTTCAAATTATTTTTCGATATTTCTAGGTTTTCCTAAATATCTCTACTTTGTAGATATTTCAATATTTGATTTTAGACGGAAAATTGCACTTCAAAACAATTTGAAGGATTGAATTTAGAAATCAATTTGGCGAAAAATTCATATTTTTACTCTTCGAAATTTGACGTTTTCATAAATATTAAAGATTATTTCCTACAATCTTTCGTAAATACATAACGCCGTATGTATTTAATGGTACATTACACATTTTATGTGCCTTACTTTAGTTAGTTACTTTCATGGAGGATTACTAGTTGACGCGATGAATTATAGTTAATTATTATAGACAAATTATGTAAGCATGCTCGGAACGCTGAGAATATGAAGTAGGGACAGATGTCATTTTTTGTGCTATGCAATATTCACACTCAATTTATAAACGTGATCGTCACCATTCTGACTTTGTCGTGCGTGGTGGTTGATTGATATTTAAATTTTACAAGTTTTATTTATTATTCGTCGTCTTCTCATTAAAAGTGCAGATGGACTCGTAACAAATTTGCATAATAACTACTTTGTAGTTAGTCAGTTAAATAAAAGTGCCAGGAATAGTTAGTCAGCCTCGGTGGTTAATTTTCTCAGCAAAAATTAGCGATCTTAAAAATTTCCAAAAATTTTGCTGGCAGGGAATCCTTGGCCAGGAACGCATTCCAAATTCACCACACCCACACGGGCAGGACTTGAAGTCTATTCCTCTAAATCGTAAGAATTTAATTATTTTTGGCATAATTTACAAAAGTGGATGATCAACCGGATTTAAATTTTTAGGTAATAATTTCCTTGTGTGAACATCGCCAGCGAAGTCACACTACTGCCGCTATTCGTATTTAGCTATGCTGGTGCACGTTACGGTCGAAAGTTCATTTACGGGTCCGGGGGGAGGTTTTCAACAAATTTCGATAGACGATAGAGCCTCCGTCCATGAGCTGATCCGTCAGTATTGCACGGCCAAGGTGAGACGACGACTAATTAGATTCGGATATGCAAATCAATTATGGGTAAGACCTTATCTTGATAATATTTTCAGGGCATCGCTGTCAACCCCAACTATTCCATCACCAACCGATCCAACATGTTGTTGCAGGGGAACAAGACGTTGTCTTATTATGCCGTCAAGGAAAATGAATCCTTGCTCCTCGGAACGACTGGTGAGTTACCCTCGTTGATTTTTTGGATAATTTTTGCCTAGTTAATTCAAAATTATTTAAAATTTCGAATTTAGCCGATCACAACCGAACGTATCGATTTGGTCACTGGTTCACCCTGGCAGGGCTTGGGTTTCTGTTTGGACTTTTAGGCATTACAATTTGTGTCATCCTTTTCGCCGTGATACGAACCGTGCCGGATAATGTGAGTGTTCTTTTTATAACTCTTTTTTAGTTTAGGTCAGGAACAGTCATCCGTTCATTAAATTTGCATACGTAACGCAATTCTCACACTTCGTAAAAGTATAGTAAAACTCTTTACTTTAAAGAATCCAAAGGTGAATGACGAGAAAATGAGAATAATTTTCGACTTTATTTTCTTTCGTCACTTTTTAATACTTGACATCGAATCTCATCACATCTTACTTACTAAACGTAAAATTCTTGCACACATAAAATTAGGACAGTTGTTATCATAAAATCGTATAAAGTTACTTTAGATTAGGTGTATACATATGCTTAATTTCTGAAAAAGGACGTTTCCATTCTCGACTTACGCATCTGTTCCGCAATCCAAGGAACGAGAAGGGGGACGTTGACGTAAACTCCGGGCGTTCCGTGCTCTCCACAACCTATAGTTTAGAAAAATCGGAATTTAAAAAAATCCTATAAAAGTACCAAACTTTTTTTATAAATTTGTATTACTCACCAATCCCCCAACTAACGATGCCTACTTGGGCGTAGTACGGAGAGTCGGACAACTGACAGACTGTGCAATTTAAACGTTTAAATAAAATTTAAAAGTTATTGAAATTTAATAGTTTAAATTTCACTGACCTAAAGGTGATCCTCCATCGCCCTGAAGAATTGAAAGCAATTAAAATTTATACAGCCATAAAATGCAAACCCAAATTTATTATAAGATTTTGCCCAGTTAAAATTTTCGCAATTATAAAATTCTCCCAACACCCAAGAAAAAATACTTCAGCGATAAAACGACTTACCGAGCAAGTGTCACGACCTGCTTCGCCTCCCGCACAGACGAAGGACGCGTGCAGCTTGAAATGGGGGCCGAGCCTCGTTTTCCTCAAGGCTTGTTGACACTGGTCCATGGGGACGATGGGCACCTCCACCTTCTTCAAAATCACTTGGTATTTCCCCTCCTGACCTGAATTATTAAAATAAAAAGATGAGGTCATCTCTTGTCACTCAATATCATAACAAGTCACACGAAATTAGCATTTTAACTCATGTAGAAGGCATGTGTTATACCCATTTTTAGCAATTTAAACTGAATTACCGAACGAATTCTTCCCCCATCCTGAGGCGTAGCACGTTTGACCGTCGAACTTGGCAGAGGCAGGGGGCAGACAGACGGTGTCCACGTTTGGTGCGAATTTCACTGGCTCGTTTAAATAGAGGAGGGCGATATCGTTGAATAAGGCGCCCGAGTAGTAACCCTCGTGCACGGTTATCTGTACAAGGTCAGGTTGAGTTAGGTCATAGGTCACACCTTATTGATTGATGAATGGTTATCGAACCTTATTCACAAATCTGTCCTGGTGAGGATACAGCTCATGAGGAGTTTGCGTGTCCCACTCGCCCAAACGAACTTTTAACTCTTCGGGTTGCTTCCTGTTTTAAAAAATTGTAATGAAAATTTATTCCGGATTTTGTGACTGATTTTAATTAAAAACGTATGTACCCGTAAACACAATGGGCGGCTGTTAAGATAACCTTGTAAAAAGTATGGGATGAAAATTAAGAGAAATTATCACATTTTTATAATTTCATAAAATTACCTGAGGATGAATTAGCGATCCACCGCAAAGGTAAATGTTAAGGGGAGGTTTGTCCACTTGTTGTTCTTGTCGCACGATGGCGGCCATCTAGATTTCCATATACATAATATGCTAATTTACATATTATGCAAATATTTTAATGAGAATTTCATAACTTACCCAAGGAAATTCGCCGAAGTTTGTCTCCATATTGTCCGCCCCAGTAATTCTGAATCCCACACCACCCACATTTCTCTTCCCGCAGACCGAGTGTTCGAAATTCTTTGGGGGTTGGGTGATTACGTCGGACGCAGCTTCCTGTTTGGAATCCTGCAAAAATTTGCAAAAATTATTTTTGCAAACACAGTTACTTGTAAATTATTTCGTCATTGGCTTACTGGACAACAAATGTCAAAATAATGCGGACACGCCGACGGTTTCGAGGCACCCAGACGGATGTCGATAAGTCCGAGAACGTCGCCATTATCCACGACGGTCCCATTGTCAATATTGCACAAGTAGTATTTCACACATTTGCAACTCCCCGGTTCGCTAAAGGTCTCCTCGGAGGAGGACACTTGTTCAGAAGATTGTTCTTTTGGTGGCGGAGGAGGTTGTTTTCCTGAGCCTTGACCTCGTACCGGACCTTTGGAGAAGGTGGAGGGGATCGTCTGTGCGACTGGGGGGTCTGGTTTCTTAATATTCGTCACCACCGGGTCGGGACCGGAATTTAGAAATTCATTTATTAACTCTGCATCGGAATCTTCATCCTGACCGGAAACGAGGAGGGCGGATGATGTGAAGAGAAAAATTACGAGTAGCGTGGTCACCTCTCGCTGGAAAAGCTGTGGGGGGAAAAGAGAAGAGAAGGAAATTTGTTAATTTTTTATCCACAAGAAATTGTGAGACAATTACTGAAAAAAATAGGTTTCAAAGTTGCTCAAGAATTCTATCTAATTTAATTAAAAGCACACATAACCGTAAAATATCAGTATAACGATTTTAATCACAGCAAACAAATTTACAAATTCAAAAGCACTCATAATTTGCAACTCATCAAAAAACTATGCTTCAAAATTCGCCATTCTATACCACCCACCATTTCTTAATCGGATTGACGACTGTCCGACAAGTTTAGGAATCTATTATCGAGTATCAATCTTCCCGTAAAATGGTCACGATTTCTGTCTTCCACAATTCCACGCTTCTGCAACGGACCCAATGATCCACACGTCTCAATTTGTCTAAATCTCTCTCTCACTCTCACTCACTCACTTGCTAAAAAATGACACTGTAAAAGTGTGACGTCTCGGAAGAATATTACTCATACTCTACATTACTTTGACACATAAATATTGTCCCTTTTTTACCCCAAATATTAAACTCTGTGGTTTCGTAGTCACTCATCACTCACTCACGACTTCAATCCAGCCAAGTATTATATATGCAATACAACAAATAAATATGTGTATGTCCTCCCGTACATAAAATCGACTGTGGTCATGTAACCTGAGGAGAAATATGGGGAGGAGAAGTATGGGAAAAATTGTACATACGACGACGACCACGACGATTAACTGCATACATTGAGCATGGTCTTTTTTGTGGTGTGGACATACATTCTCAGCAGCATCCATCGCCTATAATAATAATTCTGCAACTTCTTGTTCTTGTTTCTTTCCCTGAACGAGTGTGGAGATATGGGTTCGTTTGAGGAGAAAAATTATAATGGCCTTTATTAAAAAGAAGGTGACGTCAGGCGAGATTTGTAATTCCCATCGCTCCTTCTCGTGTACAAAGTTAAATATTAGAGGTGAAGGCGATATGCAAAAATATGTACGAATACCTCATATGCACATACATACACCCAACAACCCGTGGGATGCAAATATAGTGTAAATTGTTGCGAATATTCTGCAAGTATGTATGGTATACATACATAAGGCGAGCAAGATTTATTGCCTGTTTATTAAATATTGTGTGAGGAGTTTGTACATAACTGTGGAAATTTGTTGGCATTTCCATTCCATTGTTACACAATACGAAGTAACCAGTAGTCGCAGTTATTTAGTTTGAGGTATGGGAATATATAGCTTGTAAAGGTATTTAGTTAGTAGAAGGTTATTCTCGTAGTAATCTGGCCAAGAAAGAAACCAAACCAAACCATGCATGGAGAAGAGTGTGTTCATATGTACACATATCTATGTAGCGAGAGGCAAATTGGCAAGTTCATCCTAAAAAGATTCACATGCAAATTATGATTTTGTGCAAAAAATGGAATGATGATATGGAACAAGACAGAGCGGCTGCTGTGCGCATATTTACTTTGCATGCGCCTAAAATGTATGTATGTATGTGCTAATTTTTCCTCTAATTTTTGTGACAGTATGCAATCGTGGTTGATGCCGGATCCACGTGAGTTTTGATATGATATTGATACTTAATGGATGAAGACGCTTATAAATAGATGAAAATACAATTTTTGCATACAGACACAGCGATGTTATCCTGTACAAATGGCCCGGCGCCAAGGTCAACAATACTGGAGAAGTGGTACAAGTATCGACTTGCTATGTGACCGGTGTGACTTTAAATGGAAAAAAATAGATGACATTGTACCTTATTTTGACATTGTGTAACTTTTTTAGGAGGACTCGCGCAGGTCACGACATCCAATGTTTCGAGCTACTTTAAGGAATGTTTTGGTCGGGCGGAAGGCCAAATTCCGCCCGAGTCGCAAGCAACGGCTGAAGTCTTACTGGGAGCAACGGCAGGGATGAGGATGTTAAAGTAGGGGCGGAAATTTTTATTTTAAACGTTTAAACGCCAATTTTATAACAAGTGTGTAAGAGTTTGGTGGACGTATTTTTTTTCATTCCAAAAAGTTTCTGAGTTGAGACAAATTTTAAAGTAACATGACAATTTAACGCTTGACGTAATTTTTGCAGTTCGAGTGACCCCTCCCAAGCCAACAAGGCCATCGCCAGTGTCAGAGATTATTTGCGAACGACAGACATGGTGGTGAAGGAGTCGAACGTGGGAATCATTTCCGGTTCCATTGAAGGCATCTCGGGCTGGATTACTATCAACTTTTTAAAGGACACGATTTACTCTGCTGTAAGGGTTCAGATTTGCGTTTTATTTATATTGAGCAATTTCATGTCAAGTCATTTTATTTTTATCTTGCAAAATTTGCACAAATTATTTATACAAATAAAGAGTTTAAATAATCAAAAAGATTGATTATTTAAGTTCATGAAAACATGTAAATAGGCCTCCCCTGGCGTGAGTAGAAGTTTGGCCTGTCAAACTTGCCCCAATTTAATTCACTGACCACTCGCCGATTTCATAAACCTTAATTATGCATCATATCATCACACAAATCTCTAAATGTTGCTACATAGGTTGGTCACCTGAACTCGAGCTGGGGTGCCCTCGACCTTGGCGGTGCCTCAACGCAGATCACCTTCGAGGTCTCCGAGTCCATGCACAGCCACCCGCTCGTGACCAAGCTTAAACTCTTTGGCCACCAGTTTCACGTTTTTAGTCAAAGCTTCCAATGTTACGGCGTCGTCCAGGCGGGTCTCCGATACAAGGCGTTGCTCCTCCAAGTACGAGTCATTCAGATAAAAATATATTTTCGTTTTGCGACCTTAACCCCCACTTTAATTTGACTCCCAGGAACACTGGAACGATGTCTCCGGCCCAAACCAGCAGCCGCTAAATAGCCCTTGTGACCCTTTCGGGCGAAAAATCTTACTTACTGGGGACGATTTTCAAACCCCGTGTCTCAAGTCGATCAATCTCGCGTCGAAAATTATGGTGATTATTTTTATATTAAAATTAATAATTCTCCGTAATGACTTCAAAATCATACAGAATAAAAACTTCACAAAATTCTTAATTGTTAAAACTCGGACTTAAAAAAGGATTAATTTTTAAACATATATGAGAATACTTAAAGAGAGCGTTCATAATTATACTAGGTGCGAATTGCTGTTGCAAATTACTTGTTAATTTCAACACTTTTTATGATTGTAGGAATCCCATCGGAATTATTCCTTCCTCGGGACGGGTAACTATTCAGAGTGTGAATCTTATGCGAAACGCCTCCTGGATTTGACCCAGTGTCGTGCAACCGGCTGGGACAAGTGTATCAATGGCTCCTCCATCCCCGACTATGTGGGGGACAGAAAATTTATGGTAATTTCATGAAAGTTAACTATTCTTCGCAGTTTCAATTGTATCCTTTTTCAGGGATTTGCATCCTTTGCATATGTCGCGAACGCCTTACAAATCAACAAAACTACGACCAAGTCCAGCTTTCTAGAGAGGGCGAAACGCCTATGTTCCCTTTCTTATGATAAAGTGTTAGAAATGAAGTTAACCGATAAGACTAGTGAGTACCCATTTTATATAAATTTTACAAACATAAGAAATTTTTAAATCAAAAATTTGAAATTTGCAGATTTTAAAGATCTAGAAAATTCCTGTTTCAAATCACTTTTTGTTTACAACATGCTAAGTAATATTTATGGCTTTAATACGGACGAAAAGTGGACAAATGTCAAGTTTACGACTAAAGTAAGTAACAAAAAAAGACGTTGGAAATCTTGGATAAACTCGTGACAAAATATCTTTTCGTCCAGATAAGTCACGCGACGTTAGGCTGGTCGTTGGGCTACATGATAAACGCCACGGACAAGATAGCGGCTGGGGCTGGAGTGCCCACTTTGCGGACGGTGCCCTTCGCCCTTCTCCTCGTCCTTTTCGCCATGTTCCTCATCATCTCCATTGGCTTCGTCATGCATGGCATCAAGCTCAGGAAATCCTCATCCTACCAAAGGTTACTCTCACATAATTTTTGATAACCCTTTATGATTCTTGATAATCCATAACTAACCAATCATTGCATAGTCCGAATACTGTTTTACTTGTATCACAACGTCGTTCTCAATAATTTTGAAGTATTCAAATACCCAAACTATTTTTAACAATTGTATTTTTTGCTCACATTAATGGGAAAGCAGTGAAAGCACGCAGGGAAATTCTCAAAGAACCAATTTTTACCTTATTTTGACAATTAAATAATGTTTGGAAAGTATTTTTCTTAAAATACATGGGTAAATTTTATTTATTTGATTTTAAACTATTTTCAATTTAATTATTATTTAAAAACCCCAAAAATTATAAAATTGACCAAAAAACAGAAAATACTTATAGGGATGCAATTTGCCCTCGACCTAGTTGATACATAGTCAAGTAAATATCCGGACTCGTCTGAAATCGATATGAATCAATCAACCTGCTATCATAATTTAATGCTCTATGCACATATTAATATATGTATATTACTTACATACCTTTCTTTTTCTTATTTGCTATCCTACTAACGAAATCAGGAAATAAAAAGAGTCAACTCTGCTTGCTCAAGGAGATTGAATACTCAAATCGAAAGATAACTTCTTCTTATCTCGATTGGAATGTGACTGCATGAGATCAAATCGACTCACTCCTTTCTTAAAGAAATTGGAAAATGCAAAACCTATTTTCGAATCTCACACACCGTTGGAGTCATTTTTATAAAGAAAATATTCTCATTTTTCTTCTCCTCCTCGTAGACAAATCGCGACCAGGATGGATGAAGAAATCGTCAAGTTCATCACGCCACAAAGCCACCATCACCTCCAAAACCAAAATCAGCCAAATGGTGGGTACAGCTAAGTATCGGTGGACATGCACGTTAGTCATGAAAAATAACGATAAAAAAGAAGAACGTTCGGTGGGAGTGGTCACGTCAAAATTAAACTTTGCAACATTTGTTTAAAAATGATAGTCTTACAAATGTTGTAAATTTACGACCCCCTAAACGTGACCACCCTCACGGCGGTCCAACTTATCACTATAGGTCAGATCAAACATGAAACATTTATCAAATTATAACCACCATCATAAATTATAATTTACGATAACAACAATTAATAACTTTAAATAAAGGAAAATCATGTGTGCCAGTTTTGCTACTAACGAATAAGGGAGTACGTAAAATATATTTACTAAATACTTAATTAGTTAATGTTTATGATTCTGTATGTAAATGACTACCAACAAACAGAGTAGATGCAACAAGGACATCGACAGATCTATTAAATTATTGTTTAAGTAAACTAGAAAAGTGTACAATGTTCAGAAAATGTTAATAAATTACATAAATTTAACTTCCTTTCATTAAATTGTTTGTAAGAAATTAATGAAGCTACATGTTTTAATTCAAGGAAATAAAAGAAACCGATTAGGAAAGGTTGTAGGTGTTAGAGTAGAAATTGGATAGCTGAGCCCAAACTAGACAAAATACTCGGAAATACTTTAGTTTTGTTAACCTATGATATTTTCGACTTAAGTCATTAACAAGTCATCAGTGGTAATTAAGCAGCAGTGTAGTACATATCTCGTAGTATAAATTTAGTGACATAAAAATATTTATATCCAATACAACATGACTGAATGGTTTATACTGGTCGTCGTAACAGTAACAATTACAAAAAAAATGTAAAGTAAAATAATAAGAGAGAGAGGGGAATGACGAACAATAGTCAATTAATTCAATAAACGTCATACCAAAACAAATTCTTGTCCATTTTTGTGCCATCCTTAAATTACTTAAGTTAAATTTTATAATATTAAAATATGTATGTAGTATTCTTATCCTTAATTTCGCCTATTTGTTGGAGGAAGTTTTGTCCTCATAGTGAAATTCGAAGTTTCACAGGAATCGCAGAGAAATCCAAACTTTGTTTGTAATGGTTTCTTAACACAGTCTGAAAAATTTTTTAATTATTTTCATTATTTCAAACTTTACATTTCTATACATAACTTAACACTACGTTTTGGCAATTGTGCAAATTTTAAGCACCTTGTTAAGATTGACATTACTTACGTTTGTGCACCCATTTATCGCAGCTGCGACACTCCATCAAATTTTTGTCGTCCAGTTTCAAATGGCATTTTAAGCAGTTGGGACAGAACTGGCCCTTCTTGTAGATCTTGTGGCAGGGGACGCAGAGAGAGTGGAGATAGTAACGAGAACCCTTCTCACCCTTTTTGTACTGCGAAATAAAAAAAGTTAATTACATTACGTGATAACTACTTATTATCTATGATAACCACTTATTACTTCATGCTGCCATTCCGCTGCTCGATCATCCGCCGATGGCTCATTCACCCCGCACGAGTGGCAAACGCTGCACGTAACGCAGTGCCACCGGCCAGTTGGAACTCGGCGAAGTCCGACACAGTAAATGTGATACCTAAATTAATGAAGAATTAATATTATAATCATTCATTGAATACAAAAGCAATATTAATCTTTGTCAGTTTTTTACCCTCGATCACAACAATCACAGAAGAGCATTTTGTCTTCATCGGCTAAAAATGTAAATAACAAATTAGTATTTACAAAAAGTAAGTGACAAGATTTTATTAAATAAAATAATCTTACCTGGGTCGTTACACTCGATGCAGTTCTTACAATCGGTGCATTGCCAGTCGTACTTACGAATGTATGGTAACATGTCGAGCGTCAACTCCAAGCAGGTTGGGTGATCTGGAAATAACCAAAAATTTGTCAATAATTATCCTAATTATAACTTTGGTTTGTTTTTTAGTTGATGTTCGTACTGGCAGAGTCACATTTAGCACAGTGAATAAGAATCTCGTTTCGTCCCAATTTATTCTTGGCGTAGGTGCCATTGCAAGATTTGCAAGTTCCTTGAGTATCTTTCTCATTGAGGACGGGGATGGAGTCAGAGATGGTTTTGTTAACTTCGGTGTCACTTCCTTCGTCCTCACTGCTGCTTGATCTAAATAATTATTATGTAAACATATTATTACTGCAAATGGACCTGTACAAAGGTTCAGTATGAAATGAAACGTACGAGGAGTCATCGCCCGAGGAAGAGGAGCCATTTGAGTCAGAGGCACCATCCTCAGAGACCTCATCCGTAGTCCTGTTCTCTTGAATAGGACCGTAAATCACCGTGTTCAAGGGGAGGTATTTCAACTCGACGGGTGTATAGCTGCAAAACAGTTGCATGAAATATATTTTAAAATATTCCAGTAAAAATCTGTCATTCTTGTGTAATAGAAACTGTACCTCTTGTAATTATCGCAATACTGCCCCGGCAATACAGGCACAGGGTAATAGCCCAACTTGGTAGCCTCAGGCCGCACCACTTTCATCTTCCCTTGTCGAACGTTCAGCGTCATTGTTTGGAGGTCGTAGGATTGAGTCCTGTTCTCATTCCGTTGTGCATTCATCATTGCGTTCCACTTTGCACACGATTTGGTAATTCGATTCATAAATTCTGCCGACCGATCTCTAGTCGTCGTCGTGGAGTTGGCCGTTGTGGATGCCTGATTCTTGGTGAGCTCCTTTTCCCTCCGTTCCTCCTCAAACTTTCGATATTCTTCGTACTTTTTGGGAAAGTCGTTGTATAAAATGTCCAGCACTTCTGAGCTGTTAATGGCTGTGAGACCGAGGTCGCACTGAGTTTCTGATACGATTTTCTTCTCACGGAGGAAGTCGCGCTCAACCATTTCAACGGGGCGACGGCGCAGGTTTGGATACTTGCGGCGGAAAGATTTATGTCCCAAGAATTCAATGATTTGCTCCTGAAGGAAAAAGTACTCGCCGTCGGGAGTCTCTTGAGGCCACTTGTATTCAAACAGAGTCTCAACAGTGACTGGTTTTCTGGGGAGAAGTAAAGATTAACATAATTAATTAAAACAACTAGTTAATGAGACAGTTCATGGTATTTGTGGCATTGTATCTAAACTCATCTAATTAAGCTTACATACATTTTCCCATTTCATGCATATTCTAAAAATTACAAGCCAGTTAAAGAATAAATTCTTTACCTCTCATCAATAAAGTCCTTTGAAAATTTCTTTTTTGTCACGCTCGCACTTGCAGATTGGCTCGTCGAGCTAAGATTGCTGACCTCTTCATCCATCCCGCAAATTCCAGAGGATGTTACCAAGACTGGTGTGCTAGGTTGGTCATCTGCAAAATAACAAGATTTGTAAAATCTAGTTTATTTTAAAAAGTCATCAGAATAAAAACTTAGAACTTACCAATAGCACCAGACGATGATACTGTTGCTGCTGCCACACTATCTCCTCCTCCCGTCTCAAGAGTAGTCACATCAACAGCAGCATCATCCGCGCCTCCCATGCGTGTCTCATCCTCAAATGCGTCCAGCTTCGACTCTGCCTCCACTTTCACCTCGGTCTCACTCATTTTGAGAGCTCTACGTGTCGCAAGTAAAATATTTCGTGCTGCACCCCTCGGGCCTCTAGACCCACGTCCACCACGCCGTGCCCCTCGCGGTGTTAATGGCGTTCCACGTCCCGCTGATCCACCAGTTCCTCGCCCACGTCCGCGTCCTCGGGTTTTGGTCGGTGTAGTAGTTGAAGATCCAGAACCAGAGAGTGAAGGTTGTGGCGAAAAACTTCCCGGTGTGGTCATGTCCTGACCACCCTTACCATCATCTTCATTTTCACTACCGCGTGGTGGTGGTGACGAGTCGGGTAACTGATTTGCAAACTGAGCCGACGAAGAAGCGTTGTCCACGCTTTGCAAAAAATTCATGGCCTCACGTTCTAATTTTGCTTTAAGAGTGGACCCACGTGGACGACCACGTCCTCTTCCTGACCCCCTCGGTCGCCCCCGAGTCCTGACAACGGGTCCATCTGACGAGGTTATCGCCGCGTCTTCACCTCCTCCTCCTCCTCCTGGCGTGGTGGCATCATCGCCCATCATTTCTACCCTGCGACGCCTCGTGGGAACGAAATCAGTCATAAAATGTTTTGTTGGTTTTCGTCGGCGACCAGTCCGTCGTGCAGATCCATCTCCATCAGGAGTTCCGTCTCCAAGTTTGTCATCCGTGTCACCTTCACCAGTTGTGTCTGGTTTGGATGGTCGTGGCGATTCTTGGTTTCCTTCAGTATCATCGCCGTCATCATCACCATCGTCATCTTCATCTTCTTCATCACCTGAATCTTCTTTTCTTCTTACTATTCGTACTGACTGATTAGTGATAACAACTTTGGGGATCTTGAGGTCATATTTGGCATCATACTTGGCCATTTCTTCCGATAGACTTGAACTTTCACCCCCCGGAGGAGTAGGAAGCGGTCCTCGCTTAAACCTTTTGGCTTCTGGTTGGTCACCACCATTCGAAGAAGAAGATCCTGCTGCAGCGCTGGGGACTACAGCACGTGGCGTGGTGCTCATGGTCGCGGCCACCTGTCCTCCCAAGTAGGGCCCCTTTTCTCCAATTCCTTGCACAGACATAGCTGCCGATTCAAATCCGCGTTTAATTTGGGCTTGTAGAGCAGCCTTGGAGGGAAATCTGCTCGTTGGAATTTTTATGGGACGGACAACGCCTCCACTTTCTCCTCGCTTGTCAACTTTCCCAAATTGTGGATGGCCTGGAAGTGGGGGACCAGGTGGACCTTTCTTTCGTATAAACGCAGTTGGTCGTCCTTGTTGCAAATGTTGAGATGGTGACATTACTGGCGAGATGGAAATTCCGCCCGGAATAGAGAGAGAGCTGTTGCTCAGTAGATTGTCCAGCATGGTTTTGAGCCGATCTCCAGGTTCGGAAGCGGACGAGGTGGCCGCGTTGTTTCCCGCTCCCTCCGACATTGTAGGCTTAACCCGAGGTGGCAGTTTGAAAGTGGGGACAGCTTTATGCCCCCCACTGCTGCTCACGTTTGAATCGGTCGTAGTGCTTGAAGGGAGGCTGGTTTCTCGAGGATTGGCGTCATCCTCATCTTCATCCTCATTCGATAACATGGAGGGAGTAATGATGATCGGAGTTTGGAAAAAATGAAAATTTTCGCTACGGACACTTATAACTTTGGGAGGATTTTCCTTTGAAACTTTCGGGAATTTAACCGATTCTGGCAAAATTGCCGAGCGTGGAATGATGAGAGGTTTCGTAGTCAATTTTACAGATGGTGATGCCGAGTCTTTTGATTGTGGTTCCGTACTGGGTGAGGGATGGGTCAGTTGAAGACGAACTTTTGGTACAGGAGGTTGATTAGTGCTAACCATCTTGCCTCTGCTGGACTCACCCGCCGTGGTGCTCGACGTTTTGATAATTTTTGCTGTCGGCATAGGCACACCTTCGGAGGATGAGGCAGTGTAAATCTTTACATCCGATCTACCCACAAGTGGTGAAGATGATGATGATGACGGACCGGGTGCACTGTTCATAGAACTGATTGGTGTCAAACCTGGCAAAGTCTTCTTGTTTGGTTTGATAAAGTTTCTATTCCCCATGTTAAGGAATCGAGCCCTCGGCAGATACGCGGACGTTGTCGCTGCAGCAGCAGGATTTCCACTTCCGATAGATGTTGTTGTCGACACAATTGGAGAAGATTTCGAGGGAGACGGCCTTGAAACGAGAGGAGGTGGTTTACTACTACCTGTAGAAGAAGACGATGCCGACCCTCCTACCGCCCCCGCCGCCGAGGACGATGTCGACGAAGCAATCGTATGACTGGAACATGGCGATGATTGAAACGTTCCACCGGGCAGAGCTTTCAAAAACAGCTTTGGTGCGACACGACCCTCCTCTGGAGAATCTCCAGGAGAAACAGGGTCATTATCCACCGTCGAGTCAGGAAGTTGGTCCATGTTGAAGATATCTAATTAGTAATTAATAAATTAAATTAATCACACATATTTTCAAACTTTACACAAAAATAGCCTACTTCTATCATAAAGTACATACCAAAATGTTACGATTCAGTTTCCCTTGAATTAATCAGATCTCATTCTTACTCAGTCACCGCTACAAACCACCTAGAGAATTAATTAACTATTAAATATGCCCAGAATTAACTAATTTGACACTTTCCCATTGTCATTTCACTCACCTCGCTTCTTCCCCGCCTTCGTCTGGTCAGGATTGTGAAGGGGGCTTATCGGCGCCTCAGAAACCACACCCAGACAGACGAGAGCCCTGGGGGGAGGGGGGTGACCGGGTCGTGACCCTGGTGGGAAGTTTTGAGGAGTTTTGAGGAGAAGAAGTAAAAAAATCCGGTTGGATTTGAAAAGAAGGAAGGAGTCGATGGTGGGTGATGGACTGGTCGGTTTATGAGTTTGGCTGCGGCAGGCTCTGGCTCTGGCTGGCTGAGAGAGTGCGGAGGCCAGCAAAGTTTGGGCCTCGATGACTCTTCTCACTTCAACCCCAAACTCGGTTTCTCACTCCGAGTCTCGTCTCATCCTTACTTTTTTTACGATTTGGTTATCATCGGGCTTATCTGGATGATGGCTAATAATTTGGGGGAAAAGTATGATCCGACTTTTGTTATGTGTGGTGGTGCACATTCAAGTTGAAAATGTACATTGATGAAAATACACAATCAGGAAATGTGCGAAGTTGTTTCATGGAGTTTGTTATGAGAAAGCGTAAAGGTAATTTTATTTAGTTTTTAAGTAAAATTATTAGAGTAAGTTATTAAGTATGAAATAGTTAAATGTAAGACCACGTTAATTTTATTTCCTTACTCAATCTATTTTTAGTGTTATTACTTGATGTAAGCCAGTCATTAAATTGTATTGTACTGATCAAGGAATAAGAAATAACATGTGAATAAATGACTACCAACCAACCAACCGACTAACAAAAGTTGGTAGAGAATGCTGTCTAAAAAATAAGATTTTTGACGTTGAAATGTCTCATATTTGTGAATGCAAACGTTGCTTACACGTTGAATTTCAATGTCGTCGTGGTGAACATTCAAGCTAAAAATGTTCACAAGAGAAATATTTGTTGACAAAAAGTTGTCTCGAAAATTTTTGAGATTTTAGAAGACTGAAATGTCTCAGATTTGTGAATGCAAACGTTTCCTGTAGGTTTAGTTCTTGCTACAATTTTAATATGCGAAATAAAACTACAAGATTACACTTATCAAATTTATTTACATATTTATTTACATCTTGAATAACATTAATTTATGTAGGTATGTATATGTATATTGTATTCATGAGGATTACGTATTTGAGGACAATCAAATGAATTGGATTGTTTGTGGGATCACAGAAAATATTAACGCGTATATGTTTAATAAAAAGTAAGTACTTATAATTAGTGGTCCTTTAGATGGTGCTGTTGAGCCAGTGGTGACGATGAAGGTGACGACGACGTTGGCGCCAGAGATGGGCGCAGAATACTGAGCGCGATGGCGAGCTGGGCGGCGTAATATGTCGTCATGATGACGCCTTGATGGTGCGGGATGTTCGTGTAGAAACGGTTCAGCGACAGGACAGAGTCCGAGATGAGGAACAACAGTCCACCAGCAACGCCACAGAGCGAACTCCACCGTTCCGACGACAAGGTGGCGCCAAGGCGCGACGTCGCCCGCCACACCATCGTGAGGAGGAGGGAGGAGTACAGGAACACGCCCCCTGCCACCGGCCACGACTCCGACAGCACGTGCGGCCCAATCAGGATCAGAACTGTGGGAAGATAAGGCCCGATTCCATTAGTTTTTTTATACATTTCAAACAAAACTTAAAGTTTACCAGCATGTAAGAACTTTTTTATCATTTTTTAAATTTGCTTAGTTAGGACGTCTCAATTCGCATTTTTATTTTATTTACAATAACTTGATAAATTTCAATAGGATTTCATCCACCATTTGTGCAACCGGAAATGGTTACAGAAAACTTATAATTAAAGTCCTGCATTCTAGAAAACATAGTTCTACTCGATAATAATGATTTGACCACGAAATTCTAAAAATGCAAAATACTGTCGCAATTATGCAAAAAATGGTGACCCATAAACTACAGATCTCCTAAATAGCAAAGCCTATTTATTTACCTGTACTGCTCAGAACGTATATGAACGCTCCCAGTTTAGCGTTGAGCGGTTGAAATCCGAATGCTCGGATGTAGAAGATCTGTCCCCAGAAGAAAACAATAGCGATTAATTTGATGGCTTCATATTTACATATTACATTTTCTGTCATACTTGTGCCACGCCGAATGCCGCCATGCCATGGAGGAAGTATTCGGGCCAGATGAGGAGGGCGTCCCCCACGCAGGAAAAGAGCAGGCCGGCCAGAATCCTCCTGCTGAACTTGTGCTGCTGGGGGTGTGACACGCCGTGGAGGAGGACGAACAGGGCCAGCGACAGGATTGGCAGACATTTCACTGCACACATACAATTTGCATATAAATAATTTGCATAACTTAATAACTTTACTAGACTTTGTGTAAACTGTGTAAAGTTAGCAATTTCTCTTAATTTTGTCCAATTTTGCAATCTTACAAAGTTTATACAATTTACATACTCATATTCATACACAAACTTTGGTATGCGTATGAATATCGTCACTATGACATACGCCAATTTACTACACATATTCAGACATATCAGAATATTACTTATACGCAAAAATTAGCACACATACCTGCCGTCGCCCCCCACGAAGGCCTATCTTCCGGCAGGAAAAGGAGAAAGTAAAGCGCCAACGTTTTCAGGAATGGGACCAACTTCCCTCCACTGCTTTTCCACTGCGACCACAAAAAATTGGCGTCATTTTTATTCTCACCAGAATCTAGGAGTATTGGTGGGGGCAAGTGGGGTCGTTTCCGCTCGATGACCTCGACCCCGTCTAGGCGTCCCCCTTCCGCCTCGTCCCTCTCATCTAAACCATACAAAACTATGTACATAACAACCATTATGTCGCCATTCTAGCCAGAGAGAAGAGAAGAATAACCTCCTCCCTGTGACCCCCGGTCGTCGCCGTCCTCATCCTCGTCGTCATATCGGAACATGTCGTCATCTTCAAAGGAAGGGGAGTCATTTTCTGGAGGAAGGTCACGCAGAAGGTCCGCAATCTCCGGGGGGACGAAGACCGGCTGCCCATTCTTTTCGTACAGGATGAGCGGCACGGTGTCCCCGGAGGGAGTGATGGTCGTCGCAGCGTGGTGCATGGCGACCACAACTACCAAATTCTTGACCGAAATAACCGACCCAAACTAGACTACTAAATGGCTCGGTGGATACTCCAACGGTTGAAATCATGGTGCCACCACCACCACGCCAAGCAGGAGTCATTTATTTGTGGTACGCATGCTATCTTGGTGTCCCCATGTGTACACACGCCGTGTAGGCAGATATGCATGTATGAATGTATCATGGATGGTTTGGTGGGTCGGTCGGGTTGTTATATTTTATTTTATGTCAACTATTTGATGTCAACCCTTTCGCCTTGAGTGTGTGGCATTGTCTCTCGCAGTCAGGTTCACTTTATTGATTGATTTATTCCTCCTCCTTCGTCTTCCCGTTATTACTGTGAGATGAGTATTGAGCCAGAATAGCGAACGAGGTCGTGTCCATCCATCCATCCACTTCACAAGACACACACGACAAGAGAGGGGAAAGTCGGAGAAAGAAAGCAGAGGGAAACCCCGGCTAAACGAGTGAGCTAAACGCCAGCAATTATCGTAATTGTAAAACTATAGAGGAGGGTCGAGTATACGTATCTGGACATTGCCAATTCCTCCTCCTGATGACTTGTTGCTCAATACGTGGTGGTGCAACCCTGACCCATTAAACTCCTCGTGGACACAAGTGGCCGCGGAAGTGTGGGGACAGAGGGACAATGGTTATGCGATGTCCCCGTTATATAAACCCGGCCCTCCTCTATCTTATGATGCTAATGTCCCCAAATGTCCCCACAACCTCGGTGCCCACAACTCGTGGATAAGCAGGATTAGCTTTAAAATTGTTCTCTTGTTTAAAGGATTTAAATTCCCATTTTATTTATAAACTGAGAAGCTATAAAATGCAATTTATTTTATTTTTTAAAGCATTGGAGAAAACCTTGAATTATGCAAATCGATATTTTACCTAAAATTTGCTACTAATTTTTCCCTTTTACAAACCAAACAGCAATTTGAGAGTGCGGTTTAATATTTTAAAGACTTTTAATCCGACTCTATTTAAGTAAAATGGATTGAATGAGAACTCGACCCGATTCCAAATTTGAATAATATCCCTGAAATAATAGGATGGAAAAGGGAAGTTTAAAATATTCATGTGTATCCATCCACCACGCTCACCCTGACTTTTATTAGCATTTTGTCCAATAATGCATTCCCAATTTCGCTCACTCACTCATATAATGTCCGACCAGAGACCATCCAAGGCAATATCCATACATAGAAACTAAACAGAACAAGTTTACAGAAAATTTTCCCCCTGACAAAAATACACACAATTTACAAACCATTGTAAATTTGATTCGTATTGATTCACTAAACGACGACGGAATATTCAGGCAACGCAACGTTGCATAAAAGTACTAAAAGTATTATTATTTACTTAAATGAACTATTGTCAATTGGATGAAATTTAAAAACCCACTTAATCATCACCAAACAAACAGTATAAATTCCGTCATCGACTATAAGTTTATGCAAACGTATCGCGATTAGTACAATATCCTGCCTCGATCTGCTTTGTTTTAGCTCGCACATCCATGAAACCCGATCAACCAGAGAGAATACGTACGAGGAGGTAGATTGAGACTTATTGAGAACATACGAAAATGTCATTCTCATTATAAATAATATTTATCCAATCGTGCGAATTTGCACTGATATTCTTACCCCAGTCGCCGACGTGGAGAAGCAGCCCAGCCAGAGGGCTACATTGTGGTCAAAGTTGGTCGATCCCAGCTCCGCCATGATGACGATGATAAAATGCACCCACTTTATTTATTTCTTCTTAATAACCTGTCAAAATATGCAAAATTAAATAAAATACGAAATCTTTTCACTAAATCTCAACCTGCCTCGCGTATTAAACTTACCGATACGTGTAAGCACTCAACTGAATTTGTTCAACTAATCTTTCGAATGCCAATAATAGTACACGCAGCAGTTTACTAACACCTCAAACTTTTAGACACGGGAAATTACCAGCCAAAAGGAAAAATTGAATAATCTTTTTAATCCTGGGAAAGCCACCTCGTATTTATTGACAAGAATATAATTTTGCTAATGATGATTGCAATTTGCAATAATTATAGTAAAAAAAATCACACCACTTTTTCCCCACTCACTGCACGCTTCGTTTTACGTGTTTATATTTATTTAGCAAATAACAAGCTCATCGCACTACTGCGTACGTACCTGTCAGAACTACGTCTCAAAAATGGTATGTATGTAGAATCCGCATCACATTAAGATACGTACTTACGTATTACACATTTTTGCACATATGTACATACATTAGGCTCAGCTGCTGTGCATGCAAAATTCTGTGCAAAATATTTATGTACATGGTCCGCTGTATTTGACACTTGTTAAAATGAGTCTCGTTCCAACTCCGACTACATATCGCAATATTCTCATGTGCCAAAAACCAAGGCGGAGAGGAACCAAGTTGTGCCAAATAAATTGCATGGAAATGCGAATAAGATGATTCATTCGGTGGATGTACATGCATGTCACAGGATTCGTCACGATGCGATGTCAAAAACCGTGGGATTCGTCACTAAGGTCGTCCCGCATTTATGCAATTAGTGATCCAATCAACCAGATTGTATGTAAATTTACATATTTATGTACATGCGTGCGTAGTATTTGTATAGGTTCGGTGCCCTTTGTGACATCCACGCCCCGTTTTTACGACCCGTTGCCTCCTCCCCTTGCACAAACAGGACTCTTTTTATTATCATTGTTACGAATCAAGTTTTACTACAGGGGCGTCGTAATGAAGTGATTCAGATGGCGTCGTCTTATCGGGTCGTTAAGTTAAGGGCGTTAAAGTCAACTCCATTTCGTGAAGCTATAAATCTGGAGGGGAGCAGGATACGATTGTCCAGTCTCAGTTTCAATCCCGGTCTCACTAATTTGCCAAGTTTTGATTCTCATAAGACTTCAAATCGTGTCAGAAATATAAAAAAATGGTGGTCGTGTCGAATTTCGTTTTCGCCTTTTTATCCTTCCTCCTCTTCCGGGGGACGAATGGGCTCAAACAATATGTCGGTTTTTACATGGTCTCAAACTGTGAAAACAATGCAGAGCGGACCATCACGAATGCAAGTTTTACCAACATTCGCCCCATATCCCAACCGATCACGGTGAATTATAGGTCGATCAACATTTTTGGGATGTGAGTAAACGGTTTAATTTACATAAATAGCCGCTGGGGTAAAGAATTTGTATTATGCAATTAATATTTTTTTAGGTGGCAAATTGGCCGTTGTTTCGGTACGACCGCGACCACTCCGTGTACCACGGGGTCCCAAGCGATTGAATGGATACACCACGTGGCCAATGAGGACATCTGCATCCCGGTGGAAGGGACCCCGCTCCCAACAGGGTTTGATATCCGTAGGTTGGGCGATCCCAAAATGAGTGAGCCACAACTGGCACTGTTTGATAAGCCAAATTTCACCCCGGATTCAATCGTGGTAAGTGCATAAATATGAGTATTAGTTGGAAACTTTGTAAATGCCAACTTTTCGCAGTTTACTGTGCTAAAGTTAAATGCCGATAAAATAAAATTTGCCGTAATTAACCTTTCTTTCTTAAGGTTACCGTTACTTCGCAAGGACTCACGAGTATCTCGTTGACAGCAAAGTCCCTCTTTTTCACGGGTAAGTCATGGAATACTTTTAATCCACCAGACTTTTAATTAAAATCACATTGATATATAAATATATTGAAATCGCATAGCTTGAATTTCCAATTGGGCACTTAAATTGAAAAACTGTAAAATTGAAATCCGCCAAACTTTTCAAAATCATACATTTAAGAAATTAACCGTTTGAAATTTTATAAAAAACGAGTTATTTCTTTAAAATATTTCATAGTTCTAAAGCAGATAAGCATCTTTTTTGTTTCCTGCTAGGGAATCACGCCTGGACGCTTTACGACGGGGTTGGGCACACCGGACGAGGCCGCTGCCTTCGTCCCGACCAGAACGTGGCGCGACGCGGTTATGGTTTTACGACGCAGCCCATAATCGACGAGTCCATCCGGTCCGTGAGGTTCGGCTGTAATGGGGCAAACGCCTCGTCGTCGTCGTCCTCACTTCTCGTCCTCATTTTCGCGTCGGTTTATTACTTTGGAAAAAATTGTTTGGTTTCGTAATGAGCACAGATAATGGACGACAGCAAAAGTAAGAAAATACTGGTAAACACGTGGTGACATCATTTTCCACTTTAACGAGTCAGGTTGTAAAGATTAGCATGTTTTAAGTGTCTCCTATCTAATTAATTTTCATTTGTATACGGAAGAGATTATCATAAAAATAAATCGTTTATCAAAAATTTTGCCGGCTATGAATTAGTCACTTTTTTACATAACTGGACATAAAATATCAACACGTAAATTTTATGTAATTGCACAGCGAATAAGTAAATACGAATTCTGCATCAATTGAGGAAGTCGCAAAAGAATGAAATTGATATTCAAGGAATGACAATATTTATTCATCTTGTTTGTTAAATCGTTACATATAAAGCTCAAATGTGTCTCTTTTTTGCTTGTTTGTGACTAATTTACTTCAATCAGAACGTGTGAGAGAAAAAGTTGTGGTAGCAATAAAAAAGAAACAAAAGTAAAAGAACAAAAGTTCATGAATTATTATCCGCTAAATTTCGGAACTAAATTAAAACAATATTTTGGGACAATTAATTAAAATGTTGATAATCTGTTGTATAAATTAGATTAAAGTTGTAAAAGCCAAGTCGTATTGCCTATTGCATACTATAACCTATTGCATATTTAGTAATTAAATAGAATATGTATGAATAAATACTATTGGTTGCTTTGCTTGTGCATACAATTCATATACTCACTTGTATCATTGTCTTTTTGCATAAAATACTCAACTTATTTGGCAAATTGATTGTAATTAAATTGCATGCATTAGTTTCAAAGTAAAAGTTGAGCCAAATTTCTATACAAATCAGTACTGTCAAATTTAGGTAAAACTTTTGTGAGTATGAGGTATCTGACATATCCTTATTTTTGGTTTGTTTGAGTGAAATTTTTACAGTTTTAAATATTTTCCTTATCTCTTTGTGCTTATCTTGATATAAATAAATACAGTATTTGGCATAATAGTAATAACAATTAGTAGGAGGATTATTTGTGGATTAGCATCTGTGGCACTTGGTAAATTCTGACTAATCTTAACAACTAAACTTACTAACCAATTAATTTTTTTATCACTTTGTGTATCCAGTCATTACATTGTTATCATTACTGTTTGGCTTTCATCATTCTTATTGTTACGTTGGATTGTCGTTGTTGTTTTATTTGCATATGTTTTTTTTTTGCTTCGTCATCCTGATCATGAAATGAAATTGAATCACTTGATACTGGAATGAAATTGGTGGTGGTCTTGACGGTGTCTATTTTGTACCATTTTAAAGAGAAAAGTTTGCAGAGTTGAAGAAGGTTGTTATTAAAATGTACAAAATTTAAATGTAAAAACAGTTTAAAAAAGAGAAGGAATTGATAGAATACTGATGTCAAGCTGAAGAGGAAGACTATGACTTGCATACTATTTTAACCCTCGAGGTTTATCAATCATTTCGAAATGCCTTCAAAGCTGGTTTCTTAGGTGGGGGTGGTGGTGGTCCAGAAGGTGGAGGATCCAGAGGCTAGATAATGATAATTAATTTAAATTTTTGTAAATTCGTTTTCTGAAATTTTGAAAACCGCTTACCCCGACTCTCTGTTTGGGTGGAAGTGGTGGCGCCGGGGCTTCGACGTCTCCTCCGATAGCCGAATCTGGCGAGTTGACCGAATTTCGCGAGCCAGGTTCGGACGTGGTGTGTGCAGGGCGAAGCGTTTCTAGGGAGGAGACGGACATCTCGGATAGTCTACTGGACGCCCCGTTCGTCCATGAGTTTCGGTGTTCAGGGTGACTTCGAGGAGGTCTTTGAGCGACGAGCTGTAGGAGAGGGTACAAATACCAAAAATTAAGATCGATGGCGATTTAATTAATTAATTAATTAAACTAACTATTTCTTGAGAAGAAACGAAAATTGTGTTAACTTTATGTACAAGTTGAGAAATTTTTTACCGTCTGTGTCAACGTGATGAGAGCCTCATTTGTTCCTCCACCTGAGGGAGGAGTAATTTCTCCGTCTGCCTCAAGTGGAGGTAGCTTCGTGCTTGAAGAACCACTTCCAAGTGACGTGTAAAAGGAGGAGGAGCCCTGTCTGGGCAGAGTGGCCGTGTGGTGATGATTCATCGTATTTGAACCCGGCCCCACTCCACCACTCCCACTCGTAAATTGTTCTCCTTCCATACTGCCGGAGAATGAGGAGTGGGCAGACCGGCGAAACAGATTTTGGGACCGTTGCGATATCGTGGCCATTGAACGCGCAACGGATCTGGTACTTTAAAAATTTTAATTTTAGGAGGTATAAAATTATGAAAAAAGTCCTACTTTTAATGAATTACTTACCTTGTTCCGTTGGCATTTTGGTACAAACTGGTGGTCGATGTGGCGAAGGAGCCCATCGTTCGGCCAATAGCGGACCCACGATGACCAGAATGTCCACCTTGGATGAAGTCGGCATGTCTGGGATCCTTCGGCTCTAATCGTTTCGCTTTGGCTTCTTGCTTCTTGAAAGCTTTGTCCATCTCGCGGTGTAGACCCTCATCTTTCAAGGTCTGAAAATAATACATAATTTGATACATTCGTAAAAGTTCATAATTTCATTATGAGCAATTTTATTTCTTACTTTGGTACTGATTCCGTACGTGGATTCGATATGACCAATATAGTTTTTGAATAACTCTTCCATTCTGTTGTGCAGGGGGAGAAGGGAGGCTTGTGACTTACGTGCGTGGATCTGGAACGACAAACAAAAAAATACATATCTTAGATGACTTTTTCAAAACTAGAAATTTGTATAACTTTTTTATGACATCTTAATTTCTGTGATATAAATAAATATGCGCATAAAAAGATAAAATTTTAGAAAACCCTTCAACACAAAATTTTCACAACTCCCAGAAACTTTACACAGCTTTTTGTATCCACAAATCAAACTGTTGTGGGTAACACTCAGCTAAATCTCGATTATTAATTAATACTCACTAATGCCTCACCTTCAAACACTCCTCGATTATCGGAATCTGTAGGAAGATCAACTCCTTGAGATCCTCAACAAGCCTTCCATCCATCGGATTCTTCTCCAAATATTTCTGATTGATAAATGCCTTCTCATAATTTGCTACACCACCCTGCACGGCCGCATCGAGAATACCATTCAACTTCATCGTCATCTCGCCCAAGTCTTGAGCAACATTGGTGCAGTGGATGATGACCAGCTTTCGCATTTTCTCATTCGCATTTTGTAACGTTTCGATGGCGTTTTCAAGAGGACTGAGTTTGGTGAGGGTGTCGCGGACGACGGGGAACCAGGACATGATTCCAGGGAAGGATTGCGAGATCCAGAGGGTGTATCGGTCCAGCCAGAGGGAGGCAAACTCGTTTACGGGATCTTTCGGCTCTTGATAATAGGGGCGCGAGTAGGTGAACTTGTCGATTTCGTTGGATCGGTAGTAATTCAAAATATTCTCGTCCGCGTAACGCATCCCGCTCAATCGTTTCGACGTGGACATGACGGGGTCAACTTTGCAGATTTGCAAATCTGAAGTAAATAAAGTAAGTAAATTGTATTGTTTTCTAAAAATTTCCAAAACTTTACAAAGTTTTCAGTCACTTAATTTTTATGACCCATCTCTCTAATTTTGCAATTTTGCACTACTTTATTACTCACACTGCTTGTTGGAGAACCTAATGTCATCAGATGGAGGCCCAAGATTTCGGAGCAGTTCTGCCTGCACATATTGGCCCAGCATGCGTCCTTCGAAGTCAGACAGTTGTTGGAGAGGGTTGCCCCGATAGACGAATACCTAAATACAAATTGACCATAATGTTCACTTTGCATTTCATCAATCTTATCAATCACGAACTAACCTTGTCTTGCAGGAAGGAAGGGAACCCACCGCCGTAAAATGCCACTCGAAAATATTCCGGTTTGAACCGAGGGTCGTCTAAAATCTTATCGTAGAAATCAGCCACTTGGCGGTGTAGTTTTGGCAAGCGCACATAGTTGTAAGTGTCCTCGTACTGCTGACGAAGCTCGTCGCACACTTCGAGGGCACATTCCCACATCTAAAAAATATCAAAGTTGGATTAATTAAACTAAATCAATGACAAAAATTACATATCATAGCCAAATCTTTCAAGCTCTAATATCACTAATTGCGTGCATTCATATAACTACCTTGGCATTATTAAAATAGTGGACAATGTCGTTGTACAAGGCTTCCTTGAGTTCCATCTGCGTAACCAGGTTGGGATGTCGGTTGACCACGCGGAGGAGAGGGGGCACCTCCTCGTCCGACCATTCGAGCTGGTGACTGTGCAACTTTAGCGTGAAACCAGCCTCGGTAAAGTTTTTGGAACGGATGTGCAGGTCGTGGAGTTTGTAGAGGTAGCGGAGATAAAGCTCCTTGCGGTTGATCTCCTTACTGAAATCCTGATCAAGATAAAAATTCTAATCGTGAGAACAAATTCTGACTACGATGTTGGAACTTGAAAATCAAAGTTACCAATAAGTTGACAATGCAACTCATCCGATTTCCTGGATCTTCTTCATCCTCAATTTCTCTGTATTGGAGAAGCAAGTCCATTAACGTTGTAAGCGTACTGACCATGGATAATCCCTGTACAAAGTTAAATACAATTTAAACGTAAAATTAGCATAAACATCATTGCTTAATTAAACGATTTTTTAGCTTTACCAACTGTCTTAACCCGGTGCTGTTATGTTCGCAGAGTTCGGTCATCGTATCAGAAAATATGTCACGGAAGGCAACGTCACCCTTCCCACCTTCGATCCCCTCCACGATCTTTTTAATTAGTTCGTCCTCCACCTGAGCGAAGCAAATATTACCCAGATTTTAGTATGTGCAAGATTTTTAGATATTTCAATAATTTACTAACTTATAAAATAAACAAATACAGTTGATAATAAAAATAAGCTAATACAAATCTCTATCTTGATAAATTTGTGAAGCATGCAAATTTTGTTAAAAATGTGTACCAGAACTGCCACAAAATCATGCAGATTGATCGACATAAAATTGGTACATAATTAATTATGTTACTCAAAAGAGTGACCATTATCATAATTATATGTCACTCACCTCTTTGAACGACTTGACTGGTCGATCCTGATCGAACTCGCAGTGCATCATGTCGAAGAAAATGGGGATCGTGGTCCTCCTCAACTCCGCCTCCGGAACGAGCGACATGTCCAGAAAGGTCCCCACCATTCCTGGCACGAAACGGATCCGCTTTGACTCACCCAAACTGAACCACATGACGCGAATTAGGTCCGCGGCACGTTTTCGCATGTCTTTAAAGTTCTGGATGATATAGTTCTGCTTGGACTGGGAGAATTCTTCGAGTTGAAGCGAGGGTTGGGTGAGGAATGAAACGGCACAGACGAAAAAATTGTTCCATGGTTGCTCTTCAAAAGGCTCGGCAAATTCGGCTTTCACCGTTGATGCGAAATGCTCCAGTGCAGTGAGGACAATGCTAAATAGAAAATCGCATTTAGAAATTAAGTGGACGTTCAGAGTTACAGTATTTTATATAGAAAATAATATCTACAAATGTTTATAAAAAAACTAATAATCCGTCCCAAAAACCTCAAAGTTGCACAAAAACAACAATCAATATATACCAAGGTATAGAAATACCTTTACCTGTTTTGGAGGAGGATCATAGTGTTCCAATCCGGCATAAAGTACGAGGGATGAAAAAGGTTCTTGATGACCACGAGAACGTCGTTGAGGAATTTGAGGAGACCTTGTTTGTAAGGATCCGGCGTCGTGGCGGACTCCGCTTTCAGCGAATTTATGAGAATCCCGTAGTGATAATTCTTCATTTCACGCAACAGGGAGAGGAAAATGGTCACCACCATGATCATATTACTCTGCAAGGAGAATGCCATCATATTTATTTAATTTGTCCAGTCGATACCTTGTCTCATTGTAATTAAAATAAAAAGTAATTAAAATCGAACCCCCACCGCTAATGGATCTCCAGTAGAGATGGTCCCAATGGAGCAGATGATGGGTCGAAGGAGAATTTGCATAATGTACCAAATGTGGGACACCTTTTGGTCTTCGGGTTGCCGGTGAAGGATGTCCATCACGTCTCCAAGCAGCTCCACGCTCTTCTCGGTCTGAAACAACGACAACATTAAAGCAATTAAAGTCTTTTTGCAAATTTTACACAATAAAGACATGACCGACCCACGAAGATAGCGTTGTCACAAGTAAAATGGGCGTGCTCAGGCAACATCCCATTTCGTAAACATACTTACATACTTAGCAAACTTTTAATATGCGAAACGCATAAATAAAAGTTTATGGGCAAAATTCACATCGCTTAATTAAATATGTAGAAGCTCCATACTGAATACACACATATTTTGAACATAAAACAATTTACAACAAAAAATCTGGTGACTTTTAGAGCTCGATTTTTTGACAGGTATGTAACTCGCGGACAAAAATGCGATACTTTTTTTCAAGTCAGACAAAATTTTGTAAACAAAATTACTAGGAAATATTGCTCGGAGTGGCGATTTTTCAATCAATTTGTTATCCTTTAACATCCCACAACTGCCCACAACACATTAACTACGACAAGCATTCAACTCTGTTATTAATTGTGATAAAAATTTCAAAATAAAATTAACGCCAAAGCTAACTAAACTACAAAGATGAGATGTTATCATCATCAACAATAAAGAAATACGTAAGCACACGGAGCCACGAACAAGACAATAATTAAATTTGTATTATTTTTAAAGAAACCTCTTCCGAGTGGATGGTTACATCTTTTTGTTTGGTGCGAGCCGAGTCATCCGCGTTGAGGAGAGGGTCCACTCCGAAGAACTTTTTGAGCCGGTCGTTCGTCACCATTTGCATATTTTCGACTGATTTGCGACGCAACTCCTGAACGATTTGCACCATGACCAAGTAGTAGTTAGTAGTACGAGGAGAGAAATGAAATAGAAAGTCATACATATCAGATGCAGTTAGTTGGTTGAAATTGAAAAATGGTTAGTTTTTAGTATACACGCCACATTTGTAACCTTGCAAACTGTGTAAATTTGTTAATTGCGTAAAGCTGTCTCACTCACAGCCAACTTTACACTGTTACAAACGGCTACAAACAAAATTTGCGTGAATTTCTTAATAAAGATTTATGAAATATAAATTAACAGTTTCTATAATTAACCAACTTTCACCACCACAACCATCACCAAATTTCTTATAAGTATATTTTCTCATCTTCTCCTCACCTCATCATTTCCTGGAAGATGTACCAAAATATTGGAAGTCACGGTAGGAAGGAAGTTGAAACGGCACTCTGTATCGATGAATAACTGGGAGTGGACAATCTCCGAGATGAAGGACAGTTTGATATTGGTCAATTTATTTTGAGGAACAACGCAGCAGAGTTCGACCAGATTTTCGCTCAGTTTACGAGCAGGATACACCCGGACGAGATCTTCAATCACGGAAGGGATGTGTTTGAGACAGCCGCCCTCTGCCCCGATGTACGGATCGTTAAGGTCATTTCGCTTCAAAAGGCCACACATCGACTTGAATAAGGAATCGATCGTTTTTTCGAATATGTCGTCATCGTCGCGGTCCTGGTCGGGTTGACCGACACTGGATTGCAATAAAGGAAAAGGATAAAATATTGCACAAAATGTTTGCATTTTTAGCACTGATTTCGACTTACTCTATGAATCGGAGCCGTTTGTGAATCTCGAACGATTTAATGATAAACTTAAAGAAAAATTCAATACTTTTCATGACTCTGAGGACTTTTTCAGGCTGGTGGCGTTGAATCGAGTAGTTGAGTTCTTTGGCTAGTTTTCTGTACAATTAGATACAAATTAAGTAATTTATACATCTTTTCATAATCACGATACAATTGTAACATTTGTAAATTGGGCAGTATATGTCAATCTCTTAATTTGACAGCTCTACACGGGATACACAATTATAAAGGTTTCAAAGAATTAACGTGGACTTCTGACTCACTGATAGGCTAAGGTGGATGAAAAGTTGTCCTCGATGTAGAGGTTGAGCAAGGGCTGGAAGTTTTGAAACTTGTGGTCCAATATAAGACAGAAGATATGGAGCTTTAATTAAAAATCATTTAATTATAATTAAAGAACTATTAAATTGTTTCTGTTTTTTTTTACAAAATTTCGACTTACCAGACAGTTGAAGACTTCGTGTTCACAGCTTACGGCAGAGGAGGATCGGTAGAGGAGGCTGGCAGAAGTGGAGAGGTCGCCGAAGATGGAGTGTCGCCCTCCGGTTTGCAATTCAGTGGATATTTGTTCCATGGGGTCGACGAGGATAAGGAAGAGGGCGTCGAGGATGGGGTGGAGGAACTTGACAATCTCCTCTCCACCAACTTTCGTAACTTTTGCCAATATTTGGCACAAGTTGTCGAGCAGGAGGGTGACGAGGGCTTCTTGCGTCTGTGGGATACAAATTAAAAATGAGAATGATTTACTTTGATTTTCAAACAAGGATTTATTAATTATGTACGAACTGTATCTGGCTGTTCGGTCATGGTCATTTCGGCCACTTGACGCAGTTTTGTGACCCACAAAAGCAGTTGCAGCAAGTCAGCTAAACAATAACACATTTTTATGACAACAAATTTTAAAAATTTAAACGATTTTTTAAGATTATCGATGAAAAGAGAAAATGGTAATTAAAAAGAAAAAGATGGTTTAAATCATTTCAAATAAAATTTCGAATTAGAAGTCAAAAATCATATTTAAAAATTCAGAAATTCATGACAAATAAAAATACAAATGAATAATTTTGTCACCATTTTGGGTAAAATTGGTTGAACACAGATTTGTCTTGGCATAAAAATAATCCTTGGAAGAACAGGAGAATCCTTGACATGATGGTTTCGACATTCCAGCCCACGTTGGAGTTTTCATGTAGGGAAGGGAGAGGTACTGCACTTCTGACTCGCGGTAGTGTTTCGGGTCAATCTTAAAGATCAAGCACAAAGGTCAGAATCTAAAAGGTCAATTTAACGACGAAGAACTACCTTGTACAAGATGAGCTCATAGTGGTCGTCTCGGATGGCGGTGCCTTCAGGCTCCTTCAGTTTGAGGTAAGCAAGTGCAAAGGGCTTCTCCGACTTGTCCTTTGACTCGCTGGAGGACCTGGGGACAGAATTTCTGGATTAAATTTTCAAATTTTATTCACATTTTAACTAGGAAAGGCTAAGCTATTAAATAATGTGCTTAATTGCAGTGATGGGTAACCTCACTTGAAAAAATCGGCCTCAGGCCTCCCTAGCCTCGGCCTCAAAAACCCAAAAAGGAAAAAAACCGGGCTCATGAAGCCTAGGCCGCCCATCATTGCTGAATTAAGACAATTTCTTGTACACCAAGCTTTGCAAATACGTATGTATTGTAAAGTTGTCAAATCACTCCACAAATGGTGCCCCTTTATATCACTTCCCATTCTTAATTCTATCTCAGTTTGTTAAGCCAGCTCACAAAATCTACACAGTTTGCAAAGATGGAGTGAAGAATACCCTGATTGACGTTTTTTAACAAAAATGACCCACCGATGTTTGAACGTAAATTTGACATGGGCAGTCGAAAACTCTTCAATGTTCATTGGGAGTGAGATCTTGAAGTGTTCGTTCCATCTCGGCTTGTCGTTGTGATAGTAGACGACGGAACGGTACGAGTCGACAGGGGCACACCCGTTCCCACCCGATAGAATTCCTGGTAGGAGGACACCACGATCATTGTGCACGGACACGGTTACTTCCACATTGCGATCTGTCGTCTTGGCCGTGCGGTGAAACTCGCCTCGGATGAGTTTGATGTACAAGTCGTTGCGCGTATCGTCGGGAAGGATGACTTCGGGAAACCCCATTTTTCTCGCAATTATTGGATTGCCACGGAGCAGGATTGGCTGCTTGTCTTGGATTTGGCGAGGTGTACCAGCCACCATGGAGAGGCGGAGGACGAAACCGACTGCCTTTGCGTCCTTCCCGTTGTTCTGTTCGCCCTTTATGGTGCCCAAAATTTTCTTCAGGGTGTCGTCCATCGTGTCTTCTTCCTTGCAACTGCAAGTAGAATAAACAAAGAGCAAAAAAGTTATAATTGTGAAAAATTTATCTCCCAGTAACCAGAAATTAGTTTTTAGTCTGTGCTACTCACGGCAAATATAACAAGGTCTGGACTTCATTCTCGGCATCGGTAGTTTTCAAATTTTGAAAAGTTGGATCCCGAAAGAGATGTGTGATTTCTTTCGCCGCGACGCCATATGGCCGCTTGACATGGATATTGTTCCGCTTATCGTTAAAAGGGGAAATATAATGGTCTCTTTGTTTCGAATCCTCTTTAAAGTCCATGGCACCCACGCGAACGACATAAGCGACTAGGAAGACCTTACTCCGCTCAAAATCTGGTTTTCCAAGGTCCTAAAAAAGAATATGTTGCAGATTCTTTCGTACTTGTCTCCAAATGTTTGCATCGACTTACAGTAAATAAGAATTTAAACGGTGTTTTAGATGGCGACCCAGCCTTTAGAGTGATTTGTACACTTTCCGTGAAATGATTGGGCTCGTCGTTTTGCATGTCGCAAAGGAAGAATCGAATCTCACATTCATCTACGACCCTCCAATTTATAGAGTTCACCGTTACAATGAGAGAATGGGAGCTGTGTGTAATTATTTTACTTCCTCGGTTGGATCCGCGCTAGAAATTATTTTACGTTGTAATATAAGTAATTTTCTTTTTAAATTATCTTATTCATTATCTTGATTACAAGAGTTGGCGTGAGTGTACTCAGCACAAGAACTCACCAAATTTTTCTTCAATTTCTGCGAAGATCTCTGATGTTGTCGGAACAGTTGTACGGTCGAAGTGGAGAGAGGATCGAGCGGATTCCCATATTCGTCACGAACCACCATGTCCAATTTTAATAAACTAGATACAAAATATTTTTTTTAATTAATGAAATACTTTATAAATATGAAATAGATTAATTGCTTGCTTGTATTTGGTACCTATTTCCCGAATCGATTATACTAGCCACCTGTTGTTTAAGCTCTTTCAACCCCTCCACCGTTGGATTTGAGGACAATAACCGTTTCCGACATTCATGCAAATTCAGAATCTTTTCGCGAATAATCATAAACTTTTTCTGTCCTTCGGTCAACTCGTCCTTGACATCTTTCGCAGATTGCTGGCCCTCTGACCTGACCTGGAAGAATAATTTAGAAAGCAATTTAGATAATCGTACCCCATAATCGTACAATTTGCTTCTCTTATTTTTAATACTCACACTGCTATTGACATAGATTAGTTTGGCAATTTTGTACCATTCTTGCAATGAAGCGACAATCTCTTGAGATAAAGTGGGTTGTTTTGGCACAACGATTTCCGTCTCACTGAAATAAAAACAACGAAATTTGCAAATTTCTCACTTTAACTAAATATATGATTCATTCTTATCGTATGACTCACCCATTCCGAATGACGGAACATTCCTTAATGTGAATATATGACTTTGGAACGATTCCCTCCCCTTCACCGTCAAACTTTTTGACATAGAACCACTCGTCACACTCCCCCTTGACGATGACAGCCTCCCCCAGGTGGATCCCAAGGACGTAGGGGTGGATTTGTGACGCATTGTTGAGACTAGCTTTAGCTACGCAAAGAAAAACACGGCCAATAATTAACTATTATAATATCTCGATTAATTTTAATCGACCTACCGACACCATAACAAAGCCGGTCCTGGACAGGAAGCCAAGTTGAGTGCATTATTTGTCTAAAGTATCCTTGTAAATAATTTAATTTTCTCTAGAGTAGTAAATCAGTGTGTATAAGTTCCATTCTGTCACTTTTTCGTCACCCCCGTCTCACTTATCGAACTACCCCACCCACCCACACACAAACTGGAAGAATATTAACGGATAAGCTCGGGAAGGAAGGAAGTTGCTAGTTTAGTTGTTGTTGTGCTGGTGGTGGTGATTTTTTAACACTTTACTAATTTTTTTTACGAACCAGGCTCCATTCACTGCTACACTTTGCAACCCTAATAAACATAATATTAAGCGCGGATGACATAATAAGAATCGTAGTCTTTTTTGTACTTTTTAGTATCGTGTGGTTATTTATTACAGTGAATCCGGACGGATGTAGGAATCAACATCAACCACACAGTTGACAATTAGTTCCTTATTGCCACTTGTTGAGCTCGTTTTTATTAATGCAATCATCCAGCAGCAGCATCACCCACCAGACCAGCAAACCAATCCACACTTGATGACATGAGCCATTAACATAAGAAGCATGTGCATCCTATGACAAAGCAACCCTCTCGTAGCTTGGCCATCCTGATAATAATTATTGTATTGTATTCATACCCAATGCAACATGCATAGTGGAATGACGAACCTTAAAAATATTCCCAATATTCCCAACAGCGGGGAGTGAGTGAGATTGGTAAAGCAGCGATTGATTTATAATTTTGTGGGATAATTAAGTACAAAGATATTTAGAAAACAGTTAACGGACTCGTAACGAATCAAGAAGGAAATCATGAGAAAAGTGAGATTTTGTGAGAAGAGTTTCAGTTGACGATGGCTGATTTAGGACGCTTCGACACCGACTTGTGGGGGTCAAGGACGCCGTAGAAAGTGGTGGAGGCAGGATGCAGACCACCAATCGGATCCTGATGTCGCGGAAGATTTCCAAGTTTCCGAAATTTTTGGATGTTTTTGGGCGAAACCGGCTCGTCATATACGTATGACATGGGCAAAAGTGGGTAGCACATTTTTTTTGTGATATGTTAATTATATTTCTACCTGTCGATATCGGGAACTCATTATTTGTTTTTTTTTATTGGAAGGTGCGTCTAAATATTGTAGAATGCTCGTCATAAACAGAATTGGAATCCAGAAACGCCTACATTTCTCCATGTCGTGGTCACCACACAGTCAGTCTCGCATCCTCAATGCGATCAACTCTACTTTAATAAGTCGATCGATGAGAATAACGTAGAAATGTTCGTACAGTAGTATTTTGAACTTTTTTTACTTTTCTTTTTTTAAAGTTTAACAATACCTTATTTTAACTGATTACAGATAATTGACATGCAAGTCCCCACCACGAAGTGAACATCCATCCTAGAAATGAGATACGAACCTAGGTCCTATCCCTTAATTTGTATGCGTTCTGCTGGTGATTTTTGATCCAAAACATTATCCGGATCAATGGAGCAATTGATCGAAGAGGTCAAAGCAATAAAAGAGTGTAACTGGTTCTACATTCTCCAGATCCATTCATCATTCATAAAGTATGTAACAATTCCTCCTATACCTACTTACATGCAAATATTTAAATGCAATTCCTCCAGAATAATTTGACCCCTTTAAATGAAGAGTTGAACGTCCCCCAGAATTGGAGGATTTAATTGACCGATTCTCTTAAAGTCGTTCAAACCCCTAAATTTGTGTCCACCTGAGCTTTAATTAACAAATAATTAATTTGGGGTGTACTTGTAATGTTGATTGATTGAGAACCAAAGTCGAGAATGGAATAAAGAAATAACGATTCTTACATATGTAGAACTTAAAATGCATTCGCATCTTGAAAAAAAATTATGACACTCGAACACCATCATTTTTTCTAATTCTCAAGCCTCCTCAATTCGCCACATGTATAAAGCAAGTGACGCTGGCACTTTTACTCTCTTCTTTTATTTAGCTTAATGGTTAATCAACAAAGATCTCCCTCACCGTACGTGAGTGGTTTTGGTGAAAAAAGTGAGTGACAACTTTCCGACGACACGGCTCGGCATTGTCGTCCTTGAGAAGAATGCCAATCGTCCTGACGAGAAAAGACCATCCTCCATACCACTACCCGACTAAATGCCAGTACTACTACCCGACCAGAAACCAAACAAAAAAGAAGACGAATAGCATACATAAAATACCAACCAATCTGGACTTGACAAAATTTACTAGCCTTTACTAGCAAAAATATACATAATATTCTGCATACTGGTTAGTGCAGAAATTGGATATCTTATTCTCTCTCCTCTCTCGACTCTCGAGGAGGCGAATGTTGTGAATTTGAGACAGGATTGCATCATCGTCATCTAACCCAAAAAGCAGCTCATCCTCAGTGAGTGAATTGAATAACAAAATCGTTCAGACTTTCAGACACAAAAACAACACATGGTTAAAGGAATAAATAATAAAGTTTGACTGGACAACTTTTTTCTATCCGTCATCGTGTGAGCTGATCGCACGAAGTGTAATTACAATTAAAGTAATAACATCACACATAATACTCCTGGGACAGCAGTTAGTTGAAAAGGAGGATTGGTGCTTTACATACATTATTTTTGAATGAAACTGATATCGTCCGTCCCCAAAAAAAGGCAGAAAAGGATAATTATAATTAGTGACTATCTTTTTAACTTCACATCAAACTCTAGCCCACGAAATATAATAATAATACTAATAATAAATAAATGCTGGAAGATAGAACAGGATCTAAACTGCCTGCTGTGGAGAGATGAGTCATCCTACATAAATATCGATCTTTGTTGAAGGAAAGAAAAGGCGTTTTTGTTTAAAGGTTAAGTGTCGTTAAATTTAATTGAACCTTCTTCGATTTCCATGAATATTGATAAGTAATATTTGCCTATTTACTTATTGGCTCTCCCACGGTCAACGAGCACGTATTTAGAATTAAATTTTACATTTTAACTGTTCTTTCTTTTCTTCGAAACTCGATACGCCCATGGGACCGTTGTTCTTAACTTGTTTTAACTCATCACATCAGTCAGTCCAATACTTGACAGGAGAGTCAGTCTTATTGGAGTCGTCAATGTGACAGGATCGTTTTTGTGACCAATTTTGTTTGTCCAGCAGCATCTACCAAGTAACCCCTGCCAGTACTTGAGCCCAGTATAAATACACGTTCATAATAACATACATAATCTCTCTCTGGTGTAGTGGCGATTATACGCTTTTTGATAATAATCTCTCTTGACGTTACTACACGCTATAATTATTATTGTCTGATTATACCTAAATTGATTATAAAAGCGGACTCGTTCATAAAATTATTAAAGAGATAGTGAGTGATTGGTTGGATCTCTATTGTTCTTCTCGTCCCGTCTGCCAGAAGAACTCCGGACTCGTCATAATCATCAATTTGCGTACTTTATCGCATACATTAAGTGTGGGAGTGGGGGTTTAATTCATAATTAAAGTTTGTCCTTATGAGAGCAATCAGTTTTCGTCGGATGGGAGTAGAAGACTACGTGAAATTGGTGACTTGTTCTTTGCATCGCGGCCATTATTATGGACAATAATAGTGTTTTTGTAAGTTTGCAAATTTAAGGGAGTATATAATTATTTAAGGCTGAGTGTAATTCTCTAGTCTTCATTATTTAGTAATTATTCCATTCAAAAAATGGTAGAGTCTGAAAATTAGATTTTTTTGTGTTTATGACATGCATTTAAACTCTGCAACCAAACAAATCCCATTTTAACACAATCTACCCTTTGACCCCTTCAGTTGCATAAGTTATACAGGGTCCAAAAGTCATGTTATCAAGACGTAATTTACTTTAATACATCATTTTGCTTGCAGGGCTTCCAAAGGGAGACGCCCGACTCAGGAGTAGACATGGCAGACTTTGACCTGACCAGATTCCTCTTCGATAACAACAATCCTGTCGACTGGGACTCTATTATTGTTCCAATGGACCACGAGACTTTACAAACTCAACAACAACCACAAGTAACACAACCGGTTTCTTCGCCAGTGATGTTTGTCCCACAACAACAACAAAGTGGCATTATGACCATCCCCCAAAATACTTTGACGTCAGAAGCAACCATGGCAGGGTCTCTACTCACCCAGATCGTCCAACCAAGGTATGAATGAAACTTGTCATGATAAGCAAAGCCAAAGTTCATGACATGATAAAGTAGTAAATGAAAGCAAAGCATCTCAATCTGCCCCCAATTTTACTTGTCCGTTTAGAAAAGTATTTAGATGGTCAGTGAAGAAAGTTGGGTCAGTTTTTGTGAAAGGTTCGAGCTATGCTTATCAATCATCCATCGTCACGATTCTCCTTCACCGTCGTGTTGTCATTTGTTCAGGGGTCAAAATCCAAATCCAAATCCTCTCCCATCGCAAACCAAACAATAACATCCTTCCCATATTCACACGTTTATTTATGTATTTATTATTATTATCCTCCATTCCATTCCATGCAGCGTATTGTTCTCTTATCTTTTCTTTGTCCTTATTTCATCTCACTACTGCTCGCTTTCTTTACTTTACGTGACTTTTGTGGCAACAACAACAACAATAAATTTCTGGGGAAGGGTGCAATCAGCGAGTGCACCCTTGGCGTACAAAATAACGTCCCGTTTAATAAGGAATTCTAATTTCATGGTAAAATGCATATGAACGAGTATGTAGTTCAGTTCTGGGAATCTATCATTTTCTTTCCTCCTGTGCATAATTTGGTTTCTTTAGTCGGATGGATATTATGTATAAAGCATTAGCGTATCCTTGAGATAGTTGGTCTGGTCTTTTTTTTGGCATGGAGTCAATCCAATCGTTTTTCTTCCCGATATAATAATAATACTCTGCGTACTCCTCTCTTCCACGCCATATTATTATTATTATCGGGACGTTGTTCTCGCTTTTTAGTCGGGTAGTCTTATCCCCCCAATGCATCCATGGAGCGTATTTAGTCGTCGTTCGTAGTAGTGGAGGAATAAATAGCTAAGCATTTAGCGTGGCGTGGCGTGGTTTCTGATGGATGGTGACGATGATAACGCTGCGCTATAGCCAGTGTTCTGGTAAAACTGGTAGTGGGTACGCTTTAATTAAGTAATCTGCCTGCTGCATCTTACTTTTCATGTAGTACTACTTCATACTTATGCTGACTTGGTCTCTGGTCTGGTCTGGTTGGTCACACATCGTAACTTATTACTGCATACTTATTAGTTAAGTTATGTATGTATGAGTGGTGCTCTTATTATTATCATATTATTCCGAATCAAGTTGTGCTGGTAGTGTCGCAATCCAATTGAGATAGCTGCTTCGTCGTGGTGGTGGTGGTGGTCGTGGTGGTGGTTCGCCAGTGACGTTCATCATCAGCATTCTCATTCATCATTAAATTCCTGGACGAGCGAGGGTGAAGCCACCTTTATCACGAGGAGATCAAAGCAAGAATAAATAACAATTGTGGACTGGAGTATCGAAAGTTGATACAGTCGCTAGGACAGGGTCTGCTAGACACGTCGTTTTGCGGTGGTGGTGGTGGTGTGGTGCGTAGGGATTTTAGTGGAGGAGTCTAATAATTAGTTCAAAGATATGCAGTTATCGCAACAAAATCAGTTCTTCTCGCATGGAGGCGGGGATGACCCCGCGGGTCACTGGGATTTTGTCTCAACTTCGACCCCGCCTCCGCCTCCACTTTCCGTCATGACCTCACAGCAGTGTCAAGGCTATATCCACTTGACGCCGCAATCTTTCTCGTATACGCAGGAATATGCAGCCTCGTAAAGTTTTAAAGATTTTGAATTAAATTTTGTAATTTTTTGGGGAAATATTTTAATATTGTTTTTCATGTCTTATTCCAGCGTCCCCACGAATAACAAAGGTCTCAGTTTATCCTCTCTGAGAACGAGTACGAAGCAAGAGTTGCACCGCATGAAGGCAATCGAGGATTCGAGGCGAGAACAAGAAGTAAAATCATGCAACCAGCCCCCACCACAGTCTACCCCCGTGGATTTGCCGTTATCTTGCTCCCCTCAGACCACCATGGTACCGAGAGAGGTCTTGCAACAGGTCAAGGTGAGTCATGTGAAAGAGGAAAGGAGTGTTGCAATTCAATAGGAAAAATACTGGAGACGGTTTCAGCCCAGATACTCATTTTCAATAATGTCAATCAATTTTCTCCCAGTTTTATCAATTTAATCAGTGTGTAAAGATATCGTAAAATCAATTTCATTTTATTTTTCAGGAAAAGACCCGTCTTGAGAATCCTACCCGCTATCATTTGTTTCAATGCGCGATCGAGAAGGCGACCCAGGGGGCGATGGGAGGTGTCCATAAAGGCGGCTCTGTTCCCCCTGCCACATATGCGGGCGGTTTCGTGGGAATGGACCACTCGTCCACCAACCACCGCCTTCGCCTCATGGAACTTCCCACGCAGCCGGGATCTGCGCCACCGAATGTGTACACCCGCGAGGCGCTTAGTCCCCTCGTTCTCTCAGCGAGCGGAGGAGGTGGTCCGTCCCCTCTCCCGCCACACTCCCAGTCCATCAACAGCTCGCTCGGGACAAGCGTGACGAGCGGCTGTTCAACAGATCTCAACGATCCCCTCGCTACCCTGGATGTCGACGATGTCGTGGATGCAACGGAACTGGTAGGCGGACAAATATGACAATAAATTTAATGTTTTTCGTTGATTTTTGCAATCTATCAATTTTTATTTATTAAACCAACACATAAATCGATTTACTATTTCGGTTGGTTAATTTTTAAGCCGAAATCATTTTGTATGGGTTATCATCATTTCCATTTATTTTTAAAAAAGACAAAAGATTTACATTAACTTAAATTTGTAAATGCTGTAATAGCCAAATTTTCTGCAAAACTTTACAATTGGACACAAATTGATCTATTTGTATACCATTTACCTTTTTTGTAAAGATTTTTTTATATCTTTATAATTTGTATGTTTCCAGAATATGCTCACGTTGTCGGAAATAAATGAGTTGATTTCACAAGAGGAGACCGACCCCGTCTTCAGCTATTCGACCCCCTCCGCCTCAAACAACTTCATGTCATCCCCACAAACGCCGGGCAGCACGTCAGGCCCACAATCGAACACGCCTATGCAGAGTCCAGGAACGCCAGACGGCTCATCGGGCGGGGGTCATGTCAAATTGAATAAAGATCGACAAAAGAAGGACAATCATAATAAGAGTGAGTCAACTTTGGAAGTCATTTTCTTTTCACGAGATGATAAATTTGTAAAATTTTATGTTTAGTTGAACGAAGACGCCGTTACCTGATAAACGACATGATTAATCTGCAAGGATTACAACTGCCGAAACCAAACGAGCCGTAAGTAGTTTATATCAATTAGAGTTTTCAACTTTGAGTATTTGTAAACCATGCAAATTTTGTGAGATGGGTTACAAAGAAAGTGACACTTGTGAACCAGTTTCACAGAAACTTTTTGTAAACTTGCAATTATTGCAATTATTGATGATATGATTAATCATATCTATGATTAATATGATTAATTAATGATATGATTAATAAGTTCATTAATTTTTATTTCCAGGTATTACGACAAATTTGGCGACGTAAAACAAAACAAGGGCGCCATCCTCCAAGCTAGCGTTGATTATATTCAACTTTTGAAGGATGAAAATGACGAATTTCGTCACAAAGATTCAAAAACTCAGGTCAAGCTCCAACAAACGGAGCAAGAAAAAAGAAAGCTTCTCCTTCGCATTCAGGTATTTAAATGCATATATAAAGAAATATTTCTAAATCAAAATTACCAAATTACTAAAATTTCCCCAAAAAATTAGGAGTTGGAGCAAATCTGTATCCGAAATGGGATAGCTATCCCAGAAGAAGCACTAACTTGGAGGTCACAACCAGACAAAATCTCTAACCTGATTAACGGACCGATCATAAAACAGGTGCGAATTTTTTTAACCTTACAAATTTCCTAGAAGCTGATTATTATTTGTTCTTGATATTTTTTCTAATTTTTAAATATTGTTTCTCTCCAAGGAGCCCAAATTCTCCGACCTTATGGACGAAGGGCACATGGTAGGAGACCCGATGCTCGGCCCTGGACCTGTTGAAGATTTCGCACCGCTCGAAGACGTCGGGATGGAACTTAGCTAGAGATTTAGACATAGAAGCACTCTTACTTCGACTACAACTACAATATTATGCATAATATGATACGTGATATCTACAGCAAGAAAACATATACTTTAAAGTAACGAATGGTGCATATATATGCAGTAAGCATAATACTACATTACGCGAAGTACGCTGTGCTTAGTTTTTGACGTAGTTTATTTTTCTGTGAATTATTGGATATCGACTTGACCTGAGTAATTATGGTGCAATATATACGACACAATAATAAAACAGAATAAGTTACTGATAACAACTTGTTAAGAAACTGGCGAGAGTTATTGATCACATTATTTTTATACCGCACATAATGAGGTACAATTTCTCATTATTTTCTGTATCGATTCATAATAATCATAATGACACGCATCAAGATAATCACCTCATTATTGTCTTATAGAGTTATACTGACGTAGAGTTACATTTTCTGCAATTTTCAGCGTTTATATGCATATTCTGTCTAACAGGCTAATTAAGGCCAAACTTTGAAACTATGTAAACCTTGTGAAATTACTAAAAAGAAGTAACAAACATCAGAGAATTTTCACCCGGGTGCTAATTTTGCGCTCCCCTAATATCAATTTGTTTCTCCTAATATTTTACCAGGTTGTTTACCCACCTATCTCACAAATTTTACACAGTTTACAAATTGGCATGAATATGTCATAATATTAATTAATTATAAAAATACATTTCCTAAATTCCTCTCCTACGTAATCTTGACAAGAACTAAACTGGGCATCACAATCACAATTGGATAAAATCGATTCTTCTGTTCTACTATTTTCTTCACTATGTTAGCCGATTCAACACAAACATAATGACGCCAGCACCTAACATGAATACCGACATTATAACAGCCACATGTGCGTGTGAGTTGGGAACGTCGGGCGTGATCCCATCGAGATTAAAGTAGACGGGAGGTTTCCTCCTCGCGACGGCGTCAGCCCACTCGTTGTTCAACTGGCCGGCGACAGACTCTACCGTTTTTGTGACGCCCATTAATGTGACAACGCTAAGACGGAGGGTCTCCTCTTGGTCCTGGGAAAAATAAAATAAAATAAAAATGAATGAAAATATTATGAAATGTCTTATAATGTCGAATCATTTAAAACGGAATCATTTCGATTTAAGCCTGCTTTACCTTTACGCTTTTGAGTAATTTTGTCACATTTTCGGAAATGCTTGACATCGCCGTGTTTTGAAGTGGGATGGGCTCCACACCCAGTTTAAGACTCAAGTTTTGGACTGCCTCTTCAATTTGAGCGACATGAGCGGAGGTTTGGAGGAGGATGTCTTTCGTCTGTTTGTGCCGCATCCGGGCGTTAATTGTGGTTCCGACGATGCCGAGAAAGGCTCCGAAGAGGGAGCCGAAAATTGACCAGTATTTTGTCTTCTCGCCCTGTGCCCTCTCTTTCTCGTGCGACATCCGCAGTGCGTTTGAAAGTTCTGAGAAAAGTTCTCGCTCACGCTCCTCCAACTCTTCAAAGTGGGAGCGGACATCGCGCTCTTCGCGGATGATGTCGATTTCCTAGAGCAGAAAATTTAAGTTAGTAAAACTTGAGCGTTTTCTTACCAAGGGAAAATTTATAACCTTTGTAAATTCTGTGGGCTATTGGAGAAACGAACAAAATAAGAAAATTCGCTCATTTTCAGAGAACCGTGAAGCTCACAGAATATTTTGTCAACTTTACGCAGTTAAAAATTAGTTATAATTTTAATATTTTACATTTTTAATCAATTCCAAGTATCGATTGTCGCCTCGGGCCGTGCGATCAATGTCCATGCGAAGGACGCGGAGTTGATTTTGGACTTGGACTACTTTTTCTTGTGCGGCGCGACGGAGTTGTTGGCTCGCTTTGAAGCAAGTTTCCGCCTAATTAATTAATTAATTAATTACTATTAATTAGATTACTTCCGAAGATGAGTATTTTATACTTAAATACGTACCGATAAGACCCTTTCTTGAGCCTCCTTGACTTGCTTGATTCCAATGAAATCCTCATACGCGACCATGACCTGGTTCACTTTGTCCTTCACGAGGAGAGGGAGGCCTTGTCGAGGGGATGAGAGTGGGTGGTCCGAGCGATTGAATAACGAGTCGCGACCGGCGCCATCGTTTGTCGCGGTGGAACGAAACCGGAGGAGGAGGAAGAAATGTGGAGACTTATCGCCACTCGTCAAATTATGGTGATGGTGACTTAGCAAAAGAAGGCGTCGTATGGGGGGCATGATAAGTTATGCTGATTGACAAGTAGCGAAGCGACGAACAAGTAAAAATTGAAAACGGAAATGGATAGAGATGACGCAATAATCTCATAATACTGAAGAAAACATGGACATGGATAAGGTTAACATCGATAAGATTATATGGTCGAGGAGGTTATCGCCTCGTTCACTAGAAGCAAAAAATAACATATTTTTAGTATTTTACAATACAACAGCTGTATTTACTTGGAGTGAGAATTATTAAAGACCGGTGTCCTTCCACTACAATTATTTTGGATATAAAACTTCCGTCTTACCTTTAACGTCCTTTATTTAACTTAGTTACAGACTGTAACTTACAGTTAGTTTAGTTAACTTAGTTAACTTAGTTAGTAACTTAGTTATATGTATTTATTTTTCTGGATAAGTGTAGAATTAAAAATTAGTTAATGGCACAAAATTAAAAAATTTGACAAAATCTCGAAATCATGATTTACTCTCGTGAAGAACACGGCACACGGGTTTCTCACTCAGAGATTTTGAGGCTGATGGGGCAAAAATGAGATGATTTGAGTTAGATGAATGCCCAAATTGATCGCTCACAAAAAATTGAAGGATAATGCTTATCATGAAATAATTGGATTTTTTAAAACTAATTTTCATGTTAAATGTTTATTATACAAACAAATAACGGGGGCCATAAATAAACCAGTGGATCAGTCATCAGTTAATGAACATTGCTCAACTAGTTGTAATGATAAAAAATTAGCAGTATTTTAAATTATAGAGTGCTGCATTACAATAACAAATTTCCGACTCCGGGCTTCTTCCCAGGCCAGGCTTCCTTGGCATATTTCTTCTTCTTGGGCTCGTCACTGAGGTCCATGGAGGGCGGGGGAGGGTTGAATGTGGGCATTACTTTCATTGGCAATGATGGTATTTCTTCCGCCGGCTCAATGTCGGGAGCAGGGTTTGGCAGGGGGAGATCCAATTTAGAGGATAAACTCGTGAAAAACGGTGTTCCAAAAGAATCTGGGGGCAGATCGTCGTACAAGCTGAAGGAAGTCCGAGGCATGAGATGTTTCTGCGTAGTGTGAGCCGGAACCAGGCCGCCAGGATCCATTTTTATTCTCTAAAAATATATAACCGCAAATATTACGTATGTCGTTGTCAATATTTTGAATAATAAGATGACACCTTTGACGTTGGGATGACCGTTGTGTGAACCAAATTTCTAAATCTACCCACAGACGGGTCCACATCTTCAGGATTGATAATTTCTTCATCTTCATTAAACGTGACAGACTTTTGCTTTCTCTTCTTCCTCTTAGTATCTTCCGGTATGCCCAGCATAGATATCCGTTTATTGTGCACAGTATTAAATTCCGTCAGGTTCTGTGGAACAGGAATATTTAGTTTACCTCAAAAATTAACGATTTAAATAAAAACTTACATCCAGCTCAGAGTCCGTTTCGGGAAGACCCAACCAGCCTCCTTCACCGTCAGCGCCCGCCCGCTCCAACTCTTCCATGATAGGTCTTGGCCCCACATTTGGGGGCTTCTCCCTCAATATGTACATTCTCGTAGACGCTCCAAAATGGAAGGTGGTGTCGACCGGGAGTTGAGTCGGTTTATTGGATTCTAACCGCATGCTTCCAATATATGTGCCATGTGCTGGATGGAAATGAATAATATAATTGTAATTAATACATAAGGCAATTTATACACTTTTGTAACTGCGTAGAAACTTGGTGACAATCTTAGAGGCAGTTTCAGAGGCGTCACAAACCAACTCATTCATTGTTTTTTTTACAATATGTGCTTTGGTTCTGGTTGTAATTTTTGTAAAGTCTGAGAATAATATCAACCATGAAATGGACTTGAGTTAAACTTACTGCTCGCTAGATCGACAAGAAATGCCCTCTCCAAATGTTTGTGATACACGAACGCAGCATGAACCCTGGAACAGGAGGCGTGGTCGATGCAAACGTCGTTAATTTGAGGATTTCTGCCAAACAGGTAACACTTTTTCTCATCCACCATCAATTTCTAGAGTAAGAGAAAAGTATTTAATTAACCACAGATCATAAACTATTATACATTACGATTTTTGTCCTAAATACCTGGACTAGTTTTTCTCCCTTCATCACATCCAAATGAAGTCCAGCCGCGGGTCGAGATGCCCTAAAAGTAATCAACCAATTAAAATAATCTCAAGCTAAATTGATTCAAGCTAAACTTACCATGGGGGAATGTCGTAATGAGGATTTGACATAATTTTGGTCAGTCGATAACGATGCTTACACTTCAAAATTTATTCCAGATTTCTAAACCAGGAAATGAACCAATTTACTCCATTGAAACATGGAAATTCAACGTTCCCGTTAATCCATCCCTTATCAGTCTTTACTTTTACACTTTGACCTGTGATAAGCTATTTGCTTATCAGGGACCAAGACGAGATAAATTTGCGTCAAAAATAATTTTTATTTGATCGGCCTCTTCCTCCGGTGATTGGTGGATTCGCGGTGGCCGAATCCCAACTTTCCCACGCAGGACAGATTGCTCAATTGACAGCCGGAGATTTGTTTATTTGGACAGATTTGGAGTTGATAAATACAAATAATTTTTTAATTTTCCAAGATAAGATGGGTGCGGATTGGTTAGCGTATGGATACGGGGCCCTCGTCACGTCAGGGGGAATCATTGGATATGCGAAAGCTGGTAAGTCAATCATGTCAATTTTGTTCAGTTTTATTTTACAAGTTGTAAATTACAGCGAAGCTTTAGGTTAAAAGTTTTAACTCAAAAATCTTCAATTTCCATGTCGTGTTATAAAAATTTAACGAATCTCATTCCTCTTTTCTAGGCAGCACGGCATCGCTCGGGATGGGAATCCTGTTCGGAGCCATCATCGCGTACGGGGCTTATCAGACGTCGCACAACGCGAATAATTACCTCGTCGGGTTGGGGGCAAGTGCCGTGCTCGCTGGCGTGATGGGGAACCGATTTTACCACTCGGGCAAGTTCATGCCTGCCGGTCTCGTCGCCATCGTTAGCGCCGCCATGGTCATGCGATACGTCGTTAGATCATTCGCCGTGAAGCAGTAGCCTTAAAGTGAGATAGAGAAGTATAAGAAAAAAAGGATAGAAGATAAGTAAAAGTCAAGAAAACAAAAATTGGGCATTCCATTTTATAAGAAATTTTCATCAAAACAAGAAGAAAAAAAGTAATCTACAACCTCTTCTTCTCGTCGTCTATTCATAATTTTATTCCAGAGGGTACAACATGTGCTAAATTAATTGAGGCAATTTTATTCACGCAAATCTTTTTTGTAAACTTGCAAATTTGGGAAAAAGTCTGGCAGCCCATTCATTCCTTCAAATCTGTGTCGTCCTACTTTTCCCCATGTCGCAAAGCTTTACCAAGATAAGCGTGAATGAATATCCTCCTTAATAAAATCTAAACATGTGCCGTCATATATATGCATATTAATATTATGGTGATGGGTACACCGCGTTATTAGTAAATTACATTAAAAATGGCAATAAAATCGTTCACATTATCAACCTGACTTGCTAGCCGTGAATACCTCTAAGCAAAAAATTATGCACAATTCCCACGCATACCATGCATGTTATGTAATAAGTTGTTAGAGCAGAGTGGAAACTTCAACTAAACCCGGCAGGCAGACAGAGGACAAGGACAACCGCAAACGTGCATCAGTAGCACGAGGACCTCAGAAAACTTATAGTTTTTAGTTATACATATTTTTAATTATAAATATTTTTTAATTTTATACATGACTTATTTTAAAGTGTGACTTCCATGAAAAAAAAACCGGCGTTAAAACCTAACCTGAGCTAAAACAAAGCATTAAACCCGACAACCACAGCACAGGCAAGTTCACATACTTATAACAAGTACAAAATCTAAAGTCAAGGGCCATGAAGTCTTTGTCCTTTCCTATTCGCTGTATTTATGCTTCACCATTACGAAAACGTGGAATTAGCTAAAGGCTGGTCATAACTAGATATATAACTGCCCTTCTACTGGTGGTGGTTGCGGTGCCTTTTATTTGTGAGTCCTTGCTTTGCTGAGAATCAGGGACTGGATTTTTGGGTCGGTCTTTTATTATAAGTGCCCACGCTTTTTCCCTCTCTCAGCGTCCAACAAGAACAGTGCACCAGTAGCACCCATGGCTTTCAGGTAGCCAGGCAGTTAGTCCAGTGGGTCGTTTGCTAATAATAGAATTATTGTAGAATTAAGACCCCTCGGATAATGTATCTGGCAGCGATACCCACTGTCCGCCATCACCAGAAAAAAGAGCGTGATTTCATCATGGCACAAGTATTTAGTTAACTAACCGCATTTTTTTAACGTTTCCAGACCAGTAGTGTCAGCGTTTGTGAAGAAGCAAGAAAAGAAATTCCAGTCCACATTCCATTTCGGTCTTGTTGGATTGCGTACAATTTTTGTGTTGTGGTTTAGTGTGTGTAACTATTTAGATTTTACATGATTTTACTTTTTGACTTGACACGGATTTTATGTTAATTAATTAGAATGCAGATGTAGAACAGTAATGAAAAAAAAGTTTGTGAATTTTATTTCTTGACGACTCCATTCGAAAGGAGGAAACTATATAATTCCATGTGACTTGGTTGTTTCGTGTAGTTGTGATAACGTCGTTCTCGTCGACGATACATTTTTTTCGCTAATCCAAGAACGCGGAAAGTTCTCATAAACGTTCTTCCTCCGCGAGACAAAGCACGAAATAAAGGTATTTGCAATACTACTATATATTACTGAACGTTTTATATTTATTGTCGTAGCATTTGTCAAAATAATATCTGCAAAATGTATAAATTTCTTACAATATTTTATTAAACTTATTTTTCTCTGGTTGGTTTCTAATTTGTTCAGAAATTTTAAAAAATGAGTTATTCCGGACGAGGAGGAGATGATCGGTGGCAAGATCGTTCCAGAGGCAGACGAGGCGACGACCCGTACGATGACCGTGCCCGGAACCGTTCCCGTTATGCTTATGAGCCCGAAGACCTGGACGATGAGCCCGTGATAAGTCGAGACCTGAGTGGAGATCGGCACCCAAGTCGAGACCCGAGTCGTGACAGGATCCCACGAGACCGATATGGCGGTGGTCGGGATTATGGCGGAGATTATGTCGACGGCGTGGGTGGCGACGAGTTCCATCCGCCAGCATATGGGAGCGCTAGTCGTGACTACCGTCCCCCCGGAAGGGGCCGACCCATCCCTCCAGGTTATGGTGCCGGAGCAAGTCGAGATTATCCTCCGAACGGAGGAGGTAGCAACGGACATCGGAATGGGGGTCACCATGGTGCAGCAATGCGTCGCTCACCCGACGAGCCGTACGACGAGGTCCCTCGAGGTAAGCAAATTCCCCAGCATGCAAAATAGTAAATTCCGCTAATATGCAAAATATTATTCGCACATGTTTAGCATAAAATATCTAATTTGCATACTCCGATCCATGAAATTCCTAACGGTAGTAGTGGCATGATCATTCCGTTTAGAAATCCATCCATTCTCATTTTCCGTTCGAGAAAAAATCTGATTTTGCATTTCTTACTAACGTCGACTTCCACTTAAAACCGAAGGATACGAAACAAAGGAAAAACTCGAACTTTTCAATTTTTTGGTGCGGTGCAGCCTAGCACATGCTTCTCCACGAGAGACCATAACACATTTACCATGCCTTCTTTTTGGCTTGCTCAAATTTACCATAGCTCAGCCATTTTCACCTACCATAAACCAAAACTGGTAAACTTGGCGTATATCTCGCTGTGTTTGTGACATAAAGAGAAACGCTTTCGTATACATCTAGAAAGGGAAAATCACGTTTGGTTGGGTTTTGTCGAGGGTGGCGATCCACGTATAAAATGCAAACATGTTTGGATTCGATCGAAGAGTGACGCCCTCGAGAAAAGAGATCACACGCTTTTTACACGTTCCCTTCCACAAGATTTACCTCCACAGGACGACTCCGCCATGAAGCTGTATGTACGTACTTGTGTTTTTTGGACGTGGGTTGCTGCCAAATCGTTTGTGGCGGTGTGGTTTTTCAATAGGCTCCGAAATATTATACATTGTCCAGAAGTATCGACTTGAATTGATAACTGGGCCAGATTGAGAATCTGCTCGATTGCGTCTTCCTTGTCTCAAGAAGTGCTTAGCATATTGAACGAGGTGACGTGTCGTGGGGTGATCTCAAGAAGTACGATATCATTATCGTCCTCCAGAATAATTATCGGTTCGACAAGGATTATTGTTGTCCTTATCGGACAATCCGGCAAGGCGAGGTTTCATTCAGTGGAGAGTGGAGTGGAGTGGTTATAATTACTGTTAGATGAAGCGTAGTGATTCAGATCGGGGTAATAAATTAATTTTTGCGGACCTAAATTTTAGGACTAATTTGTTGACGAGTAGTAATTTGCAACATGATACCTTCTTGAATTTTTTCGGCATCATATTTTGGCGTCGGTGGCATAATGGAATTCGTTTGATTTAGGTAGTTTGAAATTGGAGAAGGAGTCCGTTTTTCAGTCAAGCTTGGGCTTGCATAATTTTCGCGTTTTAATTATCTACCATGTTACAAAGCATTTGTCTCATTTTGCGATAATTCGAAACATATTCAGAAATTCGCATAATCTGTGTCCATGTTTGCCAATGACTAGATTCACTCTGAAAATTGTACAATACGAATTAGTTCAATTAACGAACGACTACTCCCGTACACATTTCATCACCAAGATATTAAACCATGTCTTTCAAAGATTATTTTCATTACATAGGAACATCTCCCAAACGTCCCCGTGGGGATGATGACGCCTCGTACGGCCAAGCTCCGAGCGGAGCGGGTCATTATGACCCAGGAGGTCCTTCCCGTGGTGGTGGAAGCGAGGACGGGGGCCGAGGAGGTGGGCGTGGTCGTGGCGGCGGTACTCGAGGTGGACGCGGCCGAGCCCGTCAGACATACGAAGAGCGTCGTCGCGAGCGCCTGGAGCAGCACGACCTCGTCATCTCGCGTGGGGTGGACAAGTACGGAGAGAAAATGAAGAAGATGGGCGGCACGGGAAGACCTGCGAACCTACTCGCGAATTACTTTGTCCTCGAGAAACGAACGGACTGGGCAATTTATCATTATCGCGTCGACTTCCTCCCCGAAGAAAGGGAGACTAGGATCAAGAAGAAACTCCTCCGTATACATCAGGACACTTTGGGAGCGTACATATTCGACGGGAGCTCACTCTACTTGTCACACAGGCTTAATCCAGATGTGAGTTGCGTTACATTCATAACTTTTCGAGTTATTTTTGCAGCCTTGTACATAAATCTCGTAAAGTTTGTGGGATGGGTGCACAAACTGCGACAAAAGTATGAGACGCAGATTTATTGACTTATTAAGTAAACTTGGACTGCAAAGTTAACTATGGTCAATGATTAATAATCTTATTATTATCAATCTTGTTTATTTCCAGCCTTTGATACTCTGCTCAGTACGTGAAGATCAGGAGAAAGTTGAGCTCTCTGTTCGCCTCGTAGCTGAGTTGGCCCCCACTGACGTGATGTACCTCCAAATCTACAACATCATGGTTCGCAAATGTCTCGAGTTCATGGAGTTGGAGGAACTCGGTCGCCACTTCTACGATCGTCATCAGGCCATCAAGATTGAGGCGCACAGACTCGAACTTTGGCCGGGGTACAAAACATCGATGCGGAATCATGAGCACGATGTTCTCCTCGGGGTCGAAATTACTCACAAAGTTCTCAGAACGGATAACTGCCTACACGTCATGACTAGGCTTAGGGGAGGGCAAAATTATCGGGTGAGTGGTGTGACTTTATCATCCTGGCTGACCTTAGTTAATTTCTTGATAATTGTACTTATGATATTTTTTGTAATTTGCAGCACGACATTAAGGAGGAGCTGGTGGGATCAATCGTTATGACCCATTACAATCGAAAAACATACCGGGTGGACGATATCGATTGGGATAACTCTCCCGGAGCTACCTTTGACATGAAGGATCATGGCACAGTCACGTTTGCAGACTACTTTGCAAAAAAGTATGGGCTTCGCTGCACCGACATGCGCCAACCCATGTTGGTGTCTCGGCCCAAGAAGCGAGATTTCCACAGGGGGCAGACCGGACCTGTTTTATTGGTGCCAGAATTTTGTCAGATGACCGGTCTCACCGACGAGATGAGATCAAACTTCCAGTTGATGAAGTCATTGACTGGGTATTTACATGTCAGCCCGGATCGAAGAGTGGATGCGGTTAAGAAGTTCATGGCGAGGTTGAAGCAGGCGCCAGGGGTAAGATTTTTGATATATGTAGTTGCTTATCAGAATTTTAACCCATTTGAAATGTGTCATTATTTTTTGCAAGTTTTGTCAAAAAGTACATTGAGTAATTTGAATAATCTACGATGCATCGAATTTTTTGCGGACACAATGTGCCATTTAATATGCAAGATAGTAACGTATGTATATATTTCTCGATTGTCCAGGTGAGGGAAGAGCTGAGTCGTTGGGGATTGAAATTCAATGATAATCTCGTCCGCGTCAAGGGTCGCGTTGTGGACAGAGAAAAGATAATGTTTGGGCAGAATCAACATGAAACAGCTTCCGACAAAGCCGACTGGAATGCTGCATTTAGAAGTGAGCTAAATTTATAAATATAAAATTTCTTTAAAATCCCGATCTTCTAATTATTTGTTATCTTGTATTTTCACCCAGATCACGAAATGGCATCCACCGTGCCGCTCGAGAACTGGGTAGTGATCGTACCCCAACGAGATGCACAAGCGATTGATGAGGTCGTATCAAAAATGCAACGGGTCGGAGAACCCATCCGGTTCAGGGTGTCTCGTCCCAGAGAAGTGTAAGAGCTTATCTTAATTCACGGCTTACCGTATTTTTTGGCTATTTGCGGGTGTACATGCATACTTAACAGTACCAATTCTAATTACAGCATTCGAATTCCCGATATTCGAATTCCCACCTACTTGGCCGCCATCGATCAGGCCATGTCCAATCAGAAGGGCAAAATACAAATGATCTTCATCGTCCTCCCCAGACAAGTGACCGATATTTACGCCGCCGTGAAGAAGCGGTGCGCCGTCGACTTTGGCAGTGAGTAGTTTAACAAATTTCTTGATAATTTGCTCCAAATATGAGCTAACTCAACTTATCTTCTCATTTTAGTCCCATCGCAATGTTTTGTCGCCAAGAATGCCCACAATCCTCGTGGTTTGATGAGTATCGCTACGAAGGTTGTGGTCCAGGTCAATGCCAAGTTGGGCGGTGAGCCATGGTTCGTTCAAATCCCATTGAAGGTGAGCATATCTTTGGTTAATAAATAATGATGATATATGCAACCTCGATAACTAATTGGCTAATTTCTTTTCCACAGAAACTGATGATTGTCGGGTTTGATGTGTACCATTGCGGGAAGAGGAAGGGGGCCAGTGTGGGCGCTATGGTGGCGACGACCCACGAAACACAAGCAAAGTACTACAGCACCGTCAGCTTCCACAACAGCAAGGAGGAGTTGTCCTCCAACCTGTGTGCCGATATGACGAGTAAGTCACCTACTACGACAAATGCATCATTTTTAGGTTCGGAATTTCATAATTTTTCTCCCACAGAATGCATGTACGCTTTCCAAAATGTAAACAAAGACTTGCCCGATCGCATCATCATGTACCGCGACGGGGTGGGCGAAGGCCAGTTGAATTTCGTCTTTGAGACTGAAATGAGACAGATTAAGGTACGTTGTTTTTTAAATTGCTCTTTATTTCGACATTAAAATGTATATTATGATTTTTTATGCAATTTTTGTGTTTCAATTGCAGCAAGCGATGAATCAAGTGTACACCGCTGCTGGAAAAGCTCTACCCAAGTTTTCATTCATCGTTGTAACAAAAAAGATTAATACGCGAATCTTTGCACAACTGGGTAACGGCAGGATTGAGAATCCCGACGCTGGAACGATAGTTGATGACGTTATTACACTTCCGGAGAGGTAAAAATCATAAATAAATTGATAAGTCTGGCATATTTGTATTGACTTGTGCTAATTTATGCCCATATTTTCACCAGATTCGACTTTTACTTGATCTCTCAATTCTCTCGGCAAGGAACCGTCTCACCGGCATCGTACAACGTGCTCTGTGATTCACAGGGCTTGGATGCGGATAAGATTCAGCGCTTAACGTACAAGTTATGCCACATGTACTTCAACTGGTCGGGGACAGTCACCGTCCCAGCGCCGTGTCAGTATGCCCACAAACTGGCCTATCTCACCGGAGTGGCCCTGCAGGGTAACTCCTCCAGCGAAGGGTTGTCCCACTTGCTCCACTTTTTGTAAAGTCGCCATACTCAAGCGGAGCAGAGGCGTCATTTTTGCTATTAAGAGTTAAAACGCCACTGCGAAAAATCATGTCAATCTTTGTAAATTGACAAAAATCTGCGAGGCAACTTTAGTCTACAAACATATATACGCACCTCCACATTGTTAAGTTTGTAATGTAACCCCGTCTCACAAAATGTACGCTACAAAAAGGTGGTCTGAGTACCCCTTAACCATTCAACGTTGCATTATTACGTGGCATTTTTATATTTATATTCTCTCCTCCAGTCACTTATCATATAATGAAACTTGTTTTACAAACCGTTTTAATGCTTAATATCATCAATAGTCCTAGTTCTCAATGGTACGTTTAAGCCGTGTCAATAATATGACTTGTCCGGCGCTTAGTTGTTCACTCATTGTAGTTAAAACAGTAGTAGATCAAACTGGAAAATGTATTGTAATTGTGTATTGATTGAATCAGTATGTGTAATGTAGCTTAATCCGTATAATGATGATGTATACTGCAATTAGCATTTTTTGGTGGGCAGGACTTTTACGAAATTATCTAATTGTTTTAAATGTTTTAAATGTTGCATATTTTAACAGAGTTTCGTTTTTATTGCATAGTTTTATAAAACGGTTTTGCCCGTCTGCCAGTTAGTTTTGTTAGCTTTTGCTTAGTTGAATGAGTTTCCAGTTCTCCACGATTTTTTATGTCACTGCATTTATTACCCGTACATTATATTCTGCGTACTGTTATTCAACGAAAATGTGTAAGGGATTAACATTGTGACTTCCCTTGCTAATCCGTAATGATTTATTGTCAGTAGTTAGTGAGAATATAATTACAATCGAATAATTAATATAATGATGTTTACATATGTCCACCTGAGTGAGGAACAAGAAATATATAATTACAATTACCTCTGTATTTGTATATTTACAATTAAATAATTATAGTTAAAAGTATAATATTTATTTAATAAGATCTTATTAAGTAGTAGTATTGCTGCTAATAAAGAATCTTTATAAACCGTATTTTAGAATGGGTCGAGCTCTCATTTTTTTCTGGACTAGGATAAAAATTCGTGCCACGAAAGATGCAAGTAATACATACGTCAGATTTATTATCATGATTGTGCACATGCATTTATTTAGTCAGATTCTATAGCCTGACTTTGATTGTCTGGTGGTACGGGATCGTTCATTAATTAAAGGTGTGCATTACATATTTGCGCCACATGTTAAAAGTTGGGACAGTTTTGAACGCAAATTCGCCATTTTTCCTCGCCTACACACATACTTACACAACTACTGAATGGTCTCTTTCCAGTAAAGAATTTGGACGTGATGATTACATTATTTGGGACACAAAAGGCTGCATTATGCTCTCGAATGGGGTAGAAATTCATCACCATTTCTGAACCCAATCCATCTGGACGGACTGGCCTGGAAGAATTGGAGAAGAATCGACAATTCACACAATGGGAGGAGTTGGTTCGTTCGTCGTCCTATTTAGTTGGCAAGGTGGACTGGAAACTGCATGAATAGTGGAAATTGGAGCATTTATTCCCTCCTGAGAATTCAGCAGTGGTCGAATTTAACAAGGAGTGAGTAGTATTAAAAAAGTGGTGGTGGTGAAAGTCCGAGGAGTGGGTTCTGCTTCATTGGGTCACTTTCACCATCGCCACCATCGCCACCACCACCACTGCCAGGTACTCAATTTGTATATCATATTTGAAAAGAGATGAGCAGCAGCACCAACCAGCAGCTCCTTCAGAACTTTTGTGTTATGCATGGATTGGATTTTGCGATTGGATTTCCTTTTCGCGAGGTGAAAGCGAGAGGAAGGAGAGAGCAAGGCGAATTCACACAGTGCTGCTATTAATACCTATGCAGCCATGCGCCCCGGAAGCAGGGGGACATTGTTCCCCCAAGAAATTCAGCAGAAAATTTTATCTTGCTCATGTCCCTCCTCCCACAACGCTAATGTTCCAAATGTCCCCCCAACTTCCGCCGCCACTGAATACACGGAGGATCTGTCCGTGCTTTCTCTCCCGAATAGCAGACTGTTGCCTCCTCCTCCCTTTACGGTCATCCATCCATCCACCCATTCCAACCTGCAATTCTCCCCGTGAATACATGCAAATTGAGAGATTTGTAAAAAGTAGGACCCGATAATTCGATTTTCTTTCTCTTTCTCTTTCTCTCTCTTTCTCTCAACTTTGACCGAATAACACGACCATCGCCATCATTTCCATCATGTCGCTATGCTTGCTTATTGCTTCCGCTGCTGCTGCTGCATGGGAATTCAATCGCGTGCGACATAGTCAGAAATCAACTTCGCCTCGGATTGGATGGATTTTGATTCTATACAAATTTAGGGCTCAAATAGTCTATGAGATTGTCTGTGACGTGTTGTTTTTCCAAACTTTGGTGGATATTTATTACCCAAAAAGTAGGTAGAGAATGTTCATGAACATGACAAGGTTTGCGGTTTGGTCGATGTGTGTTTGTATGTACATGTGCAGATGAACGCCTTGTAACTCGTTACATACATATAGATAAAGTCTATATACATAAAGTATAAACTCAATTATCATGACGATATTATCATCCACCAACCACTTATCAAACACTTTCTCCTCCGAGAAGAAAGCGAAAAATGTGTAGCAAACAACTTTCACCGCCTCAAAACTTTACTACTACTTTTACCTCCGTCCGTCCACACTTTCACCACCACCACCACCACCCAGAGAGAGAGAGAGAGAGAGAGGTGACAATCATTGTGGACTATGCATCAATTATTCACATTATTTTCCCCGCATGCTAAAACACCTCGGTTTCCTAGAAAGGTATGAAAATCCCTTCTGCACACACGAGTTGAATGCATGTCCCCCCCCCCGTATTTGCAAAAATGTGCGAATCTCTGTCTTGGATGGATAGTTCGTAGAGAGAGAGATGGATTCTCTTCTTGGTTGGCTGGCTGGTGGGGACGACAGGCAGGAGATGAAAGGCTGAGAAAGAAGAAGTTTCCATTATAGACTGAAGGCCAAGTTGGCTTAGCTCTCTCCCCAATTCCGTTTGACGTGAGAGGAGAAAGCATCCGGAAAGACGACGACGCGCTGTTGCACACTTTTACTTTAACAACCAACCAACCTCCCTCCCTCCCTCCACAGATATTGGGATGCCATGACGCTCATGCCTTCTCTCCAGCAAGTCAGGAGAGAGAGAAAATGAAGCCCACGACGACGACGACGACGGCGGCGGCGATCAAACGGAGAAAGGCCTCTGTATTCTGTCTCTTCTTAATATTCGTGCGCGTGGCTGGCTACCTCTTTTCCCGTCCGGTGAAAGTTCACTTTATTTCAGTTGCATGCACATGCAATGCAGGAAACCTGGAAGGAAACGACTAACACTCCTACACGGCCGGAAATGAAACCACGACATGTCCACCATCGACATCCTTCTCTCCCCGGAGGGTACACGACCCTCAAAAAAATTGCCCCTTCTTCTTCTGGGGTGGGTGTGCCGATGAGATGTAATAATAATGTCCCGTCTAAAAAAGGAAGCCACTCGCTCACCAGGTATCGTATCGTAAGTAACGGGGCGGGGTGGTAGAGTGACGTAGTTTGTCGACACAGGGGCGTCCACACAGACAAGAAATATCCCCTCGTCGCAAAATCTAGTCATCCCCTCCCCCAAAATCCGTGTGGGTGTGCCTTCACCCAGTTCGCGTGGCGTACCCCCCTGCCCAACCCGTTGCGAGCATGCAGTTGCTATCTGGTAGAAAGGAGTCGGCCATTTTCGGAGGCGGAGAGTGAGTCAAAGTCGGGACGAAAGTTGGTAGGAATTTCTCCGTGGGTTTTGCCGTCTCTCAACTAAACTAACCTACAACTTGGTGGTGGTACTGGTGGTGGTGGTAGTAATAGTAAGTAGAGTGAGCTGATCTCTGGTGGTGGTGCGGTGGACAAGCCGAAGTCAGTCACAGAGTTCCGACGAGCACAAGCCAGCCAGCAGCAGCCAGCCAGCCAGCCAGTCAAAAACGAGTCATCTCTCACCTCCCAATAATTTTCTTGTTTTTAAAATAGTCGGAATATTTTGAATATTTCACTCGTCCGCACGTCGTAGTTATCTAAACGAACTAGGGAACGTGAGAGCGAGGAAGCCACCCACGACCACTCGATTTCCCCCACGGACGGCCGGTGTGTAAAGTTAGGAGAGAGAGAAAGAGTGAGAATTTAAGTGTGGGTACAAGTGTGAATAAGGGAAAAAAGCCGATAAGAAGAAACAATGTCTGACCGGGAGGATAACGTTTACAAGGCCAAGTTGGCCGAGCAGGCGGAGCGGTACGATGGTAAGTCTTATCATAATTTCTTTGTTCTTCTTGTAAGAAGGGTGTCGGTTTTTCGCTACACCGGGTCGTAAATAATTCCCCGACTGGTTTCCTCTACCTACTAATAAAGTGAGAGAAGAAGAGAGTGTATAAAATAGAGGGATGATGTCATTCTTTAGTTTTACACATTATGTCAACTCCCTCGAATGGAATGACTCGACTGGACTTGCGGTTGGTTAGTTTAGTTGGGAAGGAATTTGTGTTATTTGTTTTGTGTTGGTCTCCTCGTAATCAAAATTACCCATTCATTCATACTGGATGGAGGTTAATGTGCAATTTCATCGTGGCAAAAAAAAGCAGGAAGGGTGGTCGTGTTTGGTGCCTATTTGGAGAGGAAGAAGGGATGCACTTCTCGGCTAGGCGGAGAAGGGGAGAAAAATTTAGTACTTGACATTACTGAATTGAAACGTAGATCCCATGCGCACTCTGGCCTGAGATTGTCGTAGTCTTCCAGCTAGTGGGGCATTTCAGACGGGGTTGTGCTGCTGTGAGGCAGCAGCCATGAGCCAGTTTTGCCAATATTGGGGCAAAACAGGGCAACTTTTGAGTCATAGCGTTTTACTACTCGACGAAATCTATGCTTTACTTTGCTTTTGGTAAATTTACACCTTATTCCTTTTATTTGGACTTAAATGGTTGTGAGTGAGAGAGAGACGCATAATAATGATCACAATGTAGAACGGATTCCATTGTGTTGGGTGCATACCTGGCTGGCTGGCTGGCCTGAGTTTTAAAAAGGCTCCTTATTCTCAGAAGTGGGAGGACAATGCCAACCTCACTAGTTTCCTTGTTAGGCAGGCGACTTGTTTGCTGCCTGCTTGCCTGCATGCATGCACTAAAAAAATGGAGTATTGAACTTTGAGCATGTCGCCAAGGCGTGCAAAAAGTTTAAGGGTCTAGTTTTTTCCCTGGGTTTGGGAGAGGGTCGATTTTTTAAGGCCGCTTCACCCTGTTTTCTAGTACTGGTGGTGGTGGTGGATGGAAGCAGGTGTTCTTTATTATTATCCAAGGTTCAATAGGAGCAGGGAATGGATGTGAGTGAATAATAATGCAATGCTTAAAATGGATCGATTCATGTAATGGACTTGGTGTTGACAGATGCATGTATCGCATATGAACTGCAAAAATGTGTCATTTTACACGATGAGGTAATTAAACAGTTCGCAGTTTCGTTTCGTTAATGGGGTATGAAATAGTGTCAGGTTTCAATCTTTTTTCGGTTTAGTTTTATTTCTGTAAGGAAGCCGAACAAAACGTAGATTATAGATTATCGTTTCCCATGAAAATTAAAAATATATAGATTGCACCGCATTGCTCATCCCTTTTCCCAGAGTTTTTTTTCCTTTTGACACACAGATTTTAATCACGAATCGCGTCCCATATCTATTTACGTAATTTGTATGGGAGGAGGAAAAAGATGTAATTTCGTTCCCAAATGAATGGAGGGATTTAATTTCTTCTTCTTCTTTACAGAAATGGTCGAAGCCATGAAGAAAGTCGCGAGTCTTGACGTCGAGTTGACGGTGGAGGAGAGAAACCTACTGTCGGTGGCGTACAAGAATGTAATTGGAGCTCGACGAGCTTCTTGGAGAATTATTTCTTCCATCGAGCAGAAGGAAGAGAGCAAGGGGAGCGAGGATAAGTTGGACATGATTCGACAGTACCGAGCTCAAGTAAGTAGTTTTCCCTCTCTTCTTCCTACTCTTTTCTTTTGTGCGTCGCTAATAAGCTGACTGACTGACTGATTGTGCCCTTTTTTGGATTCGTTTTTGAATAGGTGGAGAAGGAATTGAAAGAGATCTGCTCCGACATTCTGAACGTTTTGGATAAACACCTTATTCCGTGTGCTACTTCGGGAGAGAGTAAAGTTTTCTACTTTAAGATGTAAGTGGACAAATTCGCATGTCTCTGGCAGGGAGAATAGGGAGATGTCTCACTCACTAACTAATGAATAATATCATTTCTTTCTTTTTTTTCTCTTTGATACCTACAGGAAGGGTGACTATCACCGATACTTGGCCGAATTTGCGACCGGGACGGATCGAAAAGATGCTGCAGAGAATTCTCTCGTGGCTTACAAAGCTGCTAGGTAAGTGAATTTTATTTTACTGATATGAATCATGCAAATATGATACCTGTAAATTTATTCGAGTACTTGCATTATTGTAGCGACATTGCCATGGAAGAATTACCTCCCACACATCCCATTCGTCTGGGGCTGGCTCTGAATTTCTCCGTGTTCTACTATGAGATCTTGAATTCGGCCGACAGGGCATGCCGACTTGCAAAGGCCGCCTTTGACGACGCCATCGCCGAGTTGGACACGTTATCTGAAGAGAGTTACAAAGATTCTACTCTGATTATGCAGCTGCTCCGCGACAATCTCACTCTTTGGACATCCGACATGCAGGGTGAAGCCGCCGAAGGTACTTTCTAGTCATTTTCATGGGTTTAGCCAATTTTTTTTAAAGCTAGACACATTACTTAGAAAGAAAGAGAGAGAGAGAAAGGTGTAAAAGCTTCTTGGTAAATTAAATTTTGTCATATTTCACTCCCACTCAGGCGGAGAAAGTGAACCGAAGGAGCAACTTCAAGACGTTGAAGATCCCGAAGCTGCTTCATAACTCGCTCTGGACACTTATTCTACATACACATGCAAACTGATTCCTCTCATTAACTAATCTCCCCATCATCATCATCCTCCTCCCCCTCTCTCTACGGAAATTTCCACTCACTACTACTCCACTAACACCATTGCTACTACTGCTGCAATTGTATGGATTTATTATAATTACTTCGTACACGTAACTTAATCTCTTCATTTTATTATTATAAAATAAGTGCAAAAATCTTTTACTACTACTATTTGAGGGTCAGACATGTCCAGTAATGATCATGATTTGTTTTTAGCAAGTGGATTGATATATAAAAAAAGGAAAGTTTGTTTTTATAATTTTCAACTCAGTTTTATTAGTGGCACATGGTAACGGACGGAGAAAGGACAAGGCAAGGTTAATAATGAGAGGTTCCCGAATTTCTTGTTATTTTTTTCATCACCCATATAATTAACAAGCCAATCCATGTAATTATTACAAAATATGTCAACTTACTTTGTCTAATATTTGGACTTTTTTATTTTTTATTTATTTTTTTGTGGTAGCAAATACCCACATTTTTTGATCTGGTAGAGAAAGTGGTGCATTAGACTGGAGAGAGTGAAAGAAGCGGATTTTCAGTTGATAACTGCATAACCAACCTGATGAATTATATTACTTATTATTATTAACTATAAAAATACTTACGAAATTATCACCACCATCATTCAATCCAGCAACACAGCAACGTTCCGTTATTTGAAATCTAGTTTATTGTTGTAAAAAGAAGGCAGATAAAAATTTGTAGCAGTAGCAGCCAACCAACAGCGAAAGGACAGACAGACTCTTTTTTCATATTGTTTGAGTGTGACCTTAGGAGAAATTATGATTATTAACCACTACTTTCCGCGTACTTATGTAACTAATTATCCAGTCATTGGTGAGGAAGTCAGTAGAAGAAGAAGAAGAAGAAAGTGCAGTGTTGTGAGGATGCATGTAAAGAAAGTTCAGCCGAAGAAGCAGTTGTTAGCATATGTCGCTGATCGATGATTGATCCTTCTCTCAATTCCTGGTATTAAACAGTAATAACGATATGATTAACATATTTACATTCATATTAATATAATAGCTCACATAATAGAAAAACGGGGTCAAGCAGTCCATTCAAAATTGTTGCATAATATTGATTGTCATAATAATAGTATAGTTAGTTGGATGATACATAGGAAAACTATTCATTAATAATTAATTGTTACTTAATTTGCCACCACCACACAAACCTAATCTCTCCTCTTTGTGATTATTGTTATTCTTGTCGTTTGTTTTACTACACAGACATTTAGTATTTAGTTTAATAACGACACACCTAACTAACCGCACTACCATATGAATTGATTACCATAAAAGCTGTTGTTGTTGTTGTTATTGTCAGTACCGTAAACAATTATTAATAATTACTTGATTTGACTTTTTTTCTTCTAAATTCCACACCATAAAACACGCTTCTACTGTGCAGTAAAAAAAAATATGAATGAATGGCCGGGTGACAAGATGCGCCGCGCGGGGGGGAGGGATGATTATTATTATTATAACAGTTATTGTTAAACAACAAACAAATTAAATGAAAGAAAGCTTTCCGATTAAGTTATTCATTTTCTTTTTCGTTCCGGCTTTTCTATAACCGTTTAACGCGTAAGATATAAATGAACTCAAAATTTTGTAACTTTTTTAATTGTAATGTAAAACGTAACTTAATGAAGAAGAAGAAGAAGAAAGAATGGAGGGAGAAAAGTTGACGCAAGTTTAATTACTTGCTTCTTACCTACTCTCTTATCTACACAAAAACAATGAGGGTGTAACTGTAATTGTACATACTTAATCTTTTTGCTTCCTCTCTCCAATATATATTGCTATAATTTATGTGCTGATAAGAATAAGTAACATTTTTTGGCACGACTACGTACGACTACGAAGAGAAGAAGACGACGAAGAAAAAACGGGGTGGGGGTGTTGTTGTGGATGGACAAATTAACTGTGGTAAAAAAATGAATGACTGATGCTTTCTTTACAAGCTTGTTAATTAATTTAACGATATGTTTATTAGTTTATTGTTATCACTTACTCTTTGAATATCATTGTTGTTACATCTATTATTTGAAATCTGAGGAAATATTAAGAACGAGAGGATGGGAGAGGAAATGAAATGGAAATTTTACTTATTACACTTATTTACTTGTTGTTGTGTGTACGCGTGTAAAAATAATATGATCCAATCCGTAGAAAAAAAAAACAAACAAAAACTTGTATCTGACTTGCTTTTCTATTCGATATATATAAAAAATAGGAAAAGGATGGATGGATGACAAAAAATTTTGTGCGTTGCCAAAAAAAAATTGGCCAATAAAACAATTCAAATCTAGTTGGATTTATAATAATGATATAGCACTCACGAGTAACATTTAACAAACAGAATAATTAAAACATAGTTCATTCAAATTTATGGTAAATTTTGAATCCATTTTTATTACTAAATTAGTAGTTTGCAAAAATTGATCCGTTTCTAGTAAAACCGTTTTTTGGTTGACTTGCACACACAATGAGAAACGATTGCCATCCCTTCCTTCCTTTCTTATTGGTTGATTATTGATACGTAATTATTATTAATTAATATTGTCACGTAATAATAATTGTTAATTAATTAATTAATCATTATTGTTCCCGTGCTCTGGAAAAGTCAAGTGATTTACGTTTTATATAAGTAAATTATGCAAGGATCGAATAATTGGGCGTTTGTTGAGTACATTTTCTTTCTTTCGGTTTGGTTGGTAGTTATTTTTTTCATTTTCAGTCATGTTTTATTATTAAAAATTCGAGAGCGAGAGAGAGAGAGAGAGGAAAGTGATCCCTTCTTCTTATGATTATGATTATGTAATGGTCAACCTTGTATTTAAAAAATGTGTACCTCATCATCACTCGACGACGACTCAATCAAATGTCAAGGTTGGTTGGGCTGATTGATGTTGAGAGAGAGTGACCGACTACTTATTAGTGGAAACTTGTTGTGACTTCAAAAATCAGCAGAATCAGAAATCGCCCAACCCACCGACTACTCTTCGACACACTCCTCCTCCTCCCCATCATCAGTTAAGATATTTATATGGGTTCGCTATATACTACTCGACGCGCGTTGTCATGCATTGAATTGAATGTCTGTTCCACAGGAGTTAAAGAGGGGCACAACTTGTAGATAAACAATTATAATGAGCTAATAGTGAAATAAAAAGCCAACTATACTATTTGCTTAACCACCCCTTCTCGCCGCACCACGACTTTCTTCCTTTCTCTAAATATTTCTCTCGCTCACGAAAATTGATCTGCGTTCATCAGCATGGGGACTTCATTTTTAAATAGTTTTGGAGAAATTTTGACAGCATTTCAACGCCAAGTATCATTTTCTTGTTTGGCATGCATACGGCAGTAATAAAGGTGATACCCTGCATAAATTTAGTGTCACGTTAAAAACATTTATTATTTCAATTTGAACTCAATATCATAATCAATATCATAAAATGCTATATAAATACGTACAAAGTTTACTCTTTGGAAGTTCATGTGATAATTTTGAGTCACTATTCGCATATTTTATTATTTTACTACTTTTGCATATTTCAGGTTAATAATTGTACAAAAATATAAATAGTGTACATTCGCTTATTCATACTAAATGAAGCGAATGTATGTATGACAAAACGTAATATTACATCAAAAGTTCAAAATATAGTTAATTTCAAACTTAACTTGGGTATCACACCAGGTAATTTAATCCCCACCACCACTACCACTTTGATTCCTCCCACGGCCAGGAGTAGATCCTCCCCCAGGCGTCGTCGTCGGACTATTGCTATCTTGTCGCTCGATAATCCGATGTCTCTCCATGTTCGACAAAATGCCGGCCAACGTTGTCGTTCGCTTCGTGCTCATCTTAGTCTTAAAAATGGATCCAGATTTCGACGTCTTTAAGGATGGAGAGTCTTCGTCAACGTCGAATGCAAAGTCGTCCCCTTCCGAGTCTTTCCTGTATTTCCATTTCATAATTATTATACATAAGTTTTACACATTAATTTTAATAACAGTAGATTATTAGTAATGATAAGCTTACACTGTTAAAGATAATTGATTTAATTCTGCTTCGGATACGGCTTCCTCCAAAACCTGACCAGGTTCTCGTCGTCCGACACATTTCCACTCCAAATCGATTACTTTGTTCGCTTTGATGGTTGTGTAGAGGGCTTCGATCTCCTCAAATTTGGGCGACCAGAGACTCCCATGCTGGAAAATTAAACAAACTAATAATTAAAAACTAACTAGAATATGTCATTTCTCCAGCTTTTGCAGTTATTCTATAAACTTATTTAAATGTTGAATAATTTAACTTGCACACAAATCTGAAATTGATTACATACATGTGCTATATTTCTCAACTCATCACGTCATCCCCAAACTTATCCATGATCTTATCGTATCTTGGATGGATAAGATATGACATTGACAAAATTAAAACTAATTAACAAATCTATAAAACTCACACTGATTCCCAATCGGTTGTACTCTTCCTCATCTGAACATTCTCCAAGGACTTCGTCATCATCCATGGACCCCATCTTCCAGCCCAAGTCACACCCACCCAAAAAGATAACCAATCCCACACTTATCTATTATTCTATGTAAACTAATTAAATTTGAGATCCGTGAAAAACTTGAGTCAACAAAAGACAAAAAACTTGCCGCATCCGAAGTCTCATTCCCCACGTTGTGCGGCACTTTACACTCTGACTGGAGTTCACAAAAAAAAGTTTCTCTTTCCAAACTTTCGTTCCAACTTTAACTTTTAACTTTTTTGTCATATTTAGTGACGAATTAATTAAAAACGAGGTCTGGCCATCGATCTTCGTCACGCCGAGTAAGGGCCAACTAGTGCACTCACCCACCCCGAATAGCGACAGTTGGCCCTGTTGATTACAGCAAAGTTTTCTTCTAGTTTTTTTTGTTTTAAAGTGAAATATACGATAAACACGACTGATAGATAAGCCATGTCGCAAACCAGGATGCTCCAAACGGGACAGAACCAAGGAAGTCAAGTGGGGGACAATAATCGTCCCGAAACCATTATCACAATCAACATTAACGGTGTCCCGGTCACACCCATTCAACGTGTTTTCCTTCAACGAGATTACAGAGAGGGAGTGGCGATCCGATTCATGACAGATTTTCCTGTAGAGCTAAATGGTCTGGTGAGTTGAATATCTTATCTTCTTATCGGTCTTCTTATCTAATTTTTGGTTTCTTCTTGTGTGCCTGTTATCTAGATTGATCCAGGCGCTTTTGAGTACACGGTGAAGAAAATTAACTCAATTTTCCGTGAAGCTGAAGAATTCACTTGCACAACGTTTTGCGAATCATGTCTTGGATTCCTGACTGCAAACCTGTACTGGTTTTGTAGAGATTCACGCTACCAACAGGTATTATTTGGGTTGTTTGAAATTATGTCATAAAATTTAATCCCATAAAATTTCGAATTTCAGGCTTTGAAGAGTATATCTAAATTTATCCGGGAACAGAATCAGTGTGTTTATCTACCAAATTCCCTTTATGTTACGGATCCTGTTGTGCGAGGTTTGAGATGTGTAAGTATGGTACACATAAAACGCATGATGGTCTTTAAGTTTTAAAACATTAAGCCTTAAATTTCTATCATAGATCGAGATTAGCGTGGTTGCAGATCCACTCCAACTACAACAGAGATCGTCCTCTTCCTAATAAGCAGCAACTATTTATAAAGTTCTCCAAATGCATAATAATACTACCACCTAAATATTTATCTAAACCAACTTAATAATCAAGTAACAGAATCGAGAAGAACGTTAGCATAAGTTAAGTTGTTACGCATTAAGCGCCTCTCTCACATATTGTTCATTTTATATTTTGCCCACCAACAAACCAACCAGCCGTACGTATGTCCATTTTCATGTGAATGGAACTCAATTAAAAGTATTATTTATTTGTAACAATTTGACTCTCTCTGTACAAAGAAAAAAGTGATCAATAAAAATTTTTTATGAAATGTATCTCAATCAGTTCCAAATCATTTTTATGATTAGGACATAATGACTATTTTATTTCTGCCAAATTTTACAAAAATTCGTTTGGGTAAATGTAAATGTCTCCTTGAAACGTTACATAGACGAAGCACTTGTGATTTTGAATTTCATTCTCACTCCCAATGTCATTGTTCGTCGGCGTCGAACTCCCACCCGTGCGACGCATCCCGTATAATCCGACCCGAAATGCAGCTACTTGTTCTTCAAAATAGAATCGCAAGATACAATTCTGCATTTTGGAATCTATCCTTCGATTTATGAGATAGGTTGGTCCTGGAACAGCCGCAAAAAAAACATTGAAATATAATTTTTAGGGGAAAATTTATAGTTTTTTGGTATGCAAACCTTCCATATCGACAAATATCGCACTTCCCATGAAAGATTGGACCGTCATGACAGGTTTGTTAAGCTGAAGATTCCTATACAAAAGATAATATATTTTTAAATAATAAAACGAACAAACAGATCTGAAATTCAGAAGTATTTAAATATGGTTTAGACTTAGATTTTCTAACAACGTTGTGAAATCTTTACAAAGTTTATAGAGTCATTGAGGATGAATTACAATGATGATGGAATTGATTTATATTTAAATTTATGTACCATTCAATCATGTCATCTTTGCAAATCATAACCGTTCCGTCCCAAGTTCCAACCGCATAACTGTCCCTATCAGTTCCATCATGCGATGCAATATTGCCAGCCACATGCGTCGATATATTTTGATTCCGCATCCGCGAGGAGTTTAAAGCATATCTTTTAATTGAAATATTTTCAGAGTAGATCGTATTCAGCCTGGATACAAAATTAAACAAGTCAAAAGTAATCATCATAATCATTATCATCATCATTATTGTAATTTTACCCTGGCTGGTCGTCACTACCCCCGACATTTTGCTTTTGTAGTTCAGTCGTGCTGATTGAGTCCTTCATCTCGAGGCGACACCCTACCGAGCCGAAAATCTCTGTGGGAGGATTCGTGGAGCTGGAAGAAGTCATGTCCTCTCTAATTCTAGAGGGGTCCCTGACTTCCGTGATTCTCGTCACTGTCCCACCTCCCGTCCCGATGATAATGGAGACCAGGTTGCCTTGAGCGTGGGGGGCGATGGAGCCTATTTGGTTCGTCAACTCCCATTTATTGATCGCCTGAACCCTCCCTTCGTATGCAGGATGTGGAAAGGTCGGGTTTTCCTGCTGACCTTCAACCAACTCAGTCGGAGCGATGAGTATCTATTAATACCACAAGAAAATTAATACTGTGAAAACCAACAAATGTATGCATGTCTGTATGTTTGGACTAAACAATATATATATTTGATGAAACCAATTAGCCACTAATAAAAGCATTTACTTGTATCCAGGTAAATTCATTTGTGCGTATGAAAGCTTTTAAGGCACATACATAAATTATTTTGCAATCATTTAGTAAAAACTTTCATACATGCAAATGAATTTACCTGGATAAAAGTACATGCTTTTATTAGTGGCTAATCATGGTAAAAAGTAATTGGTATAAGTAAAATATTTTTGACTTACCGGGTTTGGATTCCACTTATACGTCCTCAACACCCTATCAGTCAATCCACAGACGAGCTCAATCATCCCATCGTCATCCACATCCGCTAAAAATATCGCCTTCGTATTCGCCACGATCCGCTGAGAGTGAAACTGTTGAATAACTCGAAGTCCATCCCCACCCACGCCATTCTTGGCTGTAGAATCCCCCAACGCCGACCCTGTGACCACAACCTCCGGAGGACTCTTTAACTCATCCTCCACATCAAACACGTGACAATATCCCTCCGTTGTAATTACGACGGTAAAGTTTCTTCCAATATTGAGCAAGTCGCCGACCGCGACGGCAGCAATGCAGCCGAGATCGAACGCACGACAAATACACTTATCAAACTTGAAGATAAAAAGTTCCCCGTCCGAGTTTCCCACGACGAATTCAGACACTCCGTCATTATCAACGTCGCCAAAACATAACGCCTCCTTCAATATGGAGCCGGTGAACTTGAGTTCTAAACAGTCTACGAGGGAGAGTGTTCTCATTTTCGGAATTTAAACAACTATACTTTCGTTTGTTATTGTCAGAACTAAATAAATTTAAGGTAATTGACTAGGGCTATACTTCCGTCGGTTTAAGGAATCCCATCCGTTTCGGCGGCCACACGATGCAGGTGGCTTTGGATTTTATCAATCCTAATGCAACAGGTCCGAAGACGTTGGAATCAAGGGAATGGCCGTGATTGTCCCCCTCAACCCAGCAATGGCCGGGTGGGATTTCGATTCGCTTCTTAAAGTAGCCTTTCGTCTCAACGATGTCACCCTGTTGCAGTTACAAATTAATAGTTCGTTAAATCAACTTTTAAGGGAAAAGGGTTTTCCGAATAAAATTGCATATAAATTTCTCACCCCCAATCCTACCACCCTCTTGATCAAGCGTTGTTTCGGATCTCTCGGTGACACGAGGGCGATAACTTCCCCTTTTTCAATGCTATCGAAAGAATTTGTAATTATGGGCCAATTGTAAAGGAAAACATAATCGCATTTCCTTTTCGAGTTGTAGTGGTGGTGGTCAGGGTTTAAGAGTGGTTGCATAGAGTGACCTTCGACCTTGGCCACATAACCAAACACCTACAAAGAAAGACAAGTTCAAGGTCAAGGCATAGTCCACAGTTATCGAATGATCAATTTAAACTCACGTCGATAAAGGTCACTCCGACCGGGATTCCAAAGGCGAATGTTTTCAAGGCCCACTTAAAACCACTAGTTGTGGTCATTTGTGATGACAATTCCAAAGTTAGCTAATCACAATCTTAATTAAAGTTAATTTTAATAGCTGAGATGTTTTATGCATGTTAGCCGGCTGATTTCTGAGATTTGCATTTTTTGCCCAGGCGGGTTTCTCACTTGACAGCAAGAGATCCATCCAACCTGTAAAAATCCAACTGTTTAACTCTCTGTCAGTGTGTCTTTTAATTAAAATTTCGAAAAATGGTGACCTCAAGGTCACTAACGCTGTCAATCCTGGTCATCATCATCCTTCAGTTGGGGACAGCTACCATTTCGCCGAGTGACAAAAAGCCAAAGGACAGCAAGCAAGCTACCGCTGATGCGAAGGTATTAAGCAGATTAAAAATATAAATTACTATAATTAATTGATAATACGCATTATCATAATTTCATCCCTTATCATCTTCGTTCTCTTTGATTTGACAGAAAGGCCCCGTCCCAGAGTCTGTCTTTCAACGAAACCTGGTCACCAGATCGCCCTCAGCGAGTGACATTGTCGCAGAAAGCGGCATGTACTGCAAAAAGATTGAGCGGAACTTCACTAACGCGGTGCTGGGCTATGTTACTCCGGTCAGTGACGAAATTTTTAGTAAATTATGGTTGTCATCCTTTAATAAAGTAATTTGTCTTGTTCCTATTTCAGTGGAACAATCATGGCTACGACGTCGCGAAAACATTTGGCAATAAATTCACAATGATTTCTCCCGTTTGGCTGCAAATCAAACGCAAGCCGACCGGTACTTTCCACATCACAGGAACCCACGACATTGATCACGAGTGGATTAAGGATGTGAGGAAGCGGGGGAAGAAGAGTCAGGTCAAAAGTAAGTCAAACACTTAAAATGCGTATGGATTTGATCTAATGAGATATTATTTTTAGTCGTCCCACGCGTCCTGTTCGATGGCTGGTCTAGCGACGATTTCTACGCCTTATTCACCACCGGTACAGAGCCAAAAGAATTGACAAAAACGATCGTGATGTCACTCAAGGTATGACGAATTAATAAGACATCCTTGTAAAAATTTGTCAATCTGTGACGAAATCATAAATATGAAATTCACAATCTCCTTCCCTTTTCTCAGGCCTACAAGTTTGACGGTGTGGTCCTCGAAGTCTGGTCCCAGTTAGGCGGACAGGGGCGAAAAGCATTGCAAATGCTGGTCAAATTACTTGGTGAAGCTTTAACCAAAGCAGACTTGAAGTTCATCCTGGTCATCCCACCACCCGTATCGCCTCATACCGGAAAAGTTGGCAACATCGAAATGGATGATATCAAGCAGATGTACGCATACGTTGACTACTTTTCCGTTATGACGTACGACTACTCGAGTCCCGAACGGCCTGGTATATACAATTGATAAATGTGAAGCTGTGTAAATTTTGCAAACTTTACTAACGTCACACAGTTAGTTTACATGGCTGGTAAAGTTATAAATTACTAACATTAAATGTGATCATACTTTACAGGGGCCAACAGTCCTATAAAATGGGTCGAGAAATGTATCAAGGCGATCTCCACGAAGAAGAACGAGAGGTCAAAGTTCCTCATAGGGCTCAACTTCTACGGCTATGACTACACTTCGTCGGGCGGACACCCCATCCTGGGCAAGGACTATCTCGACCTCGTCTCTAAAACAAGTGCTATCCAGTGGGGCGATGATGTCGAGGAACACTACTTTGAAGCGAAGTAAGACATACTAAAATAAAACATTATCAGACCAAATATCCTTAACTTATCGTGTCATCTTATCTTAGGGACAAGGGGATCAAACACACCGTTTTCTACCCCACGCTATATTCGATACGACAACGGATCAAGCTGGCGGAAGAATTGGGTTGTGGTCTAGCAATTTGGGAACTTGGTCAAGGCCTCGACTACTTTTATGATCTATTGTAAATGGTGCATTTTTCATATACGAACAAGTTTGATAGCTTTAATAGTAATTGAAAGTTTAAAAAAGATGGATGCAATATTCAATTACAATTATTTCATAAAAATTGGAGACGTTTTGATTTTGTAAAATAAAATTTTTGTTAACTTTTGAAAATTTCACTGTCAAGTTTGTGTAATTTATGTATTGCTTAAGTATGAATTGAAAAACATTCCACAATTACTCGATCCGTTTCTCAGATATTTGCGAAAATATTTACTTTTTTGGAGATTTCGTATTTAACAAACTTTAATATTTGTTAAAAGTGGACATGCCTGATTTTGGATGCGCATCCTTCATGTTTATACTTATACCAGTCTTATTTATATTTGCGGCATTATTAACGGTGTCAGATGAAAATTTCATCATTTATAGATTAAATCTGGTGTAGAAAATTTTATCGTAAAGTTGTGACATGATGTACTAAACCGAAAAAACTGCTATCTCTTTATATTTAAAAAAAATGTATACAAAATATCAAACTTTTTCAGTCAACTCACACATCTTTATTGTTTGACGCAAGGTAAGGGTTATTTGGAATAATATAAAATGGTTTTAAATTAATAATATAAAATTACAGTTATGTAATTATAGTAATTAGTAATTACGACTAAAAAAAGACTACTGATTGATATTGGTTATATGTAGTTCATATCCTCATAGTAAAACTGCAACTACAAGTCAATCATCCCCATGCAGATAAAAAAAATACATTTCAATCATCTGGCTTAAAAAGGTATCACAACCGGGTCGTCATTTACGACACGATTTTAATATTAAATTGCAGACACTACTGCCCTGTCAAATATCGTAGTCCATGAGCAGTCGGTTTCTGGGTAAAAAAGACTCGACAAATATTAAAATTCGTGCTTTCCCTTTGTATTGTACTATATTTTTATATCAATTGGCTGATTGATTTGTAACCTGACTAATAATGTGTCCCAATTGCAGAATATTAAGAGGAATGTAATGTGTCTAGCGAATCAGGTATTTGGAATCTGAATACCATAAAATAGTAACAGTAATAATAATACTACTAGGATAATAATACAATAAAAAATGACTTAATTAGTAGTGACGCTGAATTGGTGGACCAGGAGGACTTCCTGTTCCGGCTGTTGAGTAATGTTGAACTCCAACAATTGCCGGGTCAGCAGTGATGTCCTGCTGCTGCGGAGTGCGGCAACTTCCTAAGTCTTCACCTCCCATGTTTTGCATTTGTTGTCCCTGTTGTGCATGGACTTGTTGCATATTGAATCCTTGACCAAAATTCAAGTTCATTTGTTGTTGTGGTGGTGGAGGAGGACACATCTGCATATTTGGAGGAAAATATCCTGCAAACTGGAAGTGTGGATGTTGCAACGGATTCCCAATTTCGTTATTTCCAATCACACCAAATTTCATGGGGACTTGAACCCTTGGCGCGAAACCGGGCGGAGGTGGGGGAATCATGCCGAGATTCATTTGTTGAGCGTGCTGTTGGTGTTGTTGTTGATACATCACGTTTGGTAAATACGGATAAGGATGACCGTTCATAATCATTGGATGTCCATTATTAATGGGTCGAAAGTTAGGAGGAAGAGGAACAGGAGCGGATCCATTGTTGTCGAAGGGGACAGGAGTCTTGGCCCCCATCGCCACCGCTTTATCCTTCAATGAGGGAGAGAAGGAGACACCGGCAGATCCTTGGATCATTTTTAGAAGATGGACATCCACATTGTCACGTGGAGTTGACATGTTCCAGATGTAGCTCGTGTCTATCAATTCAATAAATACATTAATATCATCACGCATCGTGTTATTCTACAGTTGCAAATTGAGAAAAACGATTCATATTATGAGAGAAATCTTGCAAACTGTGAAAATAATGTCATTTTATAAAAATGTACGTATTATAATTAGTTTACATACCATCCAGAATACAGCTAGGGTCCACACTTCCAATATTCTGTGGTGCTCCATCATTTGCATCTCGGCCTGGCTTGGCGATAGGATTACCCTCAAATTTGCGGACAATATTATTCCCTATATTGCCAATGTGCGAGTCCATAAAATTTTGCAGTCGCGATGGTGAAGCAAAGTTGACATCCTCCTGACGTGGTGGTGTTAGTTCTTTCACAACACCTGTAGCACCTTCGTCCGCAAAAATTTCTTCATCATCACCCCCGTCATTCGATTCTGTATCACTGGTGCCCTTTCGAACGAACTCGGTACAATATCGGGCAATATGACCGATCCGGTGGCACCGCCGACACTGACGGTCTATCGGCAGATCACCTTCACGTAACCCCTTCTTACTGAAGTAATGCATCTGTAAGAAAGGAATGAAAACCAACTGTGCAAGGTTGTAAATCTGGCGTGATTTATTAGTATTTCACTCACTCTAGCACCCGAGAGATCGTCAACTTCCAATTCGGCATTGAACACCTTTCTAAACCTGCGCAAGGTCTTCAGTATGTGAATACTCACTACAAACATAGATAAGAAGATATCAATCAGTATTTTTATTATCCAATTTCAATTTGTTTAAAAATTGCTCTCTTACTGCGACGAGTCAGTCCATTTCCCATGTTGTGTGACTTTATGAAGGGGTCTTCAACTGCGATGCAATCCGTGTACCAGCCCTTTTCACGACGCGTCAGGGGAGCGAAACGCGCAATAGTAACCACATGGTTTTCAAAGTCAAAGATTTCCGTGTAGTAGCGGAGAAATCCAAGCCATAAATCTTCTACGGAATCGTTGTTTTTGCTATAATGCTTCCAGACGTAGCGCTGCACAAATAGATGGACACTCTTTACATCATCTTCAACAGAAATTAGCTTTTCATTTACTTACAATGTTGGGAAGATCAGCGAAAAAATAGCTTTCACAATTTTCGACGATAAAAGTAGGAAGTGGTTCGTTGATCGGGTGTCCTAATGGAGGTATCTGGACGACAATATTTAATTAAATATCTCAACAAAATTTTAATAAATTACAGACAATTCTAACAAACTATTAAAACGTGCAAGATTGTTTAACAACTGATAAAAACTTGGTAGAAATTATGTTTAAGACTTGATACGCGATTTAGTAATATTCGAAGTAATATTCGAAAATTAATTAAAAATTTAATATTTCTATACATAGTTCAACCAATCCATAAAAAACTAACCTCTTGCAATACTGGCAACACAGGGATGTCGGTATGTTGTAAATAGTGAATCAACATGATCATATACGCGTAGGAGGAGATACTCCCTTTAGAAGCATCACTAATTTCACAAATCTTCCCCAGCTTTTTAATCAGACATCCCAAGATCTAAAAAACACAATAATATTTAATATTATTATTAACGTCTTTACTGAGATTTCGCTTAATTTCAAATAAAGCTCATTCTCACCCTGAGTCGAGAATCCAACTGATTATACGCCTTTAGCAGGAGGGTGTTCCTCAATGCTAATAAATTGTAGAAGCTTATGTCTCCATCAATACCGGATGGTTCGTGTTGATACTTCACAATCGGAACTTTCGCTGCTGTGATGGAAAATACGTCCACTAAATTTGGGGATCGTTTCAAGCAGCTCACGATTCGATTCATTGTATTCGTCGTGTCAATATGCTTTAAAATGTCTTCCTGTAAATTATTTGAATCCGGTCTAGTTAGTTAATTACTATGAGGATTTAAATTTTTGCAAAACCGTAAAAATTTTATAAGATGGAATTATAAACCCTACGAAATAAATAGACGTGAATTTATCGGGTTGTGTAAAATTTGGTACGGTTTTTGGCGAAGTTATAACTCAACTTTTGTACAGTTTAGCAATATTTTGTATAATACCTTAGTTGAAAAGCAGACGTCTTTATGTGTCATGCACAAGTCCAAGTCGGAAGTTCTTAGACCAAAGCCGTTCTCAGATGAGCCAAACATCGTTAGTTGGACGTCCTCAAAATCTTCCATTAGGGATGAATACACCTCGTTTTTTATCAGCTGTCGAATTCTATAAGTTTCTTGGTTCAATGCGAGTTTTTCTGAAATTTAATCATATAGTTTTCATATTTAATTACTTTAAAAATTCTGGTGATTTTTAGGGAAAAATCAAAGGAAGGCTCACCATAACTTGTCAAAATAACTTTTCTCATCATCATCAAGGTGCTTTCGGATGGTCGCTGAATCTCTGGCAGTGGTGGAAGTGTTTCAGATGGGCAATTTCTAAAAATAATATAAAAATTATTAAAAACATACCAAGATCTGAAAAAATCGAGTTACATAAATTGCAATACATTATTTTACTGCAAGTGACATTGAACAATGACAAAATCAATGTTTGGATATATTTTTTCACCAAAACAAATCAAGTTAAAAGTTTCTCGCAAAATAAACCTAAACTTACTTTCTTAGATGATCATCTGCCCCACAGGCCCTACATCCAATGGGAGGAAACTACATAGGCACACCACCACATTTAATATCACTTGCATATGGTCATATTTAATCAATCTTTGACATTGTCCCCACTCACATTCTCTGCCCGTAGAAACTTCTTGTCAAACGTGTACAAATAATGAACCTTTCCCAACACAGCGTGAGCCACGGGCAGACAGGAGTGCATGACCAAATCCTGCTTATGGCCAACCCCGTCAGGTCCACTGAGCATTCTTATTGTAGCCGTCGGTTTCAAGCTATCGAGCGGAACTGGGAGGAACGTATCCGCCACAAGAACCTTTTCCAAGTTCACGTAAATGTTACGGAACCAGGATTTTGTCCCCTCCTCAAAAATTCGGTCATTGAAGATGCCGTCGTACAGAGCACCATGTTCCGTCTGAGGAACGGCGAAATACAGGAATGATTTCTTAACACAAGAGATAATGTACTCGCATATTTTGTTGTTTGGAGTGGACCGGGAGAGGTTGGACGACCCAACAATTGGATCTGGAAATGCAATAAGATCGAAGTAAAATTAATTATGTACAAGTGGCAGTAGTATCTTGTAAATTGTATTTGCTATGCTCAATTCATTTGCAAAATTTAGAGATAAAATCTGCTAGTCCTACCTTCAATGGACAACGGTCTATTCCACGGGGTGTCTCGAGCGGACAAAACCTCAGTCCGTGAAATGGTCACGACACGATTTACAATGTCAAATTTCACAGCATAATAGTACAATAAAGATAGCCACATGCGCCCCAGATCCACACTCGTGTAAGCTCGATCAGAATGGTTGGGGAAGCCGAGTTTGAAAGCTTCCTTTGCAGCTGAAAGTAAAAATATTATTTAAGTCATCTCCTTATATTTCGAAATCAATTATTATTTTCCATACTTGCAAATGGCCGGGACGAGTCGATATGTGGTATGGCTTGCAGAATGGGCACCATCCCACACTCCTGCAAGTACTGAAGCCCCATTATTGGGTAAGCATGTGCTGGTAGAAAACCGCTGTCCTGATTGTCAAGCCCACACATCTGCACGAAATTTATCGAAAAATATGTCTAATTTCCCATCGCAAAATTTGCAAGACTTTAAAACCTTATTAAACTCGTGACTCTGACTTACACGTGCCCAGTACCGAAATCCCATCAGTATCGGTTTCACCATCGGATTGACATTTAAGTATTCATGTAACAATCCAGCGAGAAGTAGGGCCGGCTTGTTATTAAATTGCACCACACATTTAACCTCAACTCCAAATTCCACCACTGTAAAACTGATGTGCGACTTATTTTGAAAAAATTTGGGAGTTACATCCCTACAACAATAAATACTTTAGTTAACATATCATAGCTTGTCAACATCACCTCCACTTTAACTCATTATACACAAACTCACCTGAGTAGTGGCATGGACGCAAGAGCGTCCACAACTTTGCCGACATTGGTCAAATGATCGGTAGCATTACTAGGATGCATCACGGGGTGAAGTTTGCCTGGTGTTCCTGGGGCTGCGCCTGTCTCCACCTCATCCCGACCTCCAAATGTCACATTGATATTCAGATTGGAGTCGTGGAAGCCTAACCCAGTCACGGACGATCCAAACATAGAGACATCGCAGTCTAAAACATAGTTCGTGTTAAACTTTTATGGAATTCAGAATTTGGGATGAAAAGTAATCGAGTCTCACCGATGCCTTCTCTTTCAAAGATCTCCGTCAAAAGGTCTACAATTCTCTCCCTCCGCTTCCTGTCTTCCTCCGTGAGACCAAATTTGACACAGATCTGGCCAATCACTTCTCCAATGCTAGCACAATGCTGTTCAGACGCCATCGGAATATTCTCCAACGTATACATCATAGCTTGATCCTGCACATATAAAATCACGCATGTAAAGCAATTCGGTCAGCTAATTTCGGATTTATCTTACCAGGGCCAACTGGAGATGGCCAGCGCCACCGCAATGATCTACAACATCAATCACAGTCTCTAAATGGAAGGGACACAGCTTGCAGACAAAGTGGGCCCTCGGGTGTTTCGGGTTTTTCTGAATAAAAAATAATATACAAGCAGTTTTAAACTTCTGGACCCAATTAAAATCAGTACATATATTCACTCCAGTTTTTGTAACTTTTCAATTATGTAAAATTTGTGAACAGAAAGTAAAAACTTGTAGAAATAGTAAACACAATAACTGGCGTAAATATTTGTGTCTAAATCTTGTTTAGCCTACCCTTGACATTGGCTCTACAAAGTGCACTCTGAGCAAACGTCGCATGCCATCATCAATTAAGTCATAATGTTGCACAAAGTTTGTTACGCCGTCAAGACGGTAAGCATGCTCTGCAATTATGCCCTCTTCTCTTTGCAGTGTGGTAGGAATATTATTCCTAATCCTATTACGCTGCTTCATCTCTCCCAAAAATCCAGAGTATTCAATTTCAGTTTGACCCTCTCCTCGGTTGCTGCTCGAGTGACCTTTCAGAAATTGGGCAAGATGCACGTCTGTAAATGAGCGCTTGTTGACCATCTTCCTCTTGGATTCCTCCCTTCCCCGAAGTGGAGCAGGTTTGGCTTGGGTCTGGTCTGGTATGTGAGCCAACTGGGGACGATTGCGACCCCGACCATCTTTCGCCCCCCATCCGCCACCCATATACGAATTCTCCTTCTCTTCATTGTTGTTGATTGGGGCTTGACGTGGCGGTAGGATTACAGGGGCCACATCGGCACAGAATTGCGAGATCGTGACCTCCTTATTAGCAACGACTGGGAAAGGATCTGAAAGTAAACACAGTAATAATAGTATTTACTCTATATATTTGTAGTAATTGCATGTGGATTCACACCTATCGACAATTCTATAAAGAACTGAATTATTTGAATTTAGTTCCCTTAAGAGTATTTGTCAAGATATGTTATAAGATTTGGAGGCCGCTGCCTTTCTTTCTCCTTATACGCTGCAAAAAGTAAGTGGCAGAGGAGCAGCACGGTGATTTTTGATAAGGAGAGGCAAGGTTTTTTTAGGCCAAAGTGCGCCTTTTTAATTTTGATTCAAAGTGATGTTTACGTACCACCGTCCACCAATTACTCTGAAAATTCTAGTAGTTATGGGGATAAATACTCCCATGGCCTCTTGAATTTTCTAAGTAATTGGTACAACGATAGTGCATAACCATCATTTTGCAAAAAAATATTTAAAAATCGCCCTTTACTACAGCACGGCATATTCCCATTATCAGATGGTAGCACCTTCCGTGAAGCAAAGCGTTAAAAACATCCCTTGATGAAACATACTGCAAGATTGCATTACTTTTATTGGTAGATATCTCTATCGTTCACAGAACCATAATTTTTGTAGCAACTTAAAATCTAGATGGATGAGTGGATGTTACTTAGGATTGCATGAGACATCTGAAGTACCGTTACTTTAACAGATACGATCTTATCAAAAAACATTTCTTACCCTCCTGCAAAGGTCGTTGTTGCGGACTTCCCACTCCGACATCTGGAGAGCGACCAATGTTCTTTTCAATAGCCGGGATTTGAAGTAAATTTTGCAATTGTTGAGCGATATCTTGGGCGCCAACTGACCCTGGCTTTTGTGGCGAAGAGGTCGTCTCTTTTAGCCACTCCATCTCTCCCCCGATCGATGACCTATGACCTAATACAAGACGAAATTATGAGAATAATTACCCTTCCATTGAAATAAAGATGCAATATTACTCTTTTAAAAATTATATATCCCTTCCTTACCCTTGAATCGTCTCTCTCCCCACTTGTACTTTCACCCCTAAAGATAACTACCCCTGCGACCGGTAAGACACTCACAGATAGAGTGTCCTCACAACGTCAAGTTGCTAATCGTCAGCTAATTATGTTAAAAATGCTAAAAAATTCTACTACTAAAATCAGACCGAAGGAGTTGATCAAAAAGTAAAATAGCGTTCCTTTCCTAACCCGGGGAAACCCTTTGCTAACTGAACCTGCCCATATACCTTAATTGTGAGGTTAATTAAAGTTCTCATTAAAAGGGACGACGAAGAAAACTGAAAAAAACCTAGTCCGTCCACGTTCTTCAAAGTCTGACTTGGGCTGACAGTGGCTGTCGAGAGAATGAGAGCTTTACTTCACGGAGACTCTCACCACCAGAAGACTCGTTCCCACGTCTGGAGGGGAAAGCTGATCCAAAGTCGTGTGCAACTCGGCCAAAATTATGAGGATAACACCTTATCGACCTCCAAAAACTTGGGCTATCTTCGCAAATAGTGTACATGTGGATGCATCAACAATTAATAAAAATTTATATACTTCGTGTGGTCTCGCAGATTTTTGTCTCGCAGATTTTTGTTTTTGTCAAGTTTACAAAGATTTTTGCATGAATATATACCGTTATTAAATATTTTTGTCGATTGCATTCGCTTATCGGTAAATTACCGACGGTAATCAAAGATTAGACAAATATAATAAAAGCTCTCTCCATCCATGTGGAGGATTGAATTGGGTTTAAATGACTTGAATTTATTAACATTACTGATAGTCTTAAGTCACTCAAGAAAAATGCCGCATTGTATTGTTACAAAAATTGATAAGTGTGAATGGCTCAGCGGGCGAGTTGTGTAATGAGGGCGGCACACATTTCGAAGAATTCCATCGTGTGGTGACTCAGTCCTGCGGCAGTGGTCGATAACATTTCCATACCTGAGGAAATAATAGTAAATTAAATAATTAACTAAGCAGATTACTTGAGGGTATTCGCAAGTTTTAAATTACACACAAGGTAATCTATGCATAAAGTAGCTATAGTGTGTGTGCTGAAGATGCAAATTTTTGGCAACTACCGAGTTTGGAAAGGTACAAAAATGAACATGAATTGATTATTGTCACTTGAATAATTGTTCAATTTTAAACTTCAAAATATATAGAAATTTCTGAGATAGTTTCTGCCCGTATCAATTTTGCAGGCATCAATCAATCGTGATTTTAGAACTACTAGTTGGTAAACTGATCAGACGAAATGTGCACGGTTTATAAAGTTATCCGATGAATTAAATAGTTTCATGATGATAAATTCAAATGGGAGACTCACTGGAATGCATGTTCTCTTTGTCTTGCTCTTCGCAAGAGAGACTCTTAAAGTCCAGCAGATAGCTTTTGTAGTCGACTTGGTACAATTGAAGGGACATTTTAGCATGCTTGGTATTATTGGCGCTCTTGCGTCGTACACGGACGTGGTAAGGATTCACGATTTTCCATTCCTAAGCACATCACGAAATTAATCAATTAACCGGCTAGTTATAATAAGGTTAAAATAAGCGACTCACAAAATCCAAGGTCTTCATCGCCCTGTACACCTCGTTCATGATGTCGTGTGGTTTACTTTGCGATCTAATTCCGAGATGCCACTTTGCCCTCTTGACCCCACTGTTTTTATGTCGATCTGCATTGTTTCCGACTGGCACTGAGGTGATGACACGTTCACGAAGGGCTATATAAAAGCGAAAATTAATTATACATAACATCAGGTTTCTTTTCTAGCGATAGCTTCTTATCTTATCATATCTTACGCGCTATACGTTCTGGATGCGGCCTTATCGGGCTATGGATGCCGTCTGACGGAAAGGCCGTCGGTGGTGGGGAGCTGGCTACATAGAAATCCTTTATTTCAGCTTTAGCCGCCTCGTCAGCAATTCTGCGATTGTCGATGATTAAATGATAGGCGATGGAGAGCTGGTCGTGTGGATCACCGCTCATTAAAGCGTTGTGGACTTCGTTCTCGCTGACGCCAAATTTCTGAAAAAATATAAAACCCATGATTTTTTTGCAAAGCATTTAACAGAAAATTCTCTCGAGAAAGTTAAAACTTTGCAAAATCTCACCTCGCAAACTTCATGCACAGCGTCGGGATCGATTACTGATGTGTCTTGATCCACTGGAGATGGGAAGAGATACACGGGCAAGTCTTTCTGAAACCAGTCATGCTTCCTGTGATGCAAATATAAATAATATTTCATCATGTAATTATTAAATCTTAGTCATCATCACCTCACATGTTTGTAGTTTTAGTAATAATCACGTGCAGCCAATCAAAAATTGAATTGGAAATGAAGTGTAAAATGCTCTTACTTGATATCTTCTATCGTCGCCCTCTTCATGGGATCCACCTGCAACATATGGCACAACAAAGCCACCACAGATTTGTTCAAGTACTCGGGCAGTGGGAAAACTCCGGCTGAATAAAACATTTTTCATTAAATTTCCCATTCTTCTCTTAAAAACAGGCCGACTCACATTTAATCTTGCGGAATAACGTTGGAACATGTTCATCGTCAAAGGGGAGCGTGCCACACAGTAAGGCGTACAGAATGACTCCACATGACCAGATATCCACTTCCGGGCCGGCATACAACTTGCCAGAAATTACTTCAGGTGCCGCATAGTTGGGAGAGCCACAGCTTGTCCGGAGGAAGTCTCCATCCGTCATCATGTTCGAAAGGCCTGATTGTATTTTTTTACAATTTGTAAGCTTATCTCACAAAGTTTATATGGTTTACGAAATTACAAATCAACAACATTTTTACTCACCAAAATCAGCAATCTTCACATGCAGATTTCGATCAACTAGCAAATTCTCAGGTTTCAGGTCCCGATGGACAATCATGTGACGATGGCAGTAATCAACACCAGAGATTATTTGCTGAAAAAATCTACGTGCTTCGTGTTCCTTTAACTGGAATGCAAACACAATTAAAAGTATTACTCAGCTATTGACCTCAACCTGTAAACAAGCCCATTATCGTTATACTAAAGTGGTGAGTCACCGCAGATATGATTTTATGACTACACGTTATTAAGTTACCCATCAGAGAGTTACATAAATATGTTGACATGACAGGATTTTGAACTTTTAACTATCCCATTAAGAATATCAATTTTATGTACCTTGCCCTGTTTCACGATATATTCGAACAACTCCCCTCCCGAAACGTACTCCATAATCATGAATATGTCCGATGGCGTACTAATTACTTGATATCTAATGGTAAACAAGTATTTATTATTTAACTTCGTCGTAATTAATATCATCCGTTTGAAACTTTAAACTTAAAGTAAAAACAATCTAAGATGTCGAATTTATCCCTTTTTACAATTTCGTAGCATATCAAAAAATTTGAACACTTTACACGGTTACAAACTTGACCTGATTAAATAGAATACTTACAATTTGATGATGTGCGGATGCCGGAAGAGTTTTAAATTTTGAATTTCTCTCCGAATTTTACTAACGACGTCCAAACTCTTCAATTTATTCCTGTTCAGAATTTTAACAGCAACTTTATGTCCAGTCAATTGGTGTTCACCGACTAAGAAAACAAATCACAAAAATTATAAAGAATCCATACTTTTAGTTTTATATAATTCAATAACAACTCACTTTTAACTTTCCCAAACGTCCCGGTCCCCAAGGTCTGGCCGAGGACGTAATGTCCAATTTTGACGATGGGCTGTTGATTCATCACCGCGGGTGGTACGGGACTTGGTCCCCCGCTCGTCGGCGTCATCCCCATCACGATCGGGCTAGAACAAAACAGATCCAACGAACCGACGTTAATCGCACCCCCGCCAGAAACGCTTCTTTGCCGTTCAACGGGCTGGGGGACACTCTCCTTCCGCAGTGGCTGTGGATCCGCCATGGGTGGGGCTGAGTTGTGGCGATTTGAGGCCCTAGGGGGTCGACAACAATTAAAATAATCCATTAATAGATATGTCCAATTCATTAAAAAAGCAAAATTTTAACGTGCTGCAAAACGAAACGATTTCACGTTCAAGGTTAAGTTAAATAAAACTGGGATTACTCACCGAAATTAGAATAATGAGAATTTGCTTAATTATACAAATTCGCGACTAACTAAATGTATCGAAGATAATGACGACTTAAACTTTGTACTTTGGAATAGTTGATATAAAGCTAAAATGAGCACCGGAGTATTAAACTAGAAATTCGATATCAGGTTAATTTGTTTATCTAGGTTTTGGTTTTGCCTTCAGTCCTGCCCTGTGTTATTTTTCTAAACAGGATGTATTTGCTAAAATCAAATATTGTCGATGCAAACACAAACAATTTGAGATTCTTGTTTTGTTTTGATGTAAAGTATTTTACGTCTTCACTTTCGACCCCGGATAAGAACGGAATACCAAGGAGTCGCTGTTATTGTTATTATTATCGTTCTGTTAAGAACATTTCAGGAGGACAATTGCGTTCCTCCAGCATGCAAAAAGGTTCCCACACTAAAAACTTTCACTCTTTGAAACTGGACACGGGATCAGATTATTTTTATTATACGCAGCACAAATCCTGCTGTGTGAACGTGTGTATGCAAATAACCACTATATATACCACCACCACCAGAACTTGTATAAAGTTGTATATGCCACTAATACATAATTTGTCTCAATAGTGTAGTCTGTAATACCATTTTTTCTTTTGTCTCATTTTGTTCTTCTCGATTCGAATTAACTTAACATTTACTGTGTCATCTGCTATAAGAGTTCTAACTCATTACATAAGCCGAATTATTATATTATTTAACACCAGTTTATTTTTATTTTGACGTGAAAATCATTCAATTTCCCAAATTCCAGACACAACTTGAATGACTTTGAATATTTTATTTTGACGTGAAAATCATTCAAGTTGTGTCTGGAATTTGGGAAATTGAATGATTTTCAGTGAAAATTTTTCACATCAAAATAAAATAAAGTCATGTTAATTTAGAGCACCTTATGCGGTTCAGCTTATTCGGCTAATATGATCGTGGATTACTTGGAACTCTTATGGCAGATGATATACTACCCCTAGGGAAATTAACTGTTAAATTACAAATTTGGGAGGGGCATGACTCACGTAAAGAGTTTCCAATTTTTGTGCAAAGGTTCAATTTTATGATTAATTTATTGTGATTGTGACCTCCTAATGGCCTAGCTCACTCTGTCCCATTTAAGACTATAGGATATTCTCACTTTCTTAAATCTTAGACCGTTTCTATATGTTGTATCATTTCATAGCGAAAATTAACCACTTACCAGAACGCAGAATAAATATCCACCACTTGTTCAAAGATCACCGGGGGTTTGGGCGACGACGGTAATGATGCGACGTTATCTTCTTCAGTCCCCTTGACCTCATCCTCCTCGTCCTCCTCCTCATCTTCCTCTTGAATAGGAAACAGCTCCCACGAGCTGAGACGTCTTTTTACCGGAACGGTGCTGACTTCCAGTTCAACGTGGAAACCGAAGGGCGGCAAAGCTGACGACTTCACGACCTCCCAAGCCGCATTGTTGGAGAAGTCGTTCCTATTGAGGGGTGAGGACGCCCAGCCACCCACGGGGGACGTGGGGCGGGGAGGAAGTGGGCGGTTATCGAGGTACGCATGGTTTTTTGGATAGACGACATGGGTTGCTTTACACAAGCCGATAAGCGCCGCCATGGTGGAGATTATTTATGGACAAACAAGCTGTCGGGGGCAGAAAGGATATGTATTCTTTTCTAATTAATGCAATTTTCAGACGAGAACTTAAAAGCGGTCACTCACCAGTGAAAACTATAGAGTTAGATACATAATGGTTTTACAAAATTTTAAGAGACGGATTTGACTATGAGTTAAAAAAGTATCGTAAATTTTTCTCACCAAAAATAAGCCGGATCTCCTCAACCTTGTCGATGGCTTTACTTCTAGTTCTCGAAGACCTTAACTGACCTCGTTGTTAACCACTCCCACACATAAGTCAGTGATAAAAATACTTAAAAACTTCTTCTTCCACCACCTGGCCAACAATTTGGGAGATCGTTCCCTTTGTCGCCAACTGATAAGCCAGTCTCATCCGAACTTATCCACCTTTTCTGGAACCTCCACACTCGGTAGAATACCCGGCACGATAACACCCTCCAACATTATTATTTCCATATCAAGGACAAGAAGGTCACAGGTTGGCAAGAAAAAAAGTGAGAAAAAACGATCCCAATTAGGATTGAGGGGTCGAATAGTAGTTCGTGTTGAAATTTTGTGTCAGGAAATTGAGTCTTGCTGTTTACACAAAATTGTGAATTAATAAGTCAATTGTTCGAGATTTTTTTTTAAAGCTGAATCGTTAAATTTAGTTGGGACTTGACTGGAAAGAAATTAGCTCTCGACTGAGGCCTCAACTCCGACGGAGCGACGTTTTTCTTCCCAGGAGATTTTTGCTCTGGAGTGGTTAGTTAATTACTCTATAGTCACTTATAGATTTAAATTATTGGCATATATTATATATCTGGCTCGATATATGGCTTCGAACATGGAGTCGTTTTATTATTTTGCTGGAACGATAATAATAAGTCTCAAATTGCATGCTTGCTGGCTGGCTCAGGAATTTTCCTCGGTTGACTGGCGTCTATCATGTCTCATTATTGGTGATTTTTAAGTCTGCATGAATACTGTTTGACCTATTATAATAGTTCCAACTTGGAACTTCCAAGTGATTCGATTACAGTAACTGAATGAGCCGAATTATTTTATTCTTTAACACCAGTTATTTTTATTTTGGCGTTTACATTATTCAATTTTGTATGATTTTTAGCGTAAAAATATTTAACAGCAGTTATTTTTATTTTGGCGTTTACATTATTCAATTTTGTATGATTTTTAGCGTAAAAATATTTAACAGCAGTTATTTTTATTTTGGCGTTTACATTATTCAATTTTGTATGATTTTTAGCGTAAAAATATTTAACAGCAGTTATTTTTATTTTGGCGTTTACATTATTCAATTTTGTATGATTTTTAGCGTAAAAATATTTAACAGCAGTTATTTTTATTTTGGCGTTTACATTATTCAATTTTGTATGATTTTTAGCGTAAAAATATTTAACAGCAGTTATTTTTATTTTGGCGTTTACATTATTCAATTTTGTATGATTTTTAGCGTAAAAATATTTAACAGCAGTTATTTTTATTTTGGCGTTTACATTATTCAATTTTGTATGATTTTTAGCGTAAAAATATTTAACAGCAGTTATTTTTATTTTGGCGTTTACATTATTCAATTTCGTATGATTTTTAACGTAAAAATCATAAGAAATCGAATAATTACTTGGAACTCGTAACAGGTCAAACTCTAAAACAGTAAAAACTATCTGACTGTTGACAAGAAATATTTATATGTCTTTATACCAAATAATATCTACGGATACATTGTAAAATGCAGGCTAGGAAGGTTTTGGATAAAAAAAACTATCCCAAATTGCCTCGTGTTTCTAATCCTTTGTACAATTTGTAGTAATCCATCAATCTAAATCGGAGCTAACCATTTACATACGTTTATATTTTCTAAAATTCATGAAATTCAAAGAGATACGAGTCTGCTTTGTATCAGAAATTTGCAACAAACCTGTGTGAGCAATTACATGTTTCTTTAAGTCGATTTTTGTATTATTTGCAGAGGAATAAAGGGTTTTATTTTCACCGGTGCTCAGGCGTTTGCAAATCACCAGAGGAAAATTTTTTCATGTAATAAACTGTGTACACTTTAATAACGAGTGAAATCAAGGAAATCAAGCAAAATTCCATATTTTTCTATTTTTACCAAATGAGAAACCGTGTTGATAACGTTAATTACTATACCCAACTTTACGCCATTTACTCGGTTTTTATTTTCTACGTACACAGTATTTACAAATTGCTTGCTCGTCAACGTGTACGATTTCCTTTTTACCCAGCCAACAAATAAGTAGGTTGTCCACCTCGCACAAAATCAACATTACCATGAGAAACCCATGAGAAACTCATTTTTACTTGCACCAAAGCAAAGACAAGTCACATGGTCACACTTGACTGCGGTAACTTTCATCAATTCTTAAAAAATGCTCTGTAATTCCAATACACACACGTCAACGTAAACTCGATTTTAATCCAGAGTCTCATCTTGCCTCCTTTGTTTTCTTGCTATACATAGTCTCACCTGTAAATTTTACATACATTTTACAAAATATCAACAAAAAATGTCCGAATAAATTCGGGCATGACCTACAATTAATTATTATAATAGTAATTTTCCTCTGGTCTGAAATTCTTGCCCCATTTTCATTTCACTCAGGGACATAACTCATTAGTTCCCATCATCGTAGTGAATTGTACGTACGGAGTTGTATAAAAAATAAAACTTGACGAATTTGTTTTACTTGGTGATGATTTGTGCTAATCGGAAGAAGTGTAGCGTAATTTTGCCACAGCTTCCATTCCATCTCGATGACCGCTATACTGCATGATATCGTTGTGGTCGAAATATGCCCCTCCGTTCGTCCACCACCAATTGAAACAAGGCTAATGGGGTGCGAGACTTTGCTCATCGTCGTCACCACACACAGCACAAAGTCGTTCACCAAAGTCGTTATTTTCAACAAACTTGCAGATTACATTACACTCGCATCTCTGCTCTCTCGCAACAATTTATGCCCGAATGAAACTGTGTTAATAGAATGTTCATACATATGCATGTAGATACATATGCTTATAGAAAAACCATCAATAATAAATAATACCTGGGGACCGTGTGGACAGGATGGCTCTCTTTTTTGAGGGGGATCACTTCCCATGTTATCCTTGACCTCGAGAGGGGCCAAAATTCCACCACAATCCTTTTCGTACGGCCCATATTTCTAAATCTGATGGTCAATGGCAAGGTTAGAAGAACAACAGTATATTAAAAATACATACATACATAGGTAAAATATATAGCGGTTCTTTGCAACGAACACCCTTGTTCACGCCGTCGTCCAAACATTTACTCTCGTGGAGTTTGTCTGGTCCGAAAGCGTTTCTATATAAGGGGATGAAACGCGAGGTGTCCGAGTCCAGTACCGTAAGTCGTCACACTAACATCCTTATGATTTAAAGTCTGACAGTAATTGCTCCCTTTTTCCGGACTGAACTGGTTTCGAGGGTGGATTTGGACCAGATTTTTCTCTGTGAAAAGAAAGAATTCTTTCTTAGTCAGGATTCCAAAGTGTCACCAATGTCAACGTGGTGTCCAGTCAGGGGGCAACTCTATATTTAACTTGTACCCTTGATTTATTTCGGTAATTTTACTCGTGAGAAGGTCGACGAGGGTGATTCACGTTAAATTGAGGAAGAGGAGAGCAGAATATAGGACAATGGTGAAGGGAGGTCTGCCTTGGTGGTCGTGGGTGTGGTGTGTCGTGTTGGTGAAATTGTGCTCGGGAGCTTCCACGGTTCGAAGCAGTGGTGATGGTGGTGACAGTGTCAAGAATCCGATTCCCGTTCTCTACTCGACCTCCGGGATTGATAAGGAGTTTCAGCTCGAACTGTTCAAATCGGTTTTTGCCTCCCTTCGTGACCTCGACGTGTCGGGGGACACTTTCACCCCGGATTTTATAGATGTATCACAACTAAAAAATTCTACTCTGGTAGCGCAACGGCTTTGGACCAACTCTTTGGCAGCTCCTACTAGTCTCACTTTGATCTCGTTATTGAGCGAGTCTCACTTGTCTCAAATTGCCTCAGAGTGGGACCGTCTCGTTTCATCGAACCCGACCAGGATTACGCGACCTGTTAAAATTTATACGCCCCGATTGATCGGTGGGGTTCATTTTCCTCCCTCCGTGGTGGTCTCGTCGGTGCAGATGGGTCGCACCGGGGCGAGTGTGGCGTTGCTCAACCGTGTCGCCAAGGTGGGGATTAATGCCCTCATTCCCGTTCTGGATGGTGGCGACGTGTCGCAGGTCAAATGGTTGGACATCTTTGAACAGGAGGCCGGTCGTCTGGGAGGGATTGGATTTACGGACCCGATTTTTATCCAGAGACCGGATCATTTAGCCACTTTTCGGGAAATGTTGGACAAACAGGGTGGAATTCGGGGGGGTTCGGGGAAGAAGAGGTTTGGTGTGCTTTTGTTGGCCAGGAATGGAAGCAGGTTAGCACTGAGGGCGGCTGGAGAGAGGGAGCATGTGCAAATGGGATGGTTTTCTCCGGATATTTTGGAGCATGAGGAGTGGGCTTATGGGGGTGGGGAGGAGGGCGACGAATCCAGGGGGAGGCAGAGGAGAGAAATTGCGACGAATGTGACGACCGTTAATGCACATTTTGGCCTCTACACGGTCAACTTTGTGGGTTCGGGAGGTTGGGATAATCCCACGAGGAGGAGGATGTTGCGAGAGTTGACGAAATATACGGGTAGGTCAAGGGTCAAACAAGCTAGGTCATTGTCTGTCCTCAACTGAATATCAACAAAAATATGAATATCTACTGTAAAAATTTCATTAGGTGCGAGTCCTCGTATATTGACCTCCGTGCTGGCCTATGACACGGCTGCCCTGGCAGTCGAAGAAGTCACTGGAGGTCAAATCTCCACCCTTCCACCCCTCTCGGGAGGAATTCATTTCTCATCTCAAGGTCAAAGGTCGGACGGGGTGTACTTTGGCGTCTCAGCCGTTCCAGAACTTACCTCTCAGTCGGCCACCCTCCTCCAACCGTCCACTTGGATCTTGGAGGATACCATTTCACTCAAGAGAGACGAGTTGCAGGAAGAAAAACTCGTAATTTCCGACTTCCAGGTCGCCACTTCCTCGCTGCTCACCGGGTCAGAGTTGCGCATGCTCGCAAACAAGACGCGGATTGATGTCGGGTGCTCTGAATACGTTATGAACCTCATCACGCACGACCCCTTCAACCAAATGCCGTACAATTACTACTTCAAGGAGGAAAATCTACCAGAAAACTTATTAATTCCGAACCAGCACGGGTTTGGGATTACATTCCTCTGTTTTCATGGGTCCGACAATGTCACGGAGGAACCGCTCACGACCACGTTGCAAGTCGCGTGCACACCCGGAGCGAAAATCAGCGAGCCAATTAAGTGTTTCCGATCAGAGATGAAATTACGACAGAAGCGAAGTCCGGTTGAAGTGGTCGACAGCGTCCCAGCGACCCAGTATCAATATGGCTTCGGACAAGTCAATGACAACAATTGGAATTTGCCGCAGAATTCGAAGTGGTCGAATCCTAAGGAGGATGCGAACAATAATAATTATTATTATCAGAGCTATAACTATCCATCCACTCCGGCACCGGCCAATAAGTGAGTAATGATAGAAGTATTTACAATCACTCTTAAGTTTTCAACACACGAAGTTCTTTTAGAAGTAATTATGTCACAATGATTGTCAAGCTTTGTAACTGCGTAAATTTGTAGAAGGTTGAAAGCAAGTTCATTTTTATTTTATGGGCCTCGGTCAATCCGCTTCTATTCTTTTACAAGTTTACAGATATGTGAAAAGATTAATTTGTAAAAGGATGGGGAAATTTTTTACTATAATCTGCATCTCATGAAAGCAAGTCCATTTTTATGAACATCAGTCTATCCGCTTCTATTTTTTTACGCAAAGTTCAAAAATTTACCGTTTACAAAAGTGACGTTGTTCATCAATCTTAATTGTCCCAGAAAATCAAAGGAAGGGAATTCTCTTCTTATTAATTTAAAATTTACTTGTCCCCCAGGCGTCTCGACTCGTCCGTCTCTGCCGCATCGGAAGTGTCCACCACCCCGGCACCCGCACCCGCCCCCACGTCCAACTTGCCCGAGCTGAGACAAATCCTCAAGGCAGCGAAACCCTTTGTCGGCTCGTGCATCGGGTCGACGACGGGGTGCGCGATGTGTGTCCTCGTCTTGGGCCGACTTCCGCTCGGCGCTGTCCCTGCCGCCTGCACGGGGCCGTGTTTCGTGGGAACTTTCGGAAGTTGTGGGGCCCTCTTGGGACGAGTCTTTTCGGAAACAACGGTCATCTGCACGGAGTTATTTCGACAGGGATTGATGGATCCGGAAACGTTCATGGCGGACGTGGAGTTTGGCAGGCTGTTGCATGACCAGTTCCCAACGACAATGCAAGTAAGTGATTTAGAGGGAAAATATCAAAACGGTGCGATTTTTGTTCTCATTTTGCATACTAAATTTGTGCAATCCGTTTTGTTTTATGAGACATTATGGAATTAAGGTAAACAGAATTGGGTCTTATACACTTTGTTACTTTTAGTTTATTTTAATTATTGCATCATCGATTAAATAGTAGGAATACGTACATATCTATATACAGTAATATCACGAAATTTAAATATTTCCATCTATTCTTATATACAATAATAATCAGATCAGCACATGCAGCACACATAGAACAGCACAAACAAATAGAAAAATAGTTTCCATTTCAAACCCACGTACAACGTATCACGTATCTATTTCCATTTTAACATTAAAAGTTCAATCTCGGATCCCGTATTAAAATTGCGAAGGCGTCATCATAATAATAAATAATATGTACGTATAAAATTTGTATGTATGGATGCATTGCTTAAAAGTAGTAGTTATCGTATGATGATTAATTAATAGTTGATTGATTGCCCGTATTCATCATTCATCAGCACATCCTCGTAAACTGTATAAATTTTGTAAACTTGGATCACAATTAGAACAAGTGGGTGAAGTTCTCAGGATATCGTAACCTCGTTTCACCAACTTTACAAAATTTACACAGTTACAACATAATTAAATTTTCTCTCTCTTTCCTTCCGCAGGGCTACACCCTTCTCGCCACGCCACTCGTCGATGTCATGAAGACATCCCCCCTTATCACAAGGATCGTCTCCTTCTTCGCCCTCCCGTGGGCCCACCACATGAAATTTCTTGCCGGTCGGACTAGCCAGCCCAGCATTGGCGGACTTTTAATCCACACCCTGGGCTTCCCCCTTTGCAATATTGCCGGCTATCTCGACTCTATTTATCACGAGTATTCAAATCATTATTATTCAAATTATATGATAGGATGGTCAACATTTTTTTCCATCGTGGCACTCGCAGCACTAATAATTTTAACAATTTTGGATACAAGGAAGTGGAAAATGATACTGCAGTACAATACTATTTTTTCAAAGAAATTTTGGACGTGGGGGACGAAAAGGACGTTATAAATATACTATTTTAGTTGAGAACACGCGGAATGATGACGTAGTAGAAGAAGATGAGTAGCGTAACGATAGCCAAGCCCACGTAGCACGTCATCTTATTCCCCGTGACGCCCCGAGTGAGCCCTATGTTCCTCAAACGCCCAGACGATCCGCCCAAACGGGCCCGACCCGACTCCATCTCATCACCAAGTCCGTCCAGGAGAGGGATCTGGTCACGAGCCTCCGAGTCAAGGTCAAAGGCCAACTGAAATCAAAACAATGAGACGACATGGTGATTAAAATATAGACTACAAATCATCAACATGACCTCCACATCTACAAATACCTACCTACCAGTGACAATAAGACTTTGTATATGTAATTAGCTCGTTAGGTAATTATTACGTACGATATTTATTTATCTATTGTAACTAGAGACACATTAAATATGCAACTATTATTGTTTAATGGAACGCTTTGGTACAAATGAAAAACGAAAGTACTGACCAAGACGAGTTACAAGGACGGTACGAATCGAAATAAATGTCAAGTTTTCTACTATTTTAATTCGTTCGTTGTCAGTTAGTAATTAATTTTAAAAAAGTAGGATTCTCACATTCTTGAGCTGATTCACTTTGGAAGAGAGTCCTTCGGCAAGAGTCGAGTTGGCACTTTCCATCATATCCTCGTCTAAATGTGGGTAAAAATGTGTAAATTTATTAAGTGTTCAAAAATGAGGAGACGATTTTTCTTTCGAATTTTGCTTTACCCATATTGACAACGGTTTTGCTTCCACTTGGGCCGCGATACGTTCTTGAGTTTCCGTACATCGTTCTCCGCAAAACGGGACGGCTCGCCTCCTGCCTCTTTCGATTAAATGGAGCAATTGTGACAACTCGTCGCCGCCGTCGTCAAATTCGACGTCAATCGATACGGGAGGATAACTGGGCACCTTTTTCAACCTAGGTCAGCCTATTTGTGGAAATTTGATAAGTAAAAGGTCAATTAATTATAAATGTGACCTCTGACGTTAATGTGACCAATTAAATCATTAATTAGTCTTATTTAAAAATTTCTCAAAGAGTGAACTTACCTAACGGCAACGGAAGTAGCAATTTCTTTGTAACTTAATACTAATTACTTTACCTCCTTAGTTAACGACACGCTTATCGAAATAAGTAAATAATTTATTGCCACAAGGAAGAACTTTAAAGTGTCGTCAGTAAACAAACCACGTCACACAAGTGAAGTTGACGAATTAAAAGTGGACAGATTCATTTTCCGCTACCCGGCTCAGCTGATGTCCACAAAAATAAAATAAATCCACATTTCCACTGCTGAGATGGCGTCCAAGTCTCACATTTTATGTTTCACTCTGACCAAGTAAATCCCAAAATCTCACAAACCCATCATTATGTTTCTACGTACTTGAGATTTGTGGGGCTAAATGGGATACTTTGGACAAATAAGTGGGTTATCCGTCCATGGGTTATCTTAACTGTTGTTTACCAGATCGCTGATAAGTTCACTGAAACACCGAATTATTAAACTCCGTTTCACGCTATTTGAGTTAGTTCACATTGAGTACATTAGCCGAATTATTTTATTATTTTACACTAGTTATTTTTATTTTGGCGTAAAAATCATGCGAAATTGAATAATTCAAATAATAATTTAAATAATTTAATCGTGATGAACTCAAACAGCGTGAAACATAGTTTACGTAATGAAAGTATTTTTGTGTCACAAATCGACATTTGGTTTTAATTTGCTAAAAAATTTAGAGTTCGCATAGTGGGAAGACCTTCTGAAGTAAAATATGCAATTGTTTACTAAAAAGATTTCAAGTACTGCATGCATTTTTTATCCACAAACTTCCCGAATTGGATATATTTTTACCAAGTCTTTGTTCCTTACACAATTCTCAGTCAGTGAAATAGATCTTGTTACTTAATAAATATCAGCATAATCTGATGATTTCCACCTTTAACACAAAAAAACCTTATTAAAACACCATAAACTTTTCCATGTGTCATAAAATGTCGAAATAAATATTCAGGATTTTTTCCCACATAAAATTGACACGTTTCTCTCACTTAAGCCACTTCTTGACGACGATGCTATCTCTCAAAGTCCACTTATTACCTGGTGCGACTTAATTGCGGAAAAGGGTCTCCGCCTTAAAAATGTGTCATAATTTGGATATTCTTCTCTCTCCAGGGAAGACTTTATAGCTTATAAATGAAGGGCGTACTGACCAGTCCGGTCCGCAGTAGCAGGCTGCATAATTCGGTGGACATTCGACTCTCTTGGCTTGGCGACCTGGATGATTTTAGGCGGGGTCGCTTTGAGGTCGTCCATGTCAATGTAGATCATCGGACCGGACCGGCCAGTAGCAGATTATTCATGAATGCACACACTTTATCCCCGTTTTCCCTTATCATCATCACCACTTAACCCACTAAACTGGCCTAAACACCCAAATTGCCATCGCATCATGATCTTATTTCTTATCACTAAATTCAGTGGCAACTTCCCACCCAAAGTAAAACAATGGGGTTACACCCAAGTCTCAATTCATCTTGTAAATCCCAATCTTATTTATTCTCCTTATTTACACACATGCAGTTTTCCTGACTTAAATTTAACTAAAACCCTCAACTAAGTACTTACTTATTTAAGTCGTTTCTAATTAAATGGAATATGTAAATAGATAACAAAGTGAGACATGTGAAAAAAATTTCAAAAATCTGTCTGTTCTCTCTTGGCGTGGCAAAAGATTCGATTTTTGATGACAATAAAATTTATTTAGTTTCAAAGGAAAAGAATTTGTGTCTCTGTTTATTTTTTAAAAAAGAACGATAAAAATATTTGTCCTCTTCATAAATAGTTTACTCAGTGCATTTTTGTCCTTTGAGAATTAAGCAAACCTACAAGATTTACATCCCCCATTAACTCAGCACGGGTGGTGGTGGTGGTGAAACAAAAGGTTGAAATCAAAATGTACACGGTTTTTATTTAATTTTATCAAAAAGGCATCCTTCCTGGGAGATGATATTTAGCAGGAGTGTGTCTGCCTTGTAATACCGGGGTCGACTAATTTACGATATTATGGAGCATTTAATATTTAGTTGAACACCAACAAAGACCGCCGCCCGACCGCCTCGGGTTTTCCCAAATTGTTGATAATTATAACATTAAATCACCGCACACACGTAAAATGCACAGTAACAGAAGAACAGAGAACATCACATGGCAATTCAAATCCTAAAGCAGACCGTTTTTAATCGCATTTTCACATCAACCTGAACTAAACTTGTGTTCGTTCCTCGTCGGTTTATTTGTTTGCATTCATTTCTCGTTATATTATTGTTATTATTTGTTCCCGACGGTCCGTAGTGGTGAACTATTTGTTCCTAGCTTACTTTATGGCTTGGTGTCCTGCAGAGCTGTATGGAAATTAGATGAGGGGCATGATTACCGTTTTATGGATGGCTTTCTTTAAGCAGAGGGGCGAACTGGGACATTTCTATCGTTTGGCGACAGTCATTTTCTTGGTCGAAATCGTGATTGCGAATCATAACTATTTGATACAATCTTTCGCTAATAAGGGCAACCATCTACATTATTTGGGCATAATTAGGTGCAAATTTGACCGAATTAACGTATAGTAATGAAGTGAAGTTAGGCTAATATTTGCCAAATTTGAGACAGAAGTTCGGACAAAATCTTGTATTGCTGGTACCATTAATTAGCGCATCACAGATGTCTGTGCTCAAAAATTACTCAAATTCAAAACTACTCACCCAGAAATACTTGAGACAGAAGTTCGGACAAAATCTTGTATTTTAGGTATCATTAATTAGCACATCACAGATGTCTGTGCTCAAAAATTACTCAAATTCAAAACTCCTCACTCAGAAATTAACCGTTTCTCTCAATTATTGCAAATTCAACGAAATCAACTGCCATAGTTCCAAATCAGTCAAAATTGCATATCTCCACAATCACTCCATCCCCCTCTTTTGACCAATTTGTCTCAAGATAACGACTACACAGGAGTCGTCTTCTCTTAAAAAAAGCGTAAAAATGCTGAAATTTTATTTATTTACACGAGCAGCAGCACATTCCATACCTCATTTTTCTTATTCATCCTGCTAATAGTGCGATGATGATGATGAGGCAGAGAAGAAGTGTGAGATTGCGTTATGCCGTATGGTACGTGTCATTATAACATTACGCAGTTTGTGTTGGATTGGATTGGATGGATACTACACAATACAATGCACCATTTCAAAACCATTTTGGGCAATAATTTACACGATTGAGATTTAGACGCCCTCAAAACCATATTTGAACCGACGGACGAACGACGACCACGACGACGACCACGACGACGACCACGACGACTACGCTACGACGGTGGAGGAACAAATTCTGTAATAATAATAATATTCATCTCTCTCTCTCTTTCACTCTCGAAAGGTCCCTGCAGAAATAATTTGGCCCAAATTTATCATTTTTTTGACCCCTCTCACGCTCCATAAAAGTCCAACATCCCTTCCGCACATCCCCTTTTTTTCTCTCAGTGCGGGGGTGGCTTTTAGTTTTGCAACAATTGCGTCCTAATAAAAAAAAGTGTGCAGTTGTTTGAGACGATCGACATCTCGTCCAAAAATCTCATCCCTTTTCGTACCTAGACAAATGGAGGGATAGACATGCAAACTGTGCAGTCGTCTTCTGGGGTAGGTAAATTTTTGGTATGGTTTGGATTCCTGGGGCTGTATTTGTTTTCCTTTCCTCTGCATGGTCAGATCCTCCTATGATTCTCTCAAATTTGAATTATGACATGGATTCAGGTTGACTTGTCCAACCCTTTCAGAATTTTGGATGCATTTTTTCCCTCCGGATGCGGAAACTGGTCTTATCTTGGGTCCGATAATTATCTATGAACTAAATCGTGGTGGTGAGTTCCTTGCTGGAATTTCCCCCTCTTTTTTTACCTACCTCTTCTCCACCCCAAAGTACATAATTTCATTCCATGGGAAACAAAACAAAGCAGCAATCTTGATTTGGAAAATATCCATTGTTATATTTTGGACAGGGTGACAATGCAGACTATTAGTCGAGTTTGGTTCACATGCTTACTTTTACATCGCAATTTGTTCCTACTTGTTGCTTATTATTTGTCATTACTTGTTTTGAAGGGTTGTCAGATTTTTTGGAGCACCTCCTCTCCGTCCAAGTGATGGGTGTCATTTCACGTCGTGACATCAGTGACACTGCAGAAGCCGCAGGATTAACAAGGGGACGATAAGAACATGTCATCCCATTGCTCCCGGTCACCCGAGACATCACAAATAATATAATCGTCATTCATGATGATATGTTCCGCCGGTCACGAAAATATTGTAGACTCGAAATCTCGGATTTTTTTCCCTTGTGTCCGATCCTATCAGTTTTTCGATGAGATGAGAGCACATTATTGATGGGCAATGACTGCAATGTTGCAGCTTGGTGCGTGCGTGGGCTGGTCAAAGTTCGGGTTAAATTCCATCCCATTGTTACTCGAAGCTTGGTATCCCTCGGATCTCCAATTAGGACGAGGAGCTTGTCAGACACCTCGGAGATAATGCGCGATTGTTGTGTTCCCCTTCGAAACGGTAACAACACAAATACTTACTCGAGGAATTAGGCAGATGAAGGTTAAATAGTGAATAATCAGAAATCTGTGTGTGTGCACTACAGGGTGGGACGGCCAGCCGCGCGTCTTGGTCAGATGGATGGATGGATGGACGATGATGCTAATCATAATTATTGACTTTATACCATCATCGAAATTGAGTTATTATTCTTGATGATAAACTTTTACTCTCTCTCTCATTATGGCAAACTGACCTTTGCTGAGGTTACGTGAAGAAGAATGATTCGAGGGCGAGATAAATTGATATGAAATTAAGTTTTGATTTCTTTCTGTCGTTCATAACTTTGCAGGCGCGGAGGAATAAATACGATCATCTCAGGTCTTGCGGAAAGGATGGGGTCAATTCCTCACCACTTTGAGGGACACGAGCTCACCTCCGCAATCCTGCTTGCACAACCCTTCAGGACAAATAATAAGTATTCTCCTACACAATAATGGACAATATATTTACAATAATCGATCCACAAGGAAGAAATAAAGCTTACTCATTTTTTATGAATCACTCAAAGTCAGAACTAAACGAAACGAACCCTTCTCTTTCCACCCACGCGTAACCATTTGAGCACCAGCAGCACCAGCAGCATTTTAACAACAAAACAACATCACAATAAACAATGTAAATCCTTCTCGTCGTAGAGATCTGATTTTTGGATTGGCGTTCACATTATGAAATCGAACTTACTTGGCTTAAACCCTGGACATCATTACGATACGAACCACTTTTCCTCCATGGGAGCCTAATCTGGAGTAAAATGAGGTTCAAATGACAACAACCACGATGACGACGACACTGTCGAGCTTACTTAATTCCTCCGCTTTTTTGCACTCTTGTAATGCCACCGGTTTGATGCAATCATCTGGAAGAAGACGAGCGAGACGAGAAAAACGAGTCGAATCCTCGACCAACCAAGTGGAGGCAGGAGGAGGAGGAGACAAGTTCCTCCCGACAGATCGCCTCCCATTTTTGGGACCATGCCTTCTGTTTGCATAAAATCTTTGGGTGTCGTCGTCGTCTCTTCGGGGCAGCATCATTCGCGAGCTCAGATCGCCATCAAGGCCACCACCGACGACGCAGGCGAGAGTATGTACACCAACCTGAAAAAGTAGCCAATCGCATCTCAAGATGTGATTCTTCTCCACACAGTAAATATCTTTGAGACGGTTTTGTCCATGGGGAAATTAGAACAAAATTTTCATCTCTAAACCTTTCTCGGGTGAGGAATGAAATGAATGGGCGACTATGACCTCATCCTTTTCCAACCACAAAACTATTTGAAACAACAACAACGAGGCAGAAGATTGATGAGTTCAGCGAGTCTACTTCGGGAGCAGCAGTAGGTCTCAGAAAGTCTCAGATCTCATCCTCCCCTCAAGTCCAGGAGGTAAGGTGAGGATACTAATAAAAAATAACATTGTAAAATTATCATCCCTTCGAAGGGCCGTGCGGCAATGGTGCGATCTGTCGGAATTTACACTCGACAGTGAGTCAAAGGATCAACCAATGCGTGACATTCTTTCCGCAGGGCCCCCCTAATAACGCGTACCTTGAGTCTTGCAACAATCTGTAGAGATATTCAGATACGTACGTACGACTCCTCTTTTCCTTCAGCACGTAGATACGCTTGCATACGTAATGGGACAACACACATGCAACCTTTCTTCACCCCAATATGTCAACATTTGTGCAAAAAACACCCCCTCACTGACCCTCCCGAGGGGGCAAAGGGCTCCAGCCACGTCCCAGGTGTGCAAACTGGTGCAATACGGAGAAAAAGTGCAATACGGATGGTAATAAATCCATAAATCACTCACTGCGCAATTACTTAAATATGCAGTTAGTTACAAAGAATAAGTTGCATACATCTCGTCAAGTAGCACTTATTCAACTAATTGTTGTCACAACACGAGAAGAAATGAAACCCTGCCATGAGACTTCCACGTACAGAAAATAGAATCCCATTTTTTCCTCTCGTCGTCATCATACTCATACATTTGAACGTACATGGAATGGATGGCTGAGAGCCGAGTGTTACGTATTTTGTTGCAACTACTACCTGTGTATGTGTGCCTACCTGTAGATTGTAGTTTGATCCTCACCTCACCTCCTCACCTGTGTACCTCTCGTCTCGTCGATTCCATATTTTCCATCCATCTCTCTCCTCTTTGTGCTCATTCATACCGTGCACTTTGGCCAGGCAGGTACACCAAGCAGCGTTCCTTCCCTACAACAAACTACGACTTTCTTCGCCTGAAAATCGTCTCAATTTCGATATGTCTTCTTCTTCCTCTTCTTGGACTTTCTCCCCAGAAGAAAAAAAGTGTGTGGCGTGATTGCGTGCGTGTCTGTTAGCGTGTGAGTTAATTTGTGTCGTGGGGGGTTGGATGACACTGTTATTGTCGAGTGGTAGCAGCAGCAGCAGCAGCGTGGTGCGAGAACTTTCTTCCTTCTCATCACCTGAGTGCACTTGGGTGGTTCGGAATCCCGTTCCAATGATAATTCCTCCCAAACGCTCCTTCCACTACGCCACCTGTCTCGAACTCACCATGACTGAGTATCCGGACAATAATTGCAACGTAAGTGGCGAATTACTTCGTTAGTTATTCTGAAAAACAAAACAAAAAAATCACTTCCGCAAATTGTCACTGGTAGTAATTGCACATTAGTCTCAAACTGCCCAACACCGTTGAATCTCTCCTCCGGTATTACTACATGCATTTGCAGTTTGTTTATTGCTCTGCGATTTTATTTATGTTATTCATTTAATTCTCTCATTTCCTACACGTTGGTTGCACTTCTGTCTTATTCGTCCGTATGTGTGTGCGAGTTAAAGAGCGTGAATCCGGTTAACCTGTCAACCCTTCATAATATAATGCATGCATACTTTACATATCCCGGAGTAGTAAATACGTACTTGTTCGTCGGCGTCACGGATTTCAAAATCGAAACCATCTCCGCATCACCAGCATCCTTATTAGTTTTATTTACTGCGGTGTGTGTAGGTAGGTATGGGAATTCTATAAATAAACAACAAAATGTGCACATAGTATGGAATGATGTAGGAATTTTATGTGGAAATAAATTAAGGGACGAGGAAGCAGAAAGGCTGGTTTCGTTCAGGTCATTTAAGCAATTTTTGAGAGATCTTCATTCCGTTTGGGATGAGTGGAATGGGAATGTTTTTTAAAAGGGTGAATTGGTCAGTTGTGGTGGAAAAATAAGGGCCCTGAAATATTGAATAAGTGCGAAAATTTGGCACTGAAATAGTTTTGATATTGATGTGTAAATGCAAATTAATGGTAGATTGATCAGTTGTGGTAGTGGGAAAATAAGGGCCCTGAAATAAATATGTGCGAAAATTTGGCACTGAAATAGTTTTGTAAATCCGAATTGTTTCAAACTTTGTGCACCTTTTTAAATTATAATTCTTCCCATAATTTGAAAATCTGGTCAGATTTGGGACAAATTTCACGATAAATTTTTCTCTTTCATAAATTTCATGTTAAATATGTCGCAATGTTTTGATGTACATAATGCAATTACTGATAACCAGACAGACAGATAAGCACCATGTAAAGATAACCAATATACGAACCTGGTTGGTTATCACGTTCTTAAATTAACCTTTTTCCATCCCCTCCATCCTCGGGAAGGTTAGTTAGATATTAGATTCCAAATGATTTCCAGCAAAAAAGGCCTCATCCTGCACGTACGAAGGAAAGCAATTCATTAACAAAACGATAATAATATAATTCCCACTCTGGTTTACATTTCATTGTTGCGGGATGAGAACAGGGATGTTAATTCGTGTCATGCTGTCAATTCTCTAAGCACGCGATGAGCAATGAATGAGCGGACAGGTAGGACTTGAGATCCGAGGATGTGAATTTGTAAATGACTCAATGAACGAGGCACGATTTCTCTGTTCCTTAACTCGTTCTTCGGAAGGACAGGGTTCCTTGGGAAAAAAGTTACGTCGAAAATATCAATTTTAAGATACAAATCGTACAAAAAGATGAAAATTACATACCAATTTCCTGTACTTTTTGCCGTCTCAAAATTATTTCTGCATTAGTGAAAGAATGTTAAAAAATTGCTTTCTTCCATTTAAAATAACAAATTTTACGACACAAATCTTACAAAAAGTTGAAAATCGAATATCAATTTTCTGTGCTTTACTTTTGTCGTCTCAAATTTATTTCTGTTTTAGTGAAAAAAAGTCACTACATTTTTCTGCATTGTGAACTTACGGACGACTTTTAACGTCGATTATTAAAAGTATGATGTTTAAAATTATTTGTAAAATAATAAATTCTGGAAATTTGTTTTTCGACTTTATTGTTCTGCAATGTAATAAAATGTTGCCAAATTCTGTGCACATTTTTAGTGCTATGACTTTTCCACCTGGAAAACTTACACAATATCTTAAACAAAATTTGTATCTGGTGACTTTCTTAAGTTTTGTAACCAAAAAAGTATCAAATTTTTGGCGTCGTTTTTTGTGCCATGACTTTTCCACCTGGAAAATTTAAAATTCATACAGTATTTTAAAGAAATTCTGGAAATTTGCTTCCGTTGACTTTAAAAGTGTTGTAACCAAAAGCTAACAAACTTTTACTGCTTTTCTTGTATTCCACTTGCAAAAAAATTCGCTTCATACCAAAAATCGAACCCTGGTCAATAAAGACGAACTATAAGAAAGGAAACGCATCTCCCTAAGATTTGTGTACCATCTCCACTTTTTGGTTATCTTTATCTCTTCCTCTTCTTAAACCGCTGCCAGCTCCTCCTTCTCCTCAGCAATCGGATACTCCACCAATAACCAACAAATAAAAATTCCTCCTCCTTCCCAGAGGAAATGAGGAACGTTTTGTAAACAGTGGGAAAACGTGAAATTGATCTTCTCATTGTTTGTCTTAAAAATCTTAAAAAAAGTTGGGAGAGCAAAAATGCCACACCATATCTGGAACATATTTCAATAATATTTCCTCCACGAGACGACTAATAAGTATGTAACTGGGGAGGCAGGGAGGCAGCCAGGTAAATAAAAAAAGCGAGCAATAAAAATTTTCAAAGTAGTCTCTCTCTCTCTCGAAAGAAATCTTGACTTTATTCCTTTTCCATAATAAACTTGGTTAATTCCGTAGGCCTTGAAATATATGGCTCCACTCTTCCCCATCAAGTCGTGGTTTATCATGTAGAGAAATTTCATATCTATATTATGCTTGTGTGTACAACTCTTTCGTCACACCGTCGTCGTCGTCGTCGTCGTCACTTGTAGGCATATCATCACCCATCCATGCACTATGGACTAGGAGGACATAAAGATAGCGGGGTGAACGGTGGTGCGGTTGTGGTTTGTGGTTTTAGAAAGCGGAAAAAATCTCATGGGGAAAGAATGGTAATGAAAGAGTGGATTTTATGACGTGAAAAAAGCCCTTGTTTCACGTGGTGAAATCAGTTAAGAGAAGTAGAAGAACGACTTCATTTCATTACTATGTTGGTCATTATTTCTTATGTGGTTTGTTACCTTACAGATGTGGCAAGACTTGGAGAGCGTCCTGCTCAGCGATAACAATGGAGGAGGCGATGGTCAAGGTTCACCTCCGTCTAGACCCTCCACCGAACCTGTCACGACCACCACGACCCCGGTCCCGTTCTACTCAGGGTCACGAGGAGGAGGTCACCTCTTTGTTCCGGGTGAGACCCCGTCCACCTCCTCCTCCCCGCAGGCACCGACCAGCACCACGACCGGAAATGGTGGTGGTGGAAACTTCCTCGTTTTCAATTATGACCCCACATCAACCACGACAACACAACCGTGCTCACTTTCACCCCTGAAGGAGGCCAGATGTGCAATCAAGGTCGAGGTGAACGATCACCACCAAACGTCCTGCGGAGATGATAACAATAACACGACCACGTTACATAACAAAGGGACGGGAGGAGGTGGAGGCAACCGGTACGACCACTTGAACATCCACCCCCACAACAATACACCCCCACCACCCCCACCACCGCAAATCGGAGTGATCAACTACATCAATAAACCACTGCACCATCCCCACCACCACTACGAAGGGGGCAGTGGCAAAGGGAGTGGAACCTTTGGGGGAGCCTTTCAAGACTCGCACTTCTCAATCTACCCCACTTCCGGGGGTGGGAATCATCTCACCCGTCCCCCAGGGTATCACCACCACCACCATCACCATCACCCCCTCGACCCCAGACCAGAATACAATCCGGAAAACTACACCTCTTCCGGGGTGGAGAGTAACTTCTCCCAGTGCCAATACTCACCCTCGACAAGTCCTCAACAACAGCAGCAGCAGCAGTACTACCCTTCATCCGTCCCCCCTGCGTCGGCATCCTCCTGCATGGACCACTCCTCCTCCGCGACCACGTCCTCTCTCAACATTAATCTCAACCTCAACTTCCAAGGGGGCAATCTCAACTCGCGGTTTCATCCCCATCTCACCAACCACCACCACCACGTCTCCCCATCCCCCTCACTCCCCAATCACTACTCCTTCAAGGTCATGACCCCACCAGTTTCGCCTGCCTATACGCCTCGAGGAGGCGGCCTTATCCCACCACAACAGCAAACCACCACCCCCCACTACCCACCCCAACCGCCACCACCACCACCCCAACTCTACCACCAACTCCACCACCACCCAAACAATCAATTCCACCACCATCATCACCACCCCCACCACAATGTTCAGAACGATGCTGGCCTCCTCGGCGGCCACCTCGTCGTCACGACGCCGACCCCGAATAATCCTGCCACCAAACCGAAACGGGGTCGTCGTCGGTGGGGGAGGAAGAAGGTGACGACGCATTCCTGCACGTACACCGGGTGTAGCAAAACCTACACGAAATCGTCCCATTTGAAGGCCCACCTCCGCACCCACACGGGTGAAAAACCGTACCAATGCACGTGGAAAGGGTGCGGCTGGAAATTCGCGAGGTCGGACGAACTCACGCGACATTTTCGCAAGCACACGGGCGATCGACCCTTCCAGTGCAGATTGTGCGAGAGAGCGTTTTCACGATCGGATCACTTATCGCTGCATATGAAGCGACATATCGCAGTGTGATTAGATTGTCTCAATTTGCCCCCACCTCTTTGTCTGATCTCATTTTTGTCTCCACTCATATATACAATACGTATTTACATACATGCTGAAAAGTATTTAGAGGGGTAATCTGCGACTTTAAACTATTTTCCACTCTTATCCGGTATTCTGTTCCATAAGGAGAAGATGAGACGATACACGTAAATAAGTTTTTTTTATTATTACGTCTTGCACACCGACCAAAGAAGAAAGTAAAAACCAAAAAGAAGAATACAATTTTAATCTTAGTTTGACAATGAATACATAAAATTAGAATAGATACACCATTTTTTGTATGTATAAAGAAGGCCACAATAAGTATTTAACTGCGCAATAAAAGTTTTTTTTTGTATAATCATCATAATCCAGCTGTCACAATATTAATTCAATTATTTAATCGGCGTAGTCGTCGTCATTCTGCATGCGACCACTTCATTTTTATCACTATATTGATCCATCCTACCCTATTTTCTTCTCCGCTTTTTGACAGTAATGAGTTATCAATTGTTTACTCAGAGAAAGAGAAATACATACAATCAATCCACGATCAGACATCACTCCGGTCGCGTAATGTACTAATCATAAGACGAGGAGAAAAGTTAAAAAAATGAAATAATGAGGTGAGCAAATATAATTATCGAATTGATTATCCTCCTCTTGCCGACATTACATTTGACATTACGTCCACGTCCCCCAAAGAGAGAGAGAGAGCAAAGTACACAGAAAAGTAGTACGTAGTAAAGCGTGATAAATAAATAATAATGGAAAACCACGTTGTGGTCGTAATCGTCAAAAAGTGAGCCTTGCATTCTAGAAATGGAGGTCTCCTAATGTAGGTTCTTCGATTTTGACAAAATTAGTGTTAATTGATCGGAAATCTAATCAGTGTGAAATTTGCGAAAGACACAATCACGTTTGGCGGAGATATTTGCATCCGAAGAGGAGAAAATGCACCTTAAAGTCGACAAGTTTTATACTTTCCAAATTTACTACACATTTTGTCCTCTTCGGATGCAAATATGTCTTCCAAACGTGACCATTGGGAGATCGCGTCTTTTGCAAATTTCACACTAATTAAATTTGTAATCAATTGATACTAGTTTGCTCAAAATCGGAGAGCATCCGCTGCGAGATCTCCATTATATTCGGTAATGCGTCCACTTTCACCCCACGAATCCATCCCCATTGGAAAAACTCAGTATTTCTGTAGCCTGACCTTCGACCTGAGCAAATGAAAACTTAGCTGTGCCCAATCTTCTCCTGCAACATAGGTGCTGATCAGGAGAGCTTGACTTTGATAGGATTGGTGGAATGCGAGCAGAACCACAACCTCGGCACATTAATTAACTCCCACGCAGCCCGTAATGTGCTTACAGCTACTTTCTCACCTGCGAATGACAGACCAATTATGCTCGTCCCTCTCCTCACAACTTTTGGTCCACATTCCGTTCCTTGTAAACCAGCCTCGCACGTAGAAGATGATCCACACAAATCTTCTTCTTCGTGGTCTGGTTTTCTGGGTGCATCGATATCCATAATATCGTCTCCTCTCCTCTCCGACCAACTTTGTTCTCTTGCACAACTGGCAGCCATAAATCTGCGCTCACCCAAATGCAAATCACAGTAATGGGTTTTCGGCTACACTAATTTAAATGAATGTCTCACCCAAGTTTGGATTCATTTTAATCACTCGTCGTCTTCTTCTTCTTCTCTCCTTAAACACGACGACGGAGAGATGAACGCTGCAAATAATTCCTTCTCTAAACGAATCTAGTCTCGGACAGGTTAAAATGGACAAGTTCTTGGAACATGATCAACTCCTAGAAATAAATTTGTGGATGCATGTGTGTGCATTTAGCGTCACACTTTTGTGCAATGTGGGGTGATGATGAGGCCTGACATATGTGGGAACAGGCAGGGTTTCAGAGGTGCATGAAATGGGATTTCTGATTTTGGGGGGTAAATTTAGACCAGATTACAATTCATTTCATGTGTCCCAGAATTTCAGGAATTTCATGCGATACAAATGAAATTAAGCCAACGAAATCAAGCAGACAAAATTAATTCATTGATGCACAAAACTGGGCGAAATTTCCAGCTTGACGTGTCCTAAGATCAGAATTTCGCCCAAAAAAATCAAGGAATCGCCACAACCAGTAATTTTCACCCATTTATGCCAGCAGTCACATTAACAGGACAAAACCCTGTAGCGAAACATTGTCCCAAACCAGGACGTTGCTTTATTCTACACAAATAACAAACCCATTACTGGTACGACACCGCTTAATCTTGCTCCTTTTGGACTAAATGGACACAAAGACTACAAATAAGCTCATGCAGCAGACCAATTCACGTCTGCTCAACCCTGGTTATTTATGCCGAGTAAATTATCTCTCATCTCCCGAATCGGACTTGACCTGAGATTCATACAATCAGAGAGCTCATAAAATAAATAAAACGGTCGTCACCTCTTCGGATACGTAATTTTTCTCGTATAAATCGTTCATCTCTGTGAATAAATCCGTGCCATGTTCGCCTCGAGAGGAGGTGACAATGATGAGAGGATAAACAAGCCATCAGGGTTCGTGTGATGGTCAAATTGTACTTGTTCGACTCTGGTAGAGTGCACGCTTAAAAATCCGAGACGCAAATTTTCCCTCGGTGTATACCATTCATATGCGACTCGATTGGACTCAGGTATCACCACTAAATTGACATCTTTGTAACCATAATCATCATCGGTAACAAAATGTGGTGACAAAAAAAGAATGGTCAAATGGGTACTAAGGATAAGTCTCACTGGTAACAAAGCTATTCAACTACTGCAACCAAATTGGTAATAAATCATATTGCAGTCACTACCAAATTATCATAACCGATTACTTATTACCGAACTGGTAACCAACAGTGTTTGGGGTGCAAGTAACCACTTGCAAGAAATACCGGCCAGAAAGTGGTCTTTTGTAGCTATTTTGATCTGCAATAAATGCAAGACTCCTTCGCCGCTATACTTCATACAGCTCGTGACTGGATAGCGTATATTTCTTGCACTTTCTCACAGTTTCTTGCACCTCGCATTTCTTGCGTTTCTGTGCAGCGCAAGAAATGTAGCAAACCCGCAAGAAACTAAACACTTAAACAAAAAAAACAGGCAAAAGGGTCAAAATGTCTCTAAATTTCTAAGAGTGTCATCTCCCTCCTCTTTGTGGCGACTATTTATGAATCGGGGAGAGTTCCTCTCGGTAGGAGCAGCGGAGAGGAATCATCATAACTTTAAATCAAATAGACATCAAATTAAAATCAAACCGAATCAAATCTTCCCATGAATCATCACAGGTCGATTTATTTTTTTGACTTGACAAGTGAGCAAGTACATTCAGAGATGAATGATGGGCTTCGAGAGTTGATGGGCTTTTTGCTGCTGCGATAATAATAATAATAATGCTCTTCAACGCTCAAACCAAAACTTAACCACCAACAACGAGCCAAGTCAGTCAGTCAGTTGGATAGATTTTCGAGATGAACTTACGATACCAAAATCTCTACAACACACAGATTAATAATAATAACCAACCATACCAGATAATAGCAGAGATTCCGATTCCGCGAGCCGATCCAGACACCATTTTCTACCCAAACCTATCGATACAAAACCTACCCAAAATCCCCCCCACTTTTTCGCCCAATTTCCCCCCCAAAAAACCCCACCTACCTTTCCTCCATGGATGTCCCCTTATAAATAAACATCAGACCTTTTTCTAGGCATGGGTGTCCCGTCCCATGAAGAAGACGAAGAAGTGATGTATGTACGCATGGGAATAAAAGGGTTAATAGTATTAATAATAATCTGGATACTTTGTATTCATTTGGTCGCAATGATTCCCATTGTGTAATTGTGATTGTAAATGTTAACGCTTTTGTGGCGAGGAGAATGGTTCTTCTGGCCCTTTCGCGTTGTGCCTCGGCTCCTGATGGATTATTTTTTCCATTCCCCTCTCCTCTCCTTTTCGGGACGAAGGAGAGGAGATCGAGGACTTGGAGATGATCTTTCCTTCACAAAATCTTAGATGAGAGTGACATTCGTGCTGCCATGTTTTGATCCGATATTCAACCTCCAACTTTATTTTTTTGAATGATGAAAGCCCTCTCTCCTCTTAAAGAATGGCCGATCATTCATTAATATTGTTATGCCGGCCTTCAGCCGGACACATTATACAAACTTAATAGATGTGATTAATGATGCGGTGTGATGGTTTTGTGTGTACGTATCAAGTGGCTTTGTTCATGCCTTATTGTGTGTCGTCGCATCATCATTATAATCGTCCTGGTCGTCGTTACGTACGTTTGTGCGGAACACCAGGTAACAAAAGCAAACCACAAAGGGAAAGATAAGACTCAAAGGAGCGCAGAGTTCCGAGCCGGGTACTTATCAACGTCCCCAATCTGGGTTCACTATTTGTTTCCATTTCACTTAGTGACACGACAGATCTGAATTATTTTTACGGGGGCATCTCGTCATCGGAAGAGTGAAGTATATATTTTTCGTGGCGAGTGCGACGTATGTAATAAGGGGAAAAAATTTGGTTATGTAAGTCGGAAGGGAATTTTTTTAAAAGGGTCGGACAGAAAGGATGGGATGGATTTTTGGCCCCAAATTAAATATGTGAAGCTCCCTTTTATTTACGGGGTTGTCATCTTGCAAAATTGACCTTGTTTTAAATTTTAAAGACGAATGCGACGTAATAATTGTAAGAAATTTGGTTATGCAATTCGGAACCAAGGGACATATTTTTGACCCTTATTAAATAATATGCCGCCAAACTATCACGCATCCACCCAAACGTTACAGACATAGTAAACAAGCCACAATTTTGCCCCGACATGAAAATAATTTCATGGATAAATGTCACACAATTAAGTGAGCATTATTTTTTTTCTGAGTGATTTTTGGGAGTTGGGTTGACTTACTCGTTAATGAAGTTAAGTGACGCGTGTGTGTTTATCCGCTTGTTTGACGGACAGGTTCAATTCCAATCTAGAAAATGTGTCATGTTCGTAATTGTTTGGTGGACAGGAGAAGTTTTTTGAGGTGGATGGGTTAAAAAGCAGGCAAAGCAATCGACCATCCAGTGAAAGCAGGCAGCATTATTAATCTGAACCAAATTA